AGTGTTTTCATGTAACCCTAATTATAAGTCTTAAGTTATGGTCGTGCTTACTAATTAGGGAATATCAATAACTTATTTCCAAACTCCAGCTGAATACATTGAGCAGACACAGATTGATTGGTTTGAAGAGATGGTAATTTGACAAGACTTACACAGCGTTACCCAGGCATGCCAAATATGTTACTTACTTTCCCTTCTGCCTTTGATTTAGATTTCCCGATACAGATCATGGCAGCCCTGAAACTTCGTAAACCTGAGTATTTGCAGGAAGAGGATGAATGAGTTTTCTTACCTGTTAAAAATAAATATTGCCTCAGGCAACAATTGGAATAGAAAATATAAACCTTAAATACCTTCGCCAAAAAAACCTGAGCAAGTTGTGTGTGTTTTTTTATTAAATATCAGAAGTTCAAACAACTTCAACTTGCTGGTTCTTCCAGCTTGACCTACAACAGAAGAATAATAACCTTGTGCAGAAAACCTTGTTCTTAACTTCCCACTGATAAAATTAAATACATTCTTGCTTTAGTATTTTGATGTAGTATAATTAAAATAATGACTTACAGTTTGATAAATGCTATTTTCATTACTGTAGTGCCCTGGAGCAGTGCATATGCAAAATAGTATCGTATTACACAGAACTGGAGGTATGTGATGTGCTTGTCAAGCTGTTACTTAACTTGATTAAATTATTTTCATTTTTTTGGAGCAAGTAAATTGGGAGCGTTTCTTTGGAAACTGAGTAAAAGCAAACAATCAGATCTCTTAAACAATGACCTTTTATAATTCTGACACCATGAGAGTACCCATAAAAACATCCTCAGGCAGGTGGACTACTCAAAATAAGCTGCTTGTATAGGGCTTGCTTCTGTTTTTCAGTAAATTAACTATCACTAAATAGGAACTTCTTCACATGTAGCTATGCTTTAACTTTCTTAATCCCTCCTGAAGTGTCATGTAACAAAAGTCAAGAAAATCTCCAGTATTTTAAACTGCAGAAAAAGCTTTTTTTTTCTTTAAGCAATAAGCTGGGAGTATCTAATGTTTTTTTTATTTCCACCTTCCCCCAAAATTCTGTCCTTTATATCAGTTTAGATCTGCACCAGGCTGGCCTTACATTTTCTGAGAAACTATAAAAATGTCTGGTACAGTCCAAGAAATACGAGTTTTACATCCCACGTGGTGGGATGGCTCCCATGGCTGTGTATTGCAGCGGTAGGATGCGGGCTCTTAGGAACAACAGGCTGAGACGCGAGGAGGGGCTGTTGCCCTCTATGTCCATGAGCAGCTGGAGTGCACGGAGCTCTGCATGGGGATGAGTGAGCCAATGGAGAGTTTATGGGTTAGGATTAAAGAGAAGACAGGGCAGGTGGCATTAGACCAGGGGTCTGTTACAGGCCTCCTGATCAGGAAGGCCGAGCAGATGAGGTCCCTCACAGACAGGTAGGAGCAGCCACGTGTTCACAAGCCCTGGTCCTGCTAGGGAAGTTTAGCCATCCTGGTGTCAGTTGGAGGGATGACACAGGAAGGTGTAAGAATGTCAGGAGGTTCGTGGAATGCATTGATGATAAACCTGCCTTCTCCCAGCGACAGGGGAGGTTAAAGGCAGCCTTGGCTGCAGTGACCATGGAATGGTGGAGCTCAAGATCATGAGGGCAGCAAGGAGGGCACGCAGCAAGCTCGCAACCCTGGACTTCTGGAGAGCAAAGATCTGCTGAGCAAACTACTCTGGCCCTGGTGGGATGCACCCATGAGTTCTGGCAGATGTGATTGTGAGGCCACTCAATAATCTTTGCTTGACCATAATAAGCGGAAGAAGTACCCGGGGACTGGAGGAAAGCAAACATCACTTCTGACTGCAAGAGGAAGACCTGGGGAACTATAGACAGGTCAACCCCATCTCAGTCCCCAGGAAGCTGATGGAACAGTTCATCCTGGAAACCATTTCCAGGCACATGGAGGAGAAGAAAATCATCAGGAGGCCATGCACATCGGCATTGGTTCACCAAAGGAAGTAATGCTTCATCAAGCTTGCAAGCTTCTGTAGTGAAATCAGCAGCCTGATGGACGAAGGGAGGAGCAGTGATGTTGTCCTGGACACAAAGGCCTTTGACACTGTTGCCTGTGATAAGGTGGTAGAGAAGACCTTCAAATATGGACTGGATGAGCAGTGAGGTGGACTGAAAACTGGCTGAGTGGCTGGCCCTACAGAGTGATGGGCAGTGGTGGAGAGCTGAGTTGGAATCCAGTAATGAGGGGAGTACCCCAGGGATACTGGGTCCAGTCCTGCTTAATCTCTTCATTAACGATCTGGATGATGGGCTGGGGTACGCTCTCAGTGAATTTGCAGATGACACAAAACTGGGGGGAGTGGCTTACTCATTGAAGGGCCAAGCTGCCATCCAGAGGGACTTGGACAGGCTGGGGAAATGGGCGGGCAGGGACGTCGTGAAGTTCAGCAAGTAAAGATGTGAAGTCCTGCCCCTGGAGAGGAACAAGTTCTGTGCTCCGGGTTCTTAGAGCCCACCTGGCCGGTGCTGTAATCACAAATGACGCTGTAGCAGAAAAATGTTTGATTTAATTAAAACGTATTACACTTTCTCTCTGAAATGTTATGTTCTGACATTAAAACAAATGCCATAATCGTTGTGAGTGCTGTGTTATAGTTACCACAAACAGTAAATAGTTCAGTTTCTTAGGGCTTTTTTTGTGTGCGTGTTGAAGAGTAGTTCTGTTCCTGACATTTAAGACCGAAGTTTGTAATCTAAGAAAGCACAGAGCTGCTTTTGTTACAGCTGAGTTTACACCATTGTCAGGAGTTAGCGGTTGTTTTCCAGCGGCTGTCAGAAGATGAGCAGTAAACAGCTTTTGATAACGCTTCTTATCCATACATGTAAAAATGCATTATTCAGGTGGCAGTAATGCTCCTCGGCTTCCCTTCATTGCAGTTTGTAACCACACAGGCAAGATGCTGGCATGTTCAGGGGCCACCAAGACGGCTAGTAGGCTGGGGTATGTCTTGCATAAGGAGAGGCTGAGGGAACTGGACTTGTTCGGCCTTACCCAGCTAAGGAGGTAGCGTTCCTGCTGTCGTCAGCCGCCTAATGAGAGGGTGCAGGGAGCCAAACTGTTCCTGGAGGTGGTGCGCACTGATAAGAGGCAACGAACACAAGCAGCAGAAAGGGAATTTGGGCTAGATACTGGGGGAGGGAAGCGCGATGCGATGGGTGGAGGCCAAAACCGGAGCGGGCCCTCCACGGTGACGGCAGTGGGAGCTGCTCAGCGCATGGCTTGGTCCTGAGCAAACTCGTGGTGATGGCTCGGCGGCGTGTGCGGTTAGCCCAGGTAACTCGTGGGTCCCTTCAGCCTGAATTACCCCCGTCAGACCCGCAGGGGTACCGTGCAGGAAGGGCTGCTTGGCTCTTAGAGGGGAACTGCTTTAAAGAATAAAAACTAAACCTGGGAAGCGCTGTTTAGGGAAAAACTTCAGTGTAATTTTCCATCTGTCACTTTTCAAATGAAAGCTTTTTTTTTTTTTTTCCTGACATGCGAGCCATTTGAGATTATAAAACTGGTTCAAGTTTACAGCTCTTAATCTTCTCATGCAAAGCAACACTGGCAAACACTCGCGTACACTGCACTTGCAGACTAATAAGCAGCCCTTTTACTGACATCTGGCATGCTGCCCGGATCGCCTGCATTTATGTCAAGCCCCATGTTGTGTGGGGAAGTAGGACTCTTGATGTATTTCAGGACGCGCAGTGGGATAGGTGAAACGCTCGCTTTGCGTGGTGCAGTGAAAAAAAAAAGAGTCACGCACATGGAAGGAGGGCTCAGCTCCTCCTGAGAGCGGTCACAGGTTCTTCATTGAGGTTTTATTGCGGTGGCTGTTACTCATTAAGTGTTCTATATCAGTTGTTCAGCATTCATTTCTCTATGTATTTTTGTGGGTTATAAAACCACAAAGATGCCTTTCTTGGTAAACAGTTGTAGATAGATAATGGAGCTTTCTACACATTTTGATCCTTGAAGTCCCGAATAAGAGCCGTGTCTTGCTGAACGAGTGTTTCGATCCGATAACAAATTATTGGGCTCGTAATAATAGGTGGGTTTCTAACTGCATGCTTTGCCTTTTTGAGGCATTTTTTTTTTATCACATTTCACAACTCTAAACACTTTCTTTGTGGTTTTGGTGCGCGTGTGTGTGCATGTTATGAAATAATGATTACTGATCCGTAAGAGCTTTGAAGCATTTGAAGGGAGAAAACTTGCTTGGTTCTTACATTCTAGGACTTGGGCTGCAGCTCTCCGCGTGCTTAAAACCCGAGTTTTTATCAACAGTAGCGAACATTTGTAAACTTTCAGATCTTGCCTGAAAGTAGATTTTCTTCATGTATGTTGTTGATACAGCTGCAACGTGTAATGTTATAAGGAGCACAAGCAAGAAATACGGAATATTAAAAAAAGATTTCAGTTCTCATTTTACACAATGTAAGGTTTTCTTGTTAACAGGAGACTATGAAAACTGAAATGGAACCCCCCAAAAAACAGTTGCTGAACGTGTTAAGAACACACCTCCGCATTTAGGAGCCTTTGGAGTTGTTACATAGGGCTTATGCTGTCCGGTTCTTTAAAGCAAACAGCCCTTCATGGTCAGAGCTGTTGATTTTCTGTTACTGTAAATCATTATGCCTATACGTGTAATACTCCAGAAGTAATTAATCTTACTCTATTAGCAAGTCTAATAGCATTCCGCGGGGAGTCCTGCTTTAGAAGTGCACGCTTCGAGTGAAGTCGGCACGCCGATGTTGGAAATTCGGTTATTTTCTCCAGCAACTTCACATTGCTGATGTTTTGCAGAGATAACGGCCTATCGGTTGTTCCAGATACGCTATTTAAAGTAAGCAAACTTCTTGCAGTGACGCGGTTTGGGACTCCAGCCAGAGAGGGGAAGCAAGCAGCTTACTCCAGCTTCTTGAGGGGCAAACAACCCCCGCCTTTGCAAGGCGCTGCTTTGCAGAGCGTTTTAGAGATGTTTTATTTAAAAGCTTTTTTTCAGTTAATATATGGTGAAGCGCCTATTGTGTGTGCGTATCAATTCCTCAGCGTATCCTTTTGGGGGGTGGCTTTTGTTATATTTTGTCTTACATGTTCTACTACGTGCAGGTATGTGTTTATATATATTGTTACAAATATGAAAAATTTAATGTCATGCTAAACAGCTGGGTCCTGATACTTTGATTTTATTTTGAATTCAAAGAGCAGAGCTTAGTTACCCCATTGCAAACTGCTCAGTTCTGAACTACGCAGTTGATCTCTACAGTATTGCAGTTGTTTAGTGATGCTACAAACTTCAGTCTCATTTCAGGCAAACAACTGATTTTCCTTCTTTTCCTTGAAATTTTTATACTCTGGGTTTATTTTTTTTACAGTCTGGGAAGTTTTTATACTCGGGGGTGCTATTTTGAGGGATCAGTGTTTTTTTTTCCCCTTATCCACATCAGAATTCATTAGTCCTAGAATAGTTTTGCATTCCATTCCTTCGGTTCAGCCTGAAGACCGAGTTCCTAAAGAGCTGCGTCCTGCTCAGCCAACTTGTGCATGGCTTACGTCTGTCTGATTTATGCTGCTTAGCGAGGAAGGTGGCTCATGCCGTGCATTTGAGCATGTTTTATAAAATGGAATTAGTCCCATTTTGAACCTTTCGATCAGCAAGATCGTAACTCTTTACATGGCCTGGTCTAGCAGAAGTAGTTTTACAGTTAGGAACTCGGTCAGGACTCTGTCCCAGGAGCTCTGGGACTTAGCCCGTGCTGTCAACACCTTGCTTCTGCTTCGTGCTCTGTCTGGACGTGCTGGAGCACACCGCTGTGTTTGGGCACACCGTGCTCTTCTCACACCGGTGGAGTGATGGATGCTTAGCTTAAAGCGTGACATCCACTGAAAGGAGAATTAAAACTGTAAAGTTTTTCATACCTCAGTACAGTGCATTTTATTTTGTTTAATTTTTAGTCTCTGCAATCGAGTTTGATTTGATCTAAAGGCTTTCGTCCAGCTTAAGCAGTTGATTGCTAGTGTTACTTGCTGCTGCAAGACAGGCTTGAGCCTTAAACTGAGAACTGAAATCGCGTGTACTCATTTGGGACTTGTGGTATGCTTTCTTCTTCATAGCTTATGGCCCTTGTTACAATCAGTGTAAGCTTTTTAAAGTATGGATATATAAGTTGTGGTATAGGAACATACCACGAAAGCCCCTGTTATGCTTAGAATTGCACACACGCAAGTGACGACAGTAGGGTTACGTGCGCAGGGTGTGAAATAAAGGCTAAATGCAGTACGGTTCAGAAGAAGCATCTCTACTTGTACAACTTGGGAGTCAGGTTCAGAAGGAAATGCAGGCACTTCGACTGATCCTTCTGCTGATCCAAGGTACAGGGTTTTACAGGGTGCTCTGTGGAGAGGTGATGTACAGTGAGGCTGTGGTTTCACTTAATTGCAACCAATTTAACGTGCTGCTTTGAATGGAGAAGATTCCCTACTGCTTATGCGTGCTCCTTTCTGATATTAATCTAATAATGCGTTAAAATAATTCAATTTACAAGAAAAGGGGGAAGGTGATGAGTGGGGCAAGTCGCTTTTTGAGACTTGAAATTGTTTGCAATACAATCAGCTGACTTCCAGAGAAGAAACCACTCCGTGAATGCAGCTTACTTTTCTCTAAGAGGGTTCCTGTCTGAGGAGCTTTTGCCTCGAGCTTGCTTCAAATCCGGACCGGCGCTGGGCACCTTCCAGTAGATTTAATTCCTGGTTTTGGTTCCTCAACTTTGAGTCTTTCATTCTGTTTCTAAAATGCTTATAAATATATTTCTGGTCTGATACTTTGGACCACAAGAGGCCTGACTGTAATAAAGAGCCAGTTCAAGTTAATAAAACAAATACTGCCTCAAAGCGAGACTGGCCCATGTGGCTCTTTGTGGCTCAGGTTTTCAGACAAAATTTAAATTGTTGACGTGACCTTGTCCCTGTACAGATAAAAGCTTGTTCTGGTAAAGCACTGTTGATCCTACAAGTGTAGTTCCATAATCCCCTCTCTTCTGGAAGAACACAGAGAAGTTGGCTCCCAATTTGGAGGAAGACTTAGAAATCATCCAATGCTTATTGCGATGCAGAGAACAGGGTGCACTTAATACAAGTTTGATGCCACTCCTGTGTTATGTTAGGGTTAATGATCCTGAAAGTGAAGGGTAGGGGCAGGAGGAGGGAAGATTGCTTGGGGTTTTGGTATGTAGCCTGCATCTTGGCTCACTGGGCAACACTTCTCAGCTGCAGCCCGGTGGAAGGAACTGCAAGCTGACGACACTCGAGTGCCGCTCCTGAGTTTCAAGGAATTTATTTCTTCCATGTTACTTCCATTTTTGTGCGGTTTTATTTGGAGGGTGACTTCATAGGTTTTTTTTTTTTTGTAGACTAATGCTCTGCGTGGCGTGTTATCTCCGCCTATCAAAGCGTGCTGCCGGCAGATAGCGTGCAGCGCGGTGCGTCACCTCGTCTCACGCTTCACTTTGCGATAGCAGGGACTTAAAGAGCAGCTTTGGTTCTTTGCCATGCCTCAAGCCCGTGCATTTCAGGGATAAGGATCCTTTTAGAAGTAGTTTTCTGGAAAAATGAATGCTGGAATTTTGCAGGAAATTAATCTCCAAAAATGACAAATTCTGTGGGAGGCTATGCTTTCTGAATGCCTCTTTTTTTTTCTTGTATGTTTTTATAAGAATTTGGACTTTACAACTGTTTTCTGTTACTTCTAATGTTAACTAGCTAAAAAAAAATCATTTTCTCTGAAATAAAATCTTCTCGTCTTGGCCAAAGAGCACGAATGCATTGAGTGTACTGCATTATAGGCGCTCTGCTGCGTGTTGTTCTTCAAACAAAATGTTGGATTAAAGCTTAGAGGTGCTTATCATTTGAAGTGCTAATACGCCTCATTTGAAATAGTCAGAAATGAAGTCTGTAATACAGTTCTTAAACATTATCAACAACGTTGATTCTAAGATTTTGAGGGAAATAAAATGAATGCTTAATTGTGCTTTAGTAGGACCGACACACGCTGCCTTGGACAAGACTGGAGTAGAAAGCTGGCTGCTGTTCGCTCAGTAGCAAATTTCCTCTTCAGGGTTTTGGTGTGTCCTTGTTCCCACTACTACCTGCTGGTAACAAAAGGCGGAACCACACCCCATTGGATTACTTTAAAGTCACTCATGTAGAGTTGGTGGATTTTCTCCCTGGGTTGATCTTGTCAATACAAGCAGCTGGTTGCTGGAAGGTTGATGATTGATCCTGGTTTCTCTGACCGGGCCAGAAAGAATTGCCTTTTAGCTGATGGTGGAAGGTTAATGAGCAACGTGGTCTTTTCAATAAATGGACGAGGTACTTGAAAGTTTTTCGGTAAATTCATTGGAATGCTTAGCATTGCAATGTGCTTTTTTCCCCCCTCAAGACAATTTTGGTCTCATAAGTTTGTGTTTAACCCATTGTCAAAAAAATAAGTTATTTTAAGAAGGGGTCCTTAAAAAGAGGCAAGAAAGACTGATCTTACATATGACTCGAGAGAAACTATATAGTTATAAAAGTGCAAATAATAGTGAAGTGCATCAAAGAGCAAAAGTGGGAAGAAGTCAAGTGTGATAGCCAAAATGACAACAAGCTATTTCCCCACTAATTTGGTAAACTTTCAGCATGCAGTTTACGTCGTTGACTTGTCCATATTGTCAATCCTTTTCTTGCATTTGGAGAGTACAACTTCATCCTTCGTACTTGTTTGTGAGCTTTTGTTTATGTTTTGTCAATAACTTAATGGTCACGAACACACACCCCGAGAGCTGAGAGAGATCTGCCAGCTCAACAGAACTTGGCCCTGTGCAACAAATTCTTGACTTCCAGCATAAATGACCAAATGTCGACTATTACTATATTGTAGTTGATGATGTACCCAGTGCAATATTGGACATACATCTCTGCTTAAACAGCAGGAGGAGTGCAGGTAGTCATTGAGCTTCTCTGCAGCCCTCATACCCCAAGTCCTTGTTCATGTACATCACCAAGCAAGGCGGCTGCAGCAGCAGCCACCTCCCTGTTCTGAGCTTGTTGTCTCAAAAGCAGGTGACGATCACCAGGTGTTTTCTTTCAGGCAACGATCCTCTATCCTCAGTTCCTTTTCTTATTAGTGCTACGTGTCATTTTAAGCCATAACTTCAGCTTTGAGGGCAAATATTACCTTTTCCTCGTTCTTTTCCATTCCCTGTTCTGCTCGAAAAATAAGTAGGTGCTTTAAAGTGAAGATTGTCTGTGTGCCAGGCAATTACTGGAACTCATTTTGTTTTTTGATCCTACCCTTTTTCAGCAGCTCTTTTAAGACAGCTCTTAAACCTTTGCCTGCTGTAAGAAAGCTTTTTAGAAATCGTAAAGTTTTAACTGGCACTCCAGCCCTAAAGGTGCGCACTTCTTGACTGAAAAAAAAAAAAGAAAAAAGAAAAAAAAGCAGACATAATTTGTGGTTATAGTAACTTTGAGAGATAAGGGTGTCACTGGAGAGCTTTTTCAAATTAATTAAACTCTGTGGCTCAAAGAAAATTGGAAAACTGTGTCTCAATGCCACGCTCGTATGAAGTATGCTCACCTCCCCGATGCTTTGCATCATGTGCTTGTTAGTGAAACTGAAAAACCTGCGGGGTTTTTCCTTGCCAGAGTGTAGGGCTGGGAAGTGTGCTTTGACATTTCACAGAGAACAGAAGAACAAGACCTGACCTGGCTTAAGCAATACTAGGCAGAGCGCATGAAACACCGTTCAGTCTGGTGCAGAACACATGCAGCGTGTCTCCAGTTCTGTTAAATCGGGACGGGATCTGCCGTTGTGGATGGATTGGGTAGGGTGACAGCCTGAGGTTGGTACTGCTCAGGGCTCATCCGTGCACCTTCTATTCCCCATCCACCAAGGAGAATCTGACTTAAGGAAACCATCCATTTTGTGATTGTTCACAGAACCTTTTTTCTCGAAGAGAGCTCTGCAAAGTCCTCAAGCAGGAAACATAGCATTTCAAAAGGATTTTTTGTCTAAATTGAAGTGCTTAGTTATGTTAAATGTTTCTTTGCACGCTAACTTGGCAGTATCTGGTGAAAATGCAAGCATAAATGTTGCTTAAGATACTGTAACTTGCAATGGAAGGAAATTTTTGAATGAAACAACAGCAAAGCCAGCTTGGCTCTAATCTTTCAAAGTTGTAGTCACAAAGAGCTTTGATTTGTGCATAATTTTAACAGCTTAGTGCAAGCATAAGCTCCAATTTTGTTTATAAAAGAGTTATAGCCACCACAGTAAATTGAAATTTCTCTTCCCTCTTCCCCGCTAGCCCCCCAGTATGGTACAAATTCTTCTGTGCATTTAAAGTTGATCACTTGAAACTTCACAGGTCCATCTTCATTGATGTAAATTAAGATTGTGTCATAAAAGATCATGGGTTACCCTTGTTGTTCCCCATTTGTGAAGTACACATTGCCTTTCTCTCGTCCTCCACCTCATCTGTCAGATCATCTTTTTACATTAATCGTCTTAATCTTTCCCTGAAAAAAACAAATTTATTCCAAGTGAGGTGAAAACTTAATCTGAAATTTACTTTTTTAGCAGGTGAAAAGAACTGGTTAACTGAAATGTGGTTTGCCATAGAAACAGGGCAGCCAGTAACGTCTGTGCAGCAAATTAACCATTTACTGGCACTTTCATGTTTGATACAAAACGTAGCAACAAGGCGATAGCTTGACAACAACAGCAGCTGTGCTGATTTTTTTTTCCTTTATTTTTTAGAAAGGTTGTTCTAGTGGAAAAAATAGATTCCCTGGGAAGTAGTTTATATTACAAGGTTCGTCACAAGAATCTGTGGGTGGATACAATAGGCTAGAAATTAAATTAGTGATTTGTATAATAAATGATGGTTTTGATTTGATATGACACTTCTAGTCTCTTATAAAAGTGGCATAGCTACAGGCAATAGAATAATCTCTTCCCCTTGTGAAGATAAATGTCATATCAGACCAAACCATCTTATTTTAAATTACAACTTCCCTTTTTTACCATATGAAAAGATTCATGAGACTGTTCATTAAATAATATCATAACCCAATTAAAAGTATACTTTGCCCCAACTGTCTTTGAGATCTTTTCTAATATCAGGCATGTGGTTAACTTACAGAGGGCACTACCAGAAGAGGCCTGATCCAAATAAATTTCCTTTATGCAGCAAGTGGTGTGATTGTGGTCGCAATGAACTAGAAGGTGCTTTTCTGGTCTCACTTAGGCCGAAACCCTCAATGCAAATGAAATATGATGATCAAAGGAACCTAGTAACCTGACTTCTTTTCTTGGGGGGAAGAGAGAGATACTACATGAGGCTGTTGCAGAACTTGGCAGTGCTCTTACTGTTTTTTCTCATGTTTTGGCAGAGAGAAGGAGCAAGAAAGGGAAGAACAGTTAATGGAAGACAAGAAAAGGAAGAAAGAGGATAAGAAAAAGAAGGAATCTGCTCAGAAGGTAGGTTTTGATATTTGAATTCTTCTTTCTAGCAGGAACATAAATTGTACTGGGGTTGGCAAGATGTTAGATTGTTTGTATTTGAGCTTAAAAACTCTTCATCTAAAGTATGGTGATATGTCATTAAAGAATTTTTACATTATTTTTCTTGAACTTCAGTTTTAGTAAACTTTGATATTTCTTCTGAGTGTTCAGGTGAAGAAAGAGTAATTAGTTTCCTGAAATGAAGTATTAAATTCATGTTGCTGAATATGAGCTCCCTTGATCTCTGAAGCTCCTGCTGTTTCAAGGTGTTTGGGTACGGGAACACTGCAAGTCCTTTACGAAGGTTATACGAAATGTTCCCTACTGAAGTTGCCTTTATTTTTGCTAAGTATCATTTAGGTTTTCTATTTTCCGTGGCTAGTAACCCTTATGTTAAGTGCATCATTTTGAGTCTGAGCCGTAGAAAATTGAGTTGCTGAAAAATGTGCTCAGCAAATGAGTTTGAACACTTGGTTTATTTAGAAGTGCTCTGTTCTGCTGAAAATGTAGTAAATTGTTCTAGGAGTTAACCTGAAGCGTGAACTTGAGTCTCTCGCAGCTTTATGCATGCTTTTTACTGGTAAAATCCTCCCTGTCTGGTTCTGGGCATCCCAGTACAAGACAGATGTAGGATCCTGGAGTGGGTCCAGCAGAAGGGGCCCCTGAGGGGTGATGAAGGGACTGGAGTACATATGGAAGGGGTCTGAGAGCTGGGACTGCTCAGCCTGGAGAAGAAGAGGCTCAGGGGGATCTTACCAAGGTCTATAAATGCCTGGTGGGTGAGAGGGTTTAAATAAGATGCATCCAGGCTCTTCTCAGTGCCCAGTGACAGGGCTCGAGGCAGTGGGTGAGCACAAACTGAAATGCAAGAAATTCCACTTAATCATAGAAAGACTTCTTTGTGAGCGTGCGTGAATGGTCAATCGCTGGAACAGGTTTCCCAGAGAAGTTTTGGTGCCTCTCTTTGGAGATGCTCAGAAACAAGTCGGACACGGCCCTGAGCAGTCTGGTTTTGTTCAATTGCTTTGAGGGCGATGAGGGAGGAGAACCACCACGAACTCTGAGAGCTCGAGAGGCTGTGCCTTCCAACCTCGACTGTAATGTGAAATTGAAAGCAAAATGTTTGACTTTCACTAGTCTGAGTTTTTCAATTACTTTAGTACAACAGATCCCACCACAGATCAGGTGTTACTCATGTTGCGTTAGATGCCGTAGCTTTGTGTTGTGAACAGCCCCCATTGATTGTGCCGTGCCACTCTAATTTTTGGTTTATCTGGGAGCTTTTTTAAAATCAGATTCTTCACCTATTTGAATTCATCGCTTTAAAACAGGTGCAGCTAAACCCAGTGTTATTTCTGTTGCCTTTATCCCAAGGCCATGTTGATACATCCCCAATAACGCTGCAGAAGATCGGTAGCTACAGAATAAGCTTTCTTCAGTGCCTGGTCTTTTTCTGCTTCAGTATTGCTGCTTACACGTTCAAAACCAAAATAGATGTTGTATTTTCAGCTGAGGATGTGTAGGAACCAGGAGGTGCAGAGGCTTGTAACTGGAGGCTGGTGATTTGAGGATTAGATGCTGATATTCAGTAACACAACAAAAACTTGGAAAGGTTGTGCAGATCACGTTGATAACCGCTGTGTTTGCTGAGGAATCAGCGCTTTGAATACAAAGATCTGCCAATTTTCCTGTGTGGTCCCTCAACCTACCAAGTTATTTGGTATAACTGAATGTTATGATATTTTTGCCAAAATCTTAGGAAAGGTAAACACTGTAAATAAATTAATCTCCTAGAGACCAAACGTTAAAGAGTGCTGCGTGAAGTACTCCTTGAAGACAGAATATGGGCAGAACACAAATGTGCGTGTCTGTTCTCAGTAACTGTGTGGTGGTGGTCACCAAATAAGCAGCAGTGATTTGGGGGGTAGCTTTTTTTTCAAGGTTTGTATAACATGAAACAACGGTTTCTCTCTGGATCTTCTGCAGCTTACAAAATAAAACAGTGAAAAAAAAAATCACCCAAGATTATGCAAGCAAATTCATAGACTGAATTCCTGTGGTTTGTGTCCCAGGGGCTGTTTGGTAGCTTGTCAGAAGGCTGAGATTGGCCCTGCCCTGCCAGTGCTTACAGGTTTCCCACAGAGAGATGACGGCTCTAAGTCTGAGACATGCTGTCACTTTTTCTCAGCTTTTCTATTCTAGACCCGAAAAAAAATCACAAAACCAGATCCTTTTAACAAGTACAGATTCAGCACAGGCAAAAGTGATTTTTTCCCCAAACACAAACTGTGGTTATAATTCAGAATTCTTTAAACATTTGTTAAAATGGTGTTCTTCCAAGCAGGCAAGTTATTTACTGAACATGTTTACTGTTAACTGTAGTAAACCTAGCAGCTTTACAAGATCGGTTTCATGAATTTTTTTAGTAGTAAATCATCAGAGTCACTGAAGTGCTTAACCGAATTTTAACTGTTACAGAAGTAGATATAATTTTACACACACGGGATGTTTCAAAAGTGAAGTGAAAACTGACGTCTGGCGTTGCACAGATGCATTTTTGGTCTCTTAGGAGAGCTGGATTACCTAAATCTGTGAAGCTACGATGCTTGAGATTTTTTTTTATTACAGTGAATATTCCGCTTTGCATATCGCAGTGTTCATCTTTGCAAAGTAAGTAATGCCACAGCAATTCAGGGCAGTTTTGTCTTTTTATTCTTTACCATACAAAAGAGTTCTGGCTTGGTTGGCTTAAACAATAAACTGCTTTTTACTTGCGCTTTCATTATTCTATACCGTCCCTGTGTGCTTTCCAGAATTATGGACTAGGTCAGCAATTTCTTTTTCAGAATAGGTGTCATAGAGCCTGACACATGATGATCTTTAGGGGTTTTCTTTATTGTGTAGTGGAGCTCATGATCGACAGGTTCAAAACATGCTACAATGCCCATGATTCCAGCGAATATACCAGTGATATGTTTGTTCCTGCTGTGGCTTGAAACCTGCTACGCTGAAAGAATGTAGAAGTACAGCAAAACCACACACGGAGTTCGTTGGCCAGCCTGATGGCTCACTTCAGTAATCACTCGAGAGATTTTGAAGCCTGGTTCTTTATAGGTAGCGCTGGTACATCCCGTCCTTGCGGCAGCGAGAGCAGTAATTTTTAGGACTACTTCTCCTTGGAAGAGATGTAATGGGTAGAGCGAAAGGGGAAGACGACAGAGCCAGATTGGTACTCTCACATGTGGAAACCCCGTGGGACTTCTGTTGCCAGCCCCAACAGTCTGCTGTAGGGATGTTCTCATCAAGGGCAGCTTTTATTACACTTCAGCTGTAATACTTCATCTCCGAAATCTGGAAGAACTGTAGTGGCGTAGCACTTGTTTATTTGTGCTTCAGAAGTTCGTGTTTGGGATGAGGGGCATGTACTAAAAATCATCAAGAGCAAAGTAATTACGGTTTCTGCCAGAGAATTCTGCATCAGGCAACGATATTACAGGAGCTGTAGTGTTCTTGAAAACTTGTGTATAAGTTTGGGAATACTTTTGAGACTTGCAGTTCGTGAGCTGATTATTTTCTTTGAACAAATTTTGATCTTGGGCTAATAAATTCAGGGTTTACTGCAGCCTGCTTAATGTTTGTTTTGAGGTTCTTAAAACTCTATTTACATTGTTGCTCTTACTTTGCAGGTCACAGATCAAAAAACCAAAGGTAAGAGCCGTTCTTCAATCCTAACGAGTGTTTTTATTGACTTGAGCCAAGATTCAGTTTTGATTAAAGCTGTTAGAAAAAGGAGTTATGATTCGAGATGAAGTACTCAAAGTGAGTACTCAGAAGAAATAAAAGCTGAGAGGATTAATATGGAGAATCTAAAACTATCCATTTGTCAGCGTCAGAATACTAGAAGTGGAAATGATGATTGTAGATAAAATAAATGAGCTGAAATATTTAGTCTAACTTTCAATTCTACAAAGGTTTTAGATGAGCAAGTGAAAACTGAAACTAACCATACAAATGGACTCAAAGACAGGGAAAGTACTGCCTATGGTGACATACCAAAACAAGTGAAAATGACTTGTTTCTGGAAACTTAGTGAAGAGAGATTGAAGTTTAAGCACCTAAAAGTCCAGAAGATGAGGCAGAACTGATGAGTGAACATCTTGGATGTGTAATTTATTTAGCTGATCTAAAAATACATTTAATTGTGATGTGCATGTCAGTTATCTAAAAACCGCATGAGGAAATTGCCATTAAACAGAAATGACAGAGGAGAACTGGGATTGTAACGGTTTTATAGCTGGCAATACCTTTTTCTGGCTTATGGACAATGGAGCTTACATGGAGAAGTCAGAAAACCCTCTCAAAATAAAACGTGGGATAATGCATTCACCTGTCAGAGAGAGAGATCCCCTTGCTTTGCTCCCCCCTTTGTAAGAGGAAAAGCTCTACTGATTATGTGCACTTTGGTGGGGAGGGGCTGTTGGACATAACTTCCTTGTGTTAGTCTTCAACAGAGCAGATGGATTAAATTTTCCTTGCTTTGGGGTCTGCTCTCTTAGTGAGTTATTCCAACTTCTAGGTGCCTGGATAGGATAATGCCTGAATTTCTTTTGCTCTTTTTCAGAAAGCACACGGAGCGTGTGAATAAGGGCTCACAAGCCCTTGATTTCTAGAGTCTCTTAAACAAATTTTGTGATGCCATTAGTTCTGCAAGGATTTGTGTGTCTTTTTGTGCTCCCCCCAACGCATAATAGCTCTCAGCAGCAGCTCCCCCTTACTTAGGGGGCCACGTGGTTACCAGTTGGTAAACTTCAGGCCAGCCCCATACGAGTGCTGTAGGTAGGACTGCCTCTTGGCTAACAGTCAGAGCTGTATAGGGAGCTCAGATTTCTTAATTCTGAATTGAAGAGGAGGATTTTTTGCTCTCTGTTTTGGCAATGGCCACATAGCCTAGTAAGCACGTGAGACTTAGGATCTATTTTTAGGTCTCGCATTAGGGTGATGCATAAGAATCCTAAAAGCAGTGGAAGGTGGGGAACAGAGGAGAAGGAAGAAAGGCTGTGTTTGACTGTGTCTTAAAACTTTTTGCCCAGGGTGATATCCTTTGCCAGCGTTACTTTTTTTCAAGAAATTTGAGGCTTGGAGTGAAATGCTGGCTGAGGGCAGAGTTTCATCCTGGGGTTCAATTAAGTAGGACTTTTATAAGGTTGAAGTTGCGTTGTATTTCAGAGAAGAATGGCCTTATAAATGGAAAGAGTTGCAGCGAGTTCTTGTAGCTAAGACAGGTCTAAGTGGAAAAATTTCTGATTTTCATTCTTCCTGTTTTTTCAGTGCCCGAAGTGACGAAACCAAGTTTAAGCCAACCAGTGGCTGCCAGCCCAATTGGCAACTCTCCATCGCCACCAGTCAATGGTGGCAACAATGCCAAAAGGGTGGCAGTGCCGAACGGACAACCGCCAAGCGCCGCCCGCTACATGCCTCGGGAGGTGCCGCCGCGATTCCGTTGCCAGCAGGACCACAAAGTGTTACTGAAACGTGGGCAGCCCCCTCCGCCATCCTGCATGCTCCTTGGGGGTGGAGCAGGGCCTCCCCCCCCAACAGCACCAGGAGCAAACCCAAACAACGCACAACCAGTGACAGGAGCACTGCTGCAGAGCGACAGTGGGACTGCAACAGGTGAGTAGCGAGAGTGATGTTAAATACGCGTGTGTGCACGCACACGCCTAAGAAAAGGTATCACTGAAGTAGTGCACAAGCATGTTATCATACAATAAAACTCCTGGAATGACTTTTGGAAAGCTTACTTCTGCTGTTTTAGTACATCCACTTTTGATGTTTGCAGCAGGGGGTGCAATTTTTACTGCTAGATGGAACGAGAAAGTTGGTTAATGTTAGAAAAACGTCTGTGTTTTGGGTCGGTTGAATCTGATGCTGTAATGCTTTTTGTATCACAGCAAGGTAAACACAACATAGGGATAAGTAGGTAGCATTTCGTGGCCATCATTGAGTAGTTCTTAACAGCTCAGTTCTTAACAAGCTCCTCTGGTGCCATGAATTTCCTGTACTGTCACTTCTTGTTATGATCTAGTAAAACAAACATCAGAGTTTTATAGTAAGCTTGGATAGGCACCACGTTTGCAAATGACAGGTGTCTGTCGATTTTCATCTGGATGAAGTCACAAGGTGTTCCTTTTGCTCCTGACTTTTTTTTTTTTTTTCGTAATCCTGTTTTTCTCCTTAGATAAGACTTACTACAATAGTTTTCCTTAAAACACATCCTAAATAATCTCAAAAAAAAACAAACAAAAAACTGTTTTGTTTTTCTTTTCTGTTCACTTCGAGTTCCAGCAAATACATTGATTTTAAGATTAATTGTTTTATGAGCATGAGAAAATTATGACTGCTCCTGAATTTTTTTAGGAGGTTGGAGAATGGCTGTAATGGTAATATTCTCTTAAGTTACGACACTAAAACAAACAGTTCCACTCAAGACATCTGCTTTCTAGAATGTTAATCTGAGAATTCAAGAACAACTTGAGTTCTAACAATAAGGTTTTAAGAAAAAGTCAAAAGAAGGAAAAACGCTACCTTTATGTCTGAGTTTCCTACTGAAAGCCCTGCCAGAGCAATGGGGTGTTTTTTTAATCTTGGAGAGCATAATCTTTATAGTTCTCTGTGGTTCAGAAGAAAATGAACTCAGAGATGATTTGAAAGGCCAGAGTCAAGTAAGCTGGGTGGGATGGCTGTGTTTATTAAAAAGGTTTCTAGGAAAATGAGTAATTTAGTTTTTGCCTTTTCAGAATTTGGCCTCCTTTATAGTGAATCCCTGTGACAGATTGTGTCTTGTCTTTGATCCCTATTTAATAATGGGGGACAAGTTTCAAACTGCAACAGCTAATCGGTTTAAAAATGCATCACTTGGAAATGGCTGATTTTGATTGCAAAAACACCTGAAAGATGCATGAGGGACAAAACAACACCCTCGAGTCTTTAGACCTTATGTATAAAATCCTAGCGTTGTCAGCATTAGTGTACCTTCACGGTAATTCTAGTGAACTGACAAAGGAGATTTAGTGAAGCATTCTGGAAGTTTTCAAATTTTTTCATAAACAGCATTTTTATTTTGAATGTATTACATGAGGACCAATTTCAAATATTCTAGACACGCCTTGAGTTCTGTGTAATTAGTATAAGTTCACCTGTTATTTGTTTTAGTGTCTGAGCTCAAGTTGTATGAATTCTCATATTTTTTCATTCAGTTTAATGCTGCATTAACTGCTGAGATGTTACATGGTTGTATTTTATTGATTGGGGCAACTTTATATGCCAATGGTTAGTTCCTTTAATCTGATATAAGTCTGGAGTGCTGCCAAGAAAGGTAAGATGTGTGCCCTTCAGACTTGACTCGCCCCATCCAAACACAATCCTGCACCATAACACAATTAACTGGGCTGGGGAGCTGACTCGGGTTAAAATTAACTCTAATTGTTTTTTAAAGCTCATTTCGGTCTGGATGATTTCCCAGTTCAGCTCACTGACTGTCAATAGCAACACAGGTGATAGCGCATGAGCGTAGGTCTGGCAGAGGAGTAGAAATGAGCAGCTGGATAAGAGGAGGGCTGGGGCAATCACTCTTCAAGTACTTCATGAACCTGCTTATGGAGGTACAGTGCTGCTGTGCCTCTCCTGACATTAATTCCATCTGAGATCCTGGCTATTTACAAGTCAGGCACCTGTGCAGCAATATTGTGATTAACTCATCCCACATAAGGAGAAAAAAAAAAAGTTTCCAAAGGCAGAAAATAATGTATTTTACCCAATTTCCTAATCTTTCTCATTATAACTTTAACCAGGTATCTGTAGATGGTGTTGGCAAGATTCTCCATTGCCAAAAACTGGTCTGTTTTTTGGAAATTAGTATTTTACTGCCCTTGTGCTAGTCCAGCTTCCATGCAAAATAAAACAAACAAAAAAGTCAGGACACAGTCCTTTACATGGATCCTTTTCTACCAGAGTAATTCTTCTGTAAGATGGCAAAACTGTAGAGCCCTGACGCATGATGCCACGTTCACTACTGTCTTGTAGCAGTGCTAGGTGGAGAAGGGTTGTGTATCATTTTTACCACAACCAGCGATATTCAGGACGCGCAAGACAATTTTGGAAAGCAAAGCTTATATGCTGTTGGTGAAAGTCTTCTTTCAATAGCTGTAGTACCCTCCAGGAATCACCAAATGTCTCATAGCAAAACTGCATTTTCATTTCAGGACTCCATTTCAATATTCTCGCTTATTTCAGTTCCATGTTTCCATCCTTAAAAATAGTCATTTGCTAGTAACTTTTTTGTCTGTAGTCAGATGAGAAACTTGTTTATCTTCAGCGTGTTCGTTATTAAGGAAGTTTGTTTAAGAAACAAGAGCCCTTACCAACCCTCTTATGTGAGGACAAAACTGTAAACTGCTAAGGCTTTGTCGCCACTGTCAAGTTAGTAAGGGGAGGCTGACTTTATAAAACAGTCCATTAAATTGTGTCCTAGTACGCTATGTTAGGAAACACCCTGATCATAATGATTCAAAGAATGTCTTTGAAAAAATGGAACATGAAATGCTCAGTTCAAGTCAGTTACGTAAAGATCTTGCTATAGGCTGCTCTGTATTTGCATCTTTCATTCACTGAATCATTGGGAAGTTCAAAACATAGCAACCTTGCAGTCTTTTGAACTTGTCTTTTTCAGTTCTTCTTAAGCTATTCCTGTGATCAGAAAGTTTTTAAATAGAAAAAAACAAGGTGTGCGTGTGGATAGCCAGATAGATCTGTAGAATCATACTTCCTTGATAAGTTTGCACTACAGATGAAAATATAACAGAAGGAACAGAATGTACATGGGAACTATGTGGTCTTTTAGATCTTCATGGTTGAAGTTTAGTGGATTAAGAAAAACTTCTTCTGTTTGCCAGTATTCAAAGCTTACAGGAAGATTCTAGCCTTGCTGAAAAATGTGGGTCTTCGCTGGCCCTCGCTGAAAAGGGATCTGGAAGTCATTCCAAGGAAGTTTGTTGGTTTAGCTAAGGAACCAAAAGCCTGAGTTGGGCACTGAAAGCTGATCCATTCATCTTCTATTAGAACTAATAATAATCAGAAGTTGTGTCTTCACTTTTGAATACATACATACTTAAAAAAAAAAATAAATCCACTTCTCTCGTTTTTTGAATGTCATTATGGCTTAATTAGGATTGGGTATGAATTTGTTGAAGGGAAAGTGTTCAGTCTTCATCACAGAGAAGTTGTGGCAAGAGCAGTCTACTCAAGACTTCAGGATTACGGACGTGTAGAAAAAGAAGTAGAGCTATATAGAGAGAACAACATGGAAGTAGTAATGAACTTGCATTATATAGAGGCCCAGAAATAATTCTGTAGCTGGGGGAATTCTGTAGGTTGGCAGTGGGGTGGGGTGTGATCTTGCCTGACTCACTAATGGTGAGAGTTATCTGTACGCATGCAAACTTCATGCTGCCAGCACTGATAGAGCCGTCATCTGTCATGGGACTGTGTTAATTTATCTGCTTCAAAACTACACAAATACCTTGTCAATGCAAATTCAGACTACATAGGGTATATTAATAGTTCACCATGGATGGAAGAAAGAGGCCCTTCTCCTAATTATTTCTCCTGCTGCTTTCCTTACAATGACTCCAAGGCTCCTTGGACTTGCAGGTTTCCCTGCACAATGTCCTACGTCAGCGAAAGATAACCCATCAAAAAGTGGACAGTTTTCTGTTGAGTTAGTGAATAGAGTTGACTAAGTTAAAGGGTTTGCCTGACACAAATAAGAGGTGAAACGTGGAGAATTTGAAGTAGATAGAGCCAGGTGAGAGAGAGGAAAAAAGTTAGATCTCTTATTAGCCTCCATTTGGTGGTAGAGAACTTGGTTTAATTTCTTACAAAACCATGAACTGAAGTTTCTGGGGTGAATACAGAGTGACACAAACGTGGGGTAATTAAATGCTGAATACAGCTTGCGTGCTACTACACAGAAATTGCAATTTGTGTAGCTTTGGACTCTGCTGGTTACTCTTTGCATTTTAGCTTTGGGAAGTAAAATTATTTGTTTCATAAAGGTGTAAAGAAATTCCTGGTAGCATAATCAACTTGAGAAAGATGCATCTGAAGCTAACAGATAGACTTCTTCAGCTTTATACATTCATTAGATGCTTTTAGTCTTCAGTCTTTTATCTTTTCAAGTCATAAATTGTAGGTGCTTTGTTGAATCAGTCATGTAGCTGTCGGTCTGCTATTCAGCTGCACAACCATGCAGGCATATATATGTGTACATATATACGTATATATTCTTCTTCTACATATAGTATAATTTTAAACATGTTTTTGAAAAGTCTATGACCTGTGCCAGTAATGGCCGTGTAGGTTCATTAAACAGGTTATCCCCACAGTGCATTCAGATGCCCACAAACTGCTCACAGGGCGTTTCTTGAAATAGGTTTTTTATTGTTATTTTTAATGGTGTTTCTCAGCCTCCTGTTCTTCCAAAGCAACTTAGTTAGAAATGTCTGAGGGAAGTATTAACTTATTAGTGGAAAGGATAATGGATGGTGTCGAAAAAGTGATGTTTGGTGCTTGTAGATAGTATTGAGTATTAATGACTTTCTCGGGTCTTTTTTGTTTGTTTTTCTTCTTTTTAGATTCAACAATTGGAGGTGCTGCTGCTTCAAATTATGCAAATTCCACTTGGGGTCCTGGAGCCTCCTCCAACAGCGGCACCAACGCCAACCCAACTCACATCTGGGACAAGGTGATTGTAGACGGGTCTGACATGGAAGAGTGGCCTTGTATTGCCAGCAAAGATGCTGAGTCTTCTTCCGAAAACACCACCGATAACAACAGTGCCTCGAACCCTGGCTTGGAGAAGAACGCTCTGCCAGGAAGCACCACTAGTAACAAAGGAAAAGGAAGCCAGTGCCAGTCTGGAAGCGCTGGAAACGAATGTAATCTTGGGGCCTGGAAATCTGATCCCAAGGCTAAATCTGTTCAATCTTCCAACCCTGCTGCCGAGAGTAACAATGGACTAAGTAATTGGAGGAACTTGACTGGACAAGATAGAATTGGTCCTGGTTCTGGCTTCAGCAACTTTAACCCAAATAGCAACCCATCTGCTTGGCCGGCACTGGTTCAGGAGGGCAGTTCTAGGAAAGGGACTTTGGAATCTGATAGTGGTAGCTCCAATGCACAGATTAGCACAGTAGGTCAGACCTCTAGGGAACAGCAGTCAAAGATGGAAAATGCGGGTGTTAACTTTGTCTCTGGCAGAGAACAGGCTCAAATTCATAACACTGATGGACCAAAAAATGGAAACACTAACTCCTTGAACTTAAGTTCACCAAACCCTATGGAGAATAAGGGAATGCCCTTTGAAATGGGCTTGGGGAACCCTTCCAGGAGCACTGACACCCCTTCACAAAGCACTGGAGAAAGAAAGACTGGGAGTGTTGGATCTTGGGGTACAGCTAGGGGGTCTTCTGGAACTGACACAGTCTCTGGACAGAGCAATTCTGGAAACCATGGGAACAATGGAAAGGATAGGGAGGACTCCTGGAAAGGAGCTTCTGTTCAAAAACCTAATGGGTCAAGAAGTGATTCTTGGGATAACAATAACCGGTCTACGGGTGGTGGGTCTTGGAACTTTGGCCCTCAGCATGCAAATGAAAGCAAATGGGGTGAAGGGAACAAATTAACATCTGGGGTCTCTCAGGGAGAATGGAAACAGCTGTCTGGGTCTGATGAACTGAAGATTGGAGAATGGAGTGGTCCAAACCAACCAAATTCTAGCACTGGAGCATGGGACAATCAAAAAGGCCACCCTCTTCCTGAAAACCAAGGCAATTCCCAGGCTCCCTGTTGGGGAAGATCTTCCAGCTCTGCGGGAAGTGAGGTTGGAGGTCAAAGCACTGGAAGCAACCACAAAGCAGGAAGCAGTGACAGTCACAATTCTGGACGCCGATCATATAGGCCTACACATCCCGATTGCCAGGCAGTCTTGCAGACTTTGCTGAGCAGGACTGATTTGGACCCCCGAGTGCTTTCAAACACTGGCTGGGGCCAAACTCAAATTAAGCAAGACACCGTGTGGGATATTGAAGAGATGCCACGGCCCGAGGGGAAGTCTGATAAAGGAACTGAGGGGTGGGAGAGCTCTGCCACACAGACAAAGAACTCAGGGGGCTGGGGCGATGTACCCAGCCAAAGCAATCAAATCAAGTCTGGATGGGGTGAGCTCTCGACCCCAACAGAGTGGAAGGATCCCAAAAATACTGGAGGATGGAATGACTATAAGAACCCCAATTCTTCTAATTGGGGAGGGGGAAGACCGGAAGAAAAATCGTCGTCTTCTTGGAATGAAAGCTCGAGTAAGGATCAGGGGTGGGGTGGACGGCAACCTAATCAAGGATGGTCTTCTGGAAAGAACGGTTGGGGAGAGGAAGTTGACCAAACAAAAAACAGCAACTGGGAAAGTGCAGGAAACAAGCCAGTGTCTGGTTGGGGTGAAGGTGGGCAAAATGAGATTGGAACTTGGGGTAACGGTGCAAATACAGGCTCTGCTTCAAAGGGTGGATGGGATGATTGTAAAAGAAATTCAACATGGAACGAGACGGGTCGACAGCCCAACTCCTGGAACAAGCAGCAGCAGCAGCACCAGCAGCAACAGCAGGAGACTTCTGGTTCCTGGGGTCCATCACCACAAACTCCAAGTAATGGGCGACCTCCAAACCCAAACTGGAACAGCGGACCGCAACCAGCTGCCCCCAAAGACGAGGAGCCTAGTGGCTGGGAAGAACCTTCCCCACAGTCAATCAGTCGGAAAATGGATATTGATGATGGCACTTCGGCATGGGGAGATCCTAGCAGTTACAACTACAAGAATGTGAACCTGTGGGACAAGAACTCGCAAGGAGGACAGGCCCCACGGGAACAGAGCCTGCCTACTCCAATGACTGGCAAATCACAAGCATCAGGTTTGTTCCTTTCTTAGCAAACTCCTATATGTGAACATCAGCTTTATGCACACGTAGCCTCCAGTAACAGTTTTTATTTCATAAGAAGAAAAAATGAATATTTGATCCTGTATTTAAAGTGTCTTTAATTTGAATCAGTCAGTCCTCTGCTGCGTCTGCCTCAGTAACTCTGATCTGAATATTGGTCAGCTTCCCAGGAAAAGAAAATCTGTTAGCTGACAAATATTCTTAGACAGGCTGAATTCTCACAAAGCTTTTATTTAATTACTACAGAAATACGGAAAAATCCCATACTTGGTCAAAATTTTGTGCTTTGATACAGTTATATAACTTGCAATTGGGTGAGCCTGTGATTTAGTTGCTTAGCTCAATTTGGCTCTGCTGTTTGATAAAGAATACTTAGCAAAATACTTTGTTCTTTGAAATAAGGACAAAAACCCACAAATTTAAACAGCATGGAAATAAATTATGGTGTTACTGTTAGGTAATCCTTTCTCTGACTTGGACATGCTTTAAGGAATACTGTTTCATTTTGATAAGTGTTTCAGATATGTCCTTACTCTTTCTCCACTACATGAAACCCCCAAATCATAGAATGGTTTGGGTTGGAAGGGACCTTAAAGATCATCTACTTCCACCCTCCCTGCCATAGTCTGGTGCTTTTGGTTAGTTACAAGGTCACCAGATTGAATAGCCGTAGATGTGGGTTCATGTTTAACCTAAGAAGAGGTCAGCACGTTCTCTCTTTTCATCCCTAGAGGTCAAAGCCCACTGTTTGATGGGAACAGTTGTCAGTTCAGTTTCACCCTCACTATTGAGACCCTAAAGTCCTCAACAAAAGGAATAAAGCAGTAGATTGATGACGTGGTGCTGCACTGCAGTAAATAGTTGATTGTCTAAATGGTCTGTAATGAAAACTCTTTCTCCTTTACGCAGTCTGGAGCAAAAGCACTCCACCTGCTCCAGATAATGGTACGTCCGCCTGGGGTGAGCCAAATGAAACCAGTCCCGGGTGGGGTGAAGTAGATGATACAGGAGCATCGACTACAGGCTGGGGGAATGCACCTTCCAACGCCCCGAATGCCATGAAATCTAGTGAGTACAGGCCAGATACCAGTTTCTTTGTGATGGTCCTGGAGATTTTTAGTATTTGGCTTTTTGATAATACATCAACCATGGAGGAATTGTCACATGAGGCCTAGAAGCTCTGTTGAATGTCGTGTAAGATTTTGATGGATGATTGGTTAAGTTCTTACAAATAACTGGAACCTTGCCTTTTTAAGGTAGTGGAGGCTTTTTTAGTACTGAGTGGTTAAATGGACCGCTCTGATCTGTGCAAGTGTTGAAACACTAGAGCATCTGAGTGAGGAAATGGTCCTTTTTCTTGCATCTGTTCCTCTGTGGCTGCATACCCATTACTTAAGGTATGAACTTGTTACGCGCTGAATCACCTTTTCTGACCACATCAGGAAAAGGAACGCACAGTTTATAGAAAGGATTCACAGCAGAGGTGTGTAACATGCCTTTGAACGGACCTTTTTGCTGTATGAATGGAAAACTGTCTCTTAAGAACTGAACTTAGTCTTGTGGTTGAACCTAAACATCTGAATGTTTTCTACATAACCTTTTTAAAAGGTTACTTTCAAGTTAGAGTTTTACTGTATTGAGAGTTTCATTTGCATGGAAATTATTCCTGATATAAGCTGTTTGTAGAACTTTAATTTATTTCACTGTTTTTATGGAAAAAAAAAAGAGCAAACAAAAGCAACTGCCTGACAATACAACATAGCAATTTATAACTAGAGCCATAATAAATAAGCTGACTTTTGGATAAGAAGCTCCTATTAGGAAATAGCAATAATACATGGCTGTTACTGAACTTCAGTGATAATACCAACTGTAAAACTGTTTCCAGTTACAAGTTGCTTTTGCAAAGTGTGATCGTTTGGAATGAAATGTTCTGTACAGACTGTATTCTGTTGTGTCATTCTCTCTTCCCCACACTCCAATTAAATAATTTGGCCATTTATGAAACAAAACTGGAAAAATCCATTAACGGTTATAGCAACCTTCGTTGGGTGCCTGTAGTGCGGCTTGTGCCTGCCAGATGAACTTGGCACTTCTCAGGATGCTAGCTTTTTTTCTAGATGGATATCTTTTTTCATTTGTAAAAAGCTACATAAAAATAGCCAAAATAAGAGGCTCTGAGATACTAGTGATCCATTGAAAATTCCGTGGATTTGTTAATACTTTAGATAGTCTTTAAAGACTATAAATGGTCACTTGCTTACTGGTCCTTACTGGTCTGCATATGTGACATAACCTAAGCTATAGCATGTGTGTTCTGCTTTGTAAGTAAGCTGTTTCCAGCTCTGGAGGAGCAGAATCTAGGGAGTTTCCCTGTTGTGGCTGTTTGAGGTTGTGGTGCAGTAGGACACCAGTTCTGAGACCTCATTCCTCCTGTGTGACCGCTCTCAACTCCTTTCTTATTGGCACCCATTCAGAATAAAGGAGGAAGCTGCATTGCTAAGGGCAGATATTTAATGTATTGGATATGCTGGAAGAAGAAATTGGGACAAAGAGCCTGCAAAGATGTGTTTTATGGTTGAAAGTAAAGAGAGGAAATAAAGACCAGCAATGGCTGGAAAAGAGAATGAGAGCTTAAAGCCAAAGAAGGAAGTGGGAGATGAGGTGAGATGAAATTGAATGAGCAGAAGAGGTCCTGAAAAGATGTTCCCTGTGTGAGGAGGAGGTAGGACAGGTGAGAATCACGCAACCAAACAAAAAAAAATTCAGAGTCTGGAATGAGAGACTGTCAGGAATGGGCATGTTTTTGGTAGAGTGTCTGGACTAGAAAAAAGAAGTCTGAGGTGAAATAAAAATTGCCAAGCTTGGGAAAGCGAGTACTCAGTTATACTTTGCAGAGAATATTCTGTTCTTAACTTTGGAGAGGGAAGGTCAAGATGGGAATTGTGCCATTACTGCTGGTGAAAGCCACTGGCATAATATCCCATTCCTCTGCAATGCTGGCAAACACAGATGCAAATTAGCACTGTCATTATTCATAATACTGTCAATTCCATTGATAGGAGTCCGTGCAGCTGCTATGAAGGTTTCAGCTCAACTAAAGTCATGTGAGTGTCCGTATGGTACTGCCTTGTGGAATATATTTTAGTTTGTTGTTGTTTGTAAATTATGACAGACTTGATATAAAAACTAAAGGGGGTTGAGAAGTCATGTAGTCAAAAGTCTCCGCAAAGTTAATTTTCTCCATTGTTTTACATGTTTCCTGATGATTCTCAATCGAAAGGAGGTGGGTTTTGCACAGGACCTGAAATACTCAAAGCCCAAAATGGGTAGTGGTGTTGTTTTTTTTTTTTCCCTGTGGCATCATAACTGCTACTGTGAACCCAGTTATCCAACAAGTAATCAAGTTTAATTACATGAGAGTGATTGGTGTGATCCCCATTTTGCATTTGGTGAATTGAGACATGAAGATTTTGCAAAAATGTATTTTGATTTTGAAATCCCTGTTTGGGCAACTAGGGATTGGGGTTTTTGAGTTTACCTGTCTTTGTGTAACTGCACAGGCTGTATTAGTTCCCTTGTGCGGTGGTATAGCTGCATCTGACCTGGTGTTGCACATTCAGGAACTTAAATAAGTGTTATTACCCACTTATTCAAAACTTTCTTACTTAATTTACCAGCATTGCATTGGAGTTCTCTGACAGAAGTAGGAATAAGTCCATCTTTTTCTGTAACACCATTATTTTGTCCTTAGCTTGAAAGCTTCCTTTGCCTACTGTAGCTATTCATGCCTCCTCACTCAACATACGGAGAAAATAAAGCAGGAGCTCTACCAACCAGTCGTCTCTGCACCACTGTCCAGATTCATGGTCAAGTATCTCAGACCTGAGAGCTGCCAAAGCAGAAAAATACTCTCTGGTCATGTGGTTAAAACCAGATCACAGTGCTATATTTAAACACTGCGGCTGGAAATAAGTTAAAGCTTGTAGCCGTTCCTGTGTAAGTAGCATGATTAAAGGATCAAGAAGTAGATTTTGGTGTTTGGACCAGGATGTCTGCTATGCAGTCCTGAGTTCTGCTACACAAATGAATAAACACTGAACCTTTCCTGTGAAGTAGCTGAACTGTTGTTCATGGTGGAATTTAAATTAAGATAGCTCTTAAACTACAGTGAAATGCTGCTGTACTTATATTCAGCATGGTAAAGTTCTCCTTGATAGATTAATTACATTTCAGATTTCTACTGCATCGTTACTCCTGATTACCACACTCAAACCCCAGACAGTTGAAGGATTAGTGAAGAGAAAGGTGATGGTGATGGAGCTCATCTTTAAAGATGAGTGCTGGGGAAGAAACACGCAGAATGTGGAGTTAAATACGAAGGAGAGCAGTTGGATAGTGGACAAGATGAGGATTTGGCTTCTTGTTGGCTTGTCAGTAGAGGTTAAAATTGTAACTGACAGCTGATATTGAAGAGTAACAGAAAGAGAAAAAACAAGGAGGGACAGAAAGGCCTTAGTCTGAATTGATATGCTGAATCATAGAATGGTTTGGGTTGGAAGGAACCTTAAAAAACACCTGATTCCAACCCCCTGCTATGGGTAAGAACACCTATCATTGGACCAGGTTGCTCAAAATCCCATCCAGCCTGGTCTTGAAGAGGTTGTAGCTTTCTGCTAATGGTATCTCTGTTTAAACAGAACTGCTAAGGAGTCATTTTAGTGGCATTGCTGACACCAGAAATTTAAGTAGAGGGCTTTTTGGACATTCAACTAGTTCTGGTGTTACATATACTAGAGTGCAACGTCAGGGTCTTCCCTTCAGATACTGCTTAGTTGTTACTCATTAAAGTTGTTTGTTTCTATCCTCTGTGAAAGAGTTCAGTGTGATGGAAATGTTAAGTGGAAGGAAGAGAGGAAATCTTTCTGAAACCACCTGAACCAGAGTCCTCAGCACCCTTTGTGTTTGCGTGTGTGTGTTCTCAGAGTCTTTCATTTACAGTAGAAAATAATAGGTTGCCTTCTAAAGAAATCCAAATTCAGCTGTAGTTACTTAAAGGAAGAAGTCCCTTTGATTTTTTTCTGTAAGGATTTGATGTTGCTTTGAAATAATTGCAAAATATGACAGGCTAGCATGCCACCACATCTCTTGGATTTTGGGTTTCATACACAAGCTTTTACAGCTGTTAGAATACACTTTTTTTTTTGGACTTTTTGCGGTTCTGACAGTCTCAGCTAATCTTGCAGTGTCAAATCACCTGCTGCGTGGCATCGCGGACTTGCTTTTGAGCTTTCTTTTCTTCTCTGAAGGTTCTAAATCTATGCAAGATGGCTGGGGAGAGAGTGATGGGCCAGTGACAGGAACGCGTCACTCCAGCTGGGAAGAGGAGGAGGAGGGAGGAGTCTGGAACACAGCAGGCTCTCAGGGAAGCAGTTCCTCCCACAACTCAACAAGCTGGGGGCAAGGAGGAAAGAAAACACAAATGAAGGTAAAACACTTGAGTGATTCATAACTGCTGTGTTGTCTGAAAGCAGTATGACTGATACGTTAGAGCATTTCTAACAGATCTTCTTTTAAAAGGTATTGCAGAATTCAGCTAGAAAGGTTCCTGTTACAGCAGCGTAAAGAATGTGAGGTTTCTGGATTTGTTTTAATGTGTTAACACCTGTTGTGACTAATAAATCTGCCAGTAGGTGTCAAATTCTTCCAGTATGTAGGCTGCATAGCCTAAACGAATTACTAAATGAAACTGAGCAATAAGTATCCCAAGGCTATTGCTCTTCTCTTGTTGACGCATCTTTCTGTTAGGCTGCTGCTGTTCTCCTTGCACAGCTTGCTGAACTTCAGATTCCACAGCCCCTTTGGCACATGCACTCCTGCTTCTACTGCCTGTTGGGTTTGGGTCTGACTTTTATGTTTATTACTGGTGACTTTTGGTCTCAAGCAGGAGTTTGGCTACGGCCTGGAATGAAATGCTTTCTAAGGCTTGTACGTGTTAAAGTTCTCTAGTACAATGATGTTTGGTATTGTATTAATATTAGAAGACTGTGCTTTGTCTACTGATCAGCTACGCAGGGCAGACTCAAAAGGTGAGTGCAGAGCAGTTTCCAAGGATGTGGAAATACTCTTGCGGTAACAGAGTGGAGTTCTGTTTTTGCAAAAATGATTCTTGTGAGCTTTTTCTTCACTTAAATGTCTTTTATTTTAACTACCAAACCAATTGTCTTTAAATCAGTATCTTTTCTGACCTGTGTTCAGTTTTGGTTTTGATCACCTGCAAATTGCAGTGAGGCCAGATTGAGAGCCAGGTCTGCACAGTGCCCATGTAATAGCAACCGTATTAAAGGGAACAAAGCCAAGGAGAGACCTCTATGTGATGAATTAAAGAATCTATTAAACTGTAGCAGGAGAGAAAAACAGCATTCACAAAGCTTTCCAGGTTCTAAAATGGAACTGAAGGTGTGATAAGCATTCTACACAGCAAGCATTTATCTAATTCAGTATACCTGAAAATGAACAATTGTATAGAAAAAAGTATTTTGTTAAATGTTTCCAACCATGCAAAAAGTTAAAGCAATGTATTAGGAGATGAATTTCTGTGACACCAGGATTTTCATTCAACACTTGTGCCTCCCAGGGATAAAACAATTTAAGAAATTGAAAAGATGCTTACATGTTTTTTCCTTTTATTTCTTTTTAGTGCTCATTAAAAGGAGGGAATAGTGATTCATGGATGAACCCTATATCCAAACAGTTTTCAAATATGGGCTTGCTAGTAAGTGAATTATTTTAAATATAAATCTCAACCTTTTTTCTTTAAAAAAACTGTTTTAAATAAGTGAAAAGATCAGTTATTTTACAGTGTATAACTACATATTTATCTGCATTTACTTTGTAGGCATGTTGATCACAATACCTATAATAGCTGGATATTCAGCACTTCCTTGCTAGTCAGAATGGTTTCTCAACAAGAAAAAAAAACAACAAACTCTTTACTTTATGACAGCTGTAGTTCTACAATTGCAGTTTCCTTGCATTTAATTGGTGGGCTTTTTTATAACATGTTGTTTAGAGCAGTCAAGGTAAAGGCCTCAGCTCATGACTGTATTGTCAGATACCTGTCATTTGTCCAAGGCTCTTCAGGTTTCTGAATCTCAGTCGCCTGTCAGAAAAGGAGAGTTACAGCTTGGTTATGTTTATTTAAGGGCTGTGCAGCAAGGTCTTTTTTAGAACAAAAAGAGCTCGGAATTAAATGGTACTTACGGATGGATTGGAAATGTGAATAAATAAATGGGATATCATAGAGAGAAAAGACAGATCTGCAAAGCAGTACCATAAAAATACTTGCATATAAAAGTGTTTAACAATTTCTGACAGCGGTTTGTCAAACATTTTATAGAACATTGAACCAACTGTAATCCTGTGATGCAGGAACAGCATGTAATGCAGGCTAGCAAAAGACACTGTAGAGGTTTTGTGACAAGCCAAGGGCTGCACAGACTGTCACTGACATGGCTTGGATTAGTTTGTAAAGCCTGGTTCTGAGGCTCACATTCAGTCTGCTAGGCCACCGATGCTTCTGAAAGCTATGGGAACACGCTGTCCTAGACTGCCAGCTAGAGAGTAACTTGGCAGTGTGTTTCAAGATTTGATGACTTGACAGGTCATGAGGATGAGCTATCATTTTGGCCGCTACTTCAGTATTTCATCCCTTGACCACTGGAACATGAGGACAGAGGTTCATTTCACAGAGCAGCTGTCTGTCCATCTTTCTCTGTCTGTAGCATGTGTTCATGTGTCTGGTTTCATTTCAGTAAACTTGCCACACACAGGGTTGGAGGGTTGGGGGGAGGTGTGTCTAGGGTGATGTGAGGAATTGTTATATTCAATATTAATTTAGGATGGAGCTCTAATTAGAGCAAACCTGCTTTTCCTTAATTCTACCTTTAACCATCAGGGATTACTTTCTGAAAAAATCCTCAGCATTTCACAGAGGTCAGAAATTAATGTTGTTTCTTTTTTTCTTTCAGAGTCAAACTGAGGACATTCCAGGCAGTAAGATGGACTTGTCTGTAGGTGCGTATCATTTAATTTAAATGCATTTGAATATGACATCGTGCATAGTATTTTTACATAGATTGTATACCGTGCTTTGAAAGATATAATCCTTACTTTTTAGTGCTCCTCATGAAACAGGGACGCAGTGATAGCATCTGGTATCTTGCTTGCAAGCTTTTTGAATAGTTACACAGCTGATGCTGGAATGCAAGATGAGGATGTATACCTGCACAGAACACAGCTGCAGCTTGGGAAAGGGAAATCCTATAGGACAGTTTTGATCCATGTAGGTTCATATTTATTGTTACTGTTTCAAAAAAGTGAGAGTCCTCCTTTCCTGTATCTCTTGGCAGTAGGACATCCTGATTAGCATAGTTCTCTGGAGGTGATGCAAGGTAAAAGACTATCTGTTGCTGAGTCCTTCAGTTGCTTGCCTCAGGTTATTATGAGTTACTGCTCAGTAGAACCAGATTTTTCACTCTTGATAGCTTCACCACAAATACTGCGCAGCTTAAGTGGGATGGACTGTAGGGAAAACACTATCCTAAATAAGAGTAGCAGTGCAATTTGCATATCTAGTATGCTCTGATACAACAAGAAAAGACTTTGTCTCGGACTGCCCCAAAAATTTGCCCTTAAAGAATACTAATGCTCTAAGAAGATGTAGTCTTTTCATCATCCCTTGCAATAGCTTAAGTCACAGCTAAGTTTTTTTTCCTGTCTTAACAATACATGAAACCCAACTTAATTCAGTCTTCCTATGGAAGTAAAATAGGAGAAGTTCTGTGTTCTTTCTGAATATATTAGTTGTCTGATAACGAATAAGGCAGTAGCCCACCTGGTTTTAAAATAAAGTCTGTTCCAGCTACAACTTCTCCAGACAGGCCAAGGAAAGTTCACAGACATTCATGGAAAGTTCAGGGAAAGCAATCCTGACAAATCTTACTCCCGAGACTTTGCAGAGTGACTACAAAACCTATTGGGCACTTGCTAACAGTGGCAATGTGTTTACTGTGCTACAGGTCTAGAAGTATTAGCATCTTCATCCATCCATTCAAAAACAATGACCTCTCAAGGTATCAGCATCAGCCCAGATCAGCGTGAAGCTTGTCAAATCAACTATTTTGATACAGAGAGGTCTTGATATTCTCCACTGAACACAATTCAGCTTTTATAAATACCTGTTACATATTCCTTTCCCTAGGCTTCCTTTATTCAGGGAAAGGAATCACAGCTACTACAGATATTCTTAGAAAATGAATGCTCTTTTCTGTGCTTTGTTTTGGTGTTTTTTTTTTTGTTCGTTTGTTTTGGGAGGGTTGGGTTTTCTTTTTTTAAGGCAGGCTTATTTTTATCTTTTGGAAGTTGTATAGTTTGATAAGCTCTTGCAAACAGGGACATGGAGGGCCAGTCTAGCCACTTGAGCCAACTCAAGATTTTCTGGGTGTACCTCTTGTGTAGTTGTGTAATCTAGACATTTTGACAGTTTCTTTGACATTTCAAATGAGTATTTGTCAAGTTAGTGCAGGGAAGTGAGGATTCACAGTGCAGGTGACTGGTCTGTTCATGGCTTACTTTCTCTAAACAGAGCTGTGGAAGAAAGGAAAATATTGCCAAGTAACTTTTACTCAATGAACAAATGAACATAGTTCAGTTCTGTGCGTGTGTCTAAGTGGCAGTGGCAAGACAACTGGTCTGATGTCAAGTCTCTTTGCACCAGTGCTGTCAACAGGTTTAATAATAATTCCTCACCTGCAACTATTGTAGCATTACGTCTGCTAATGTAGCTGAGGTTTTCTCAGCCAAAAAAAATCTGTTATATGGAACATCCTTTAATCTTCTTGTTACCCAAGGTAGAATTGCAGTAATCAAGGCTTAAGTCAAATATGAACTCCAAATTTAGTATTTAGATGCAATCTGAATAGCTGTAATGTTTCTCAGCTTAAAAATTATTACAGTCTTAAAATGTACATTTTTGTGCTGTATCACACCTTATAGAGGATTAAAGGGAAGTTCCTTTTTTCACAAATAGCTTTCTTCCTCTGAACAGTGAAGGATCCCAAGAGATGTTAAGAGACGTACGAGATGTTAAAACCTGCCTTTGTAGAGTACAACTAGATCTGGGGAAAGTAGCAGAATTTTTTCGCTCCACTTCAGCTTCAAACAGCCTCTTCCATGCACGCTGTGTTTGTATCGTGCTTCTCTAAAGATCTTTTAGGTAGAGATAAGAATGTTCAGTTCTCATCTGCCTTTAGCTGCTGCTGCTAAAGAACAGATGTAAGAATATACAAATGAAGAGGATGGTAGCCTTGGCTTGGGCTGATTATAGCTCTCCTGGTTCTTCATCTCCAAATTAAACTTTTGGATCTTTGGAACTTTCTGTCCTCAGGGATCTTAAAGGCCATCAGACCTTGTGAGGGAAGGTAGCTGATGCTCAGCACATCCTGTGAAATTGCTGCAGTAAGGTTACGTGCGTTGTCTTGGTGTGTCACACTTCTGTTCTTTAATGTGTCCATTAATGGGGACATTCCTGATCCTTGGTACAGGAGTCTATTACAGGTTGTATTCCATTTCAAAGAGTAAGAATGTAACTGAGACCTTTCTACATATTTTGTTGTTACTTTCTTTTTTGCTTAGCAGTTCCCTTCTTACTTATGGCTCATGCTTTTGGAAAGTATAAGCTGTTTGCTCAGTCTTTATCTACTTCTAAACCTGAAAAGTTGGGCTTACTTATAAAGTAGGCTTTTTCTTCAACCACTTCTGTCAGGTTTACAATATACCAGGCTTTACTAGCCAGGGAACTCCAACATGATATTTTCCCAGTCCGTGGATAAATGCGCGTTGATCTCTGTTAAATCTGTGCTTGGAGACCACGCGTATCAAAGAAAATTTTGGCTTTTGTATGCGCAGAGCAACTTGGCTCTGATTATCATGCATCCTAAAATAGGTCCAGTTGTCATAGTAATTGCCATAGTAATTCTTACTATGTTGGTCTCAGTCTCCTTTTTGAAAAATGTGTTGCTTAGGTTGCAGGGTGCTAAAACTGCCTAAGAGAAAAGAGGTGGATCAATAGAACGCCTTAAGCAGATCTTCTTTCTCTTCTTTTTTATCAAATCTATTCCACAGATAGCTTGTTGAACTTTAAAAATAGGATACAATTATCTACTGTAATCTCTCCCAGTATGTAAGTCCTGAGGCATGAAGTTTGATAATACAGTAAGTAGTGTGTCAGGACCACTTAAATGGGGAATTAAAAGATAAAATATTGACAGCCACCTTTGTCTTTTTTTCATGGATTAGCTGCAGGTTTTGCAGATGACAGAATTCTCACATCCTCCATGAGGACTGGGAAATTCATTTCTAATTTCTGTTGATTCAAATGCAGTCTGTGCTGTTGTCTGTTGTAAATACATCTAAATACATCGCAAAGCCCTAACCAGATAGGGCACTTGGGTGCAACACCTCAATGTGTAAGCACATGTGCATGCTGAGTAATCTTGGATGATGTAACTTCATGGCAAAGATGTAAAACCAGTATCTTTAAAACGTTTTAATTTTTGTGGTCAATCAGAAAACATACTTCAAATGGTTTTCTTTAGCATTACTTTCACCACACTGTGGATGTATGTATTTTTACCACATTGAGTCTCTTGTTGCAAAAGCTGTAGGTAACTTTGCTCAACAGCAGTTTCTGCTTTCTATTTCCCAGTATACAGGTTCACACTATATATATAATTTTATTTGCATGGAATTCAGTCAGGTAATTTCCTTTAAGCTGTGTGCATGTGGTGGGGGAAGATATACTTCAAAGCTTTTTTCCTCACTAGGGTGTGAATGTGGTCCTTCAAGCTCATTTCATTTTGGAGTTTTCACCATGTTTCTTACAGCTCTTAATAGTTGGGAGAAAAAATCCAAGAACCGATGTCTTCTCTTACAAAGATGATCGGACTCTTAACATGTACTACACGTAGAGGATTTAGGGTTTTGCGTTTAATCACTTTAAACAAGTGCTATTGCTTACTGCCGAGGATAAAACCTAAACTTTTCAGATTTTAATGGTCATCTTGTACTGTCTAAGGTAAAGCTGGTCTTCAGCCACCTGCATTATTTACAGCTTTTGTTAGCGAGTCCAAAAGACACATTCTCACAATGGGTTTCAAGGTTGCACTAGAATTTTCTGTGACTGAGATAAATGAATGCTATCATCTCTTAGCAAGGCCCTGTTTATACTGAAGTTTAAGTAGCTGCCTCAGCACTAAGTGGCGTATTCGTGCTCGAAGCCTTTGAAGGTGCTCTTTAATGCCCTACATATTATTTAACGAGCCATGTTGCGTGGCATCATTCAGTAATGTTTGAGGAGTTGATTGGATCATCAGGATAACTGAAGAGACAAAAGGGTGTTTCTACTGCTAAGTCATCTTGAGTTGGCATTGACCCAGTTTCATATCAAACAGTGATGCAACTCTGTCTCCCTTTCATTTTCTTTTCAAGCAACCAATAGGCAGCGTTGCCTGTCTAGAATTAAAGCACACAGCCTTTTGGTAGTGCTTAGCTGGCATTGTGCATGGTGGTTAGATGTAGATATTGACAGGATTTAAGATGTACCTGATATTTTGTGACTGCGTTTGCAGAGACAGTTCAAACTTTATAGGATATGTTAGAAAGGCACAAGCCCATCCAGGTCAGTGTGAGTCCAGTTACAAGCCAAGATACGGAGGTGATATGTCAGTGTTTTTGTGATAGATGATGTTGAAGGCATCTGAGAAGACGGAAACTGGATCAACTTTCAAAGCTGTGCCAAAAAGAAAAACCCATGTAATTAGTGGTTGAATTCATAGGTCTTCATCAATGACATACCTATAGTTATTAACAGTTTGCAGTTGGACGTTAACAAGAGATACTGGCTTTGAAAGCTTTTTTTTTTTTTTTAGAAGGTAAGTGTTTTGAGGATCTCAGAGTGATCAGTTGTCTTTTGTATATGATAAAGACTTCAATGTTTTGTCAGTGGTAGGATATCATATCCATCACCAGCTTTCTTTGTTGGAAGATGCTAAGTTTTGACAGGTTTCTTCAACTGTTCTCGGAAAGGCCATCTGTGCCCCCAAACCCAATTACTTAAAACTAAAAATACCAATAAAGCTTGTTTGTACCATGTTGCTCATATTTTAAAATTAAGATGTTTTCTATCTACTTCAACATAACACTGTTCATCTAAGTGCAAAATATGACAAATGAAATTGTTCCTTGGCAGCAGCTCAGTATGTAAGGTAGAAAACTTCCTTCAGTCAGGACTTGGCTGATGATCTGCTTCTAAAGAAAGTGTCTTGTCCACTGTGTATGGTGGTTTTCTCATTAATATCTCTTCCACTTGCTTCACCAGATTACTCACTAAACAAAGGCAGGAGACTGAAGAAGTTGTTTGAAAAGTCTCTGTTACTGGCTGTAGAATTATTACATACAAGCTGAGAGAGATTGGCTGTCTGGTGCAGGGAAGTTATGCTAGGTCAGAAGATTACTGGTGTTCAAGAATGTAGTCCACGTTACTGTAGGAGAATTATGATCAAATTCTTTATATCTGTTCATAAATTGTGAGAAATACTTCACGTTAAATTCTTTAAAGTAAATTGGCTTGTTCCGTCTTAAAAATGAAACTTCCTATTTTATTTTTTCAGTATCTTTTAATAGGAACTGCGTGCTTTGCTAAGTGGTAAGACAAATGGAATTTTTACAAGACATATATATACAACAGATCTGATCTTAAAGAAGTTTTCTTCATCTGTGAACCTGCTGTCATGAAAGACAACAGAGGTTGTCACTAATTTTGCTGCCTTTACTCTTTTTTCTACAGGTGGTCTCCCAGATAAGAAGTTTGAGGTAGATAAACGAGCCATGAATCTCGGGGATTTTAACGACATAATGAGAAAGGATCGATCTGGGTTCCGTCCACCTAATTCCAAAGACATGGGAACTACAGATAGTGGGCCTTATTTTGAGAAGGTGAGAGAAATATCTTTAGATAAACTAAATTCAGCCTCTGTGTTTGAGGTCCCAGTTTTTATCCTATTCCTCTGGAAGTGCTAAAAATTCAACAACCTTGGATGAACTCAACAGTAAAAGGTGTGAGGGAGTTACGTTTGTAGAATGAATGTGTTTATAAAACAGGTGTCAGGTATGCATAGGCAAACTAGATTATCTAATTAGAATAATGCTTTTTATTCTAGAACAGACTTCTCTTTACATGGAGAGAAAGAAATTATTTTGTTTTTCTTGGAAGGGTGAATGACTGGTAGCAATGAAATTCATTACAGGTTTCATCACAATGATTCTTATGGCTACTGATTACAATCATCTACTGTAAAAAAAAAAAGTTTAGATCAAAGTAAACATAAGTAATCACAGTCTTCCAATTTTTTTCCTGCTTTCATGTCTGTGATTTATTGGAAACACCCTTTCTAAATTCTGTAACCCCTTTTGCTGTATGTCCATGTACTGTGAGCTTCTGTATGACATCTGTTTCTCTGTGACATCTGTTACATGTTATGGTAGCATTTCTTTCATATTCTTGTCTATTTTAAGTAGAAGCTTTCACTGTTGTTATCAAATATTAATTGCTTCACATTATGAATTGGAAAGTGTCCAATAGATTCAAAATGTTATTTTTTTTTTAAATACAGTTTATCACATGTAAAATGGAAAAGGTTTAAAAATTCTGTAGGCGTGTTAGTGTCTGATTTTTTTTTAAACTCCTCCATTTTGGTATAACAGGCCAAAAACAGTTTAGTCAACTCCCTCTGGTGGCCCATTTAATAAATACCACGAGTAGAGCTAATGCTTTCTGAACATAGATGGTGTTTGCAGGTGTGTGGTAACATTAGGAATTAATTCAAGATTTGTTTCTGTAGTGGTAATAGCCACTGTCGGAAGCGAACCTTCTTACTCAAAATATATTTCTAAAAAGAAAAAGGATTTTTTAGGGATTTATTGAGCATTTCCTTGGACCAAAATCTGAATTGTCAAATGATAATTTGAGTTGGAAGTGTTGTCCTTGTAATTGCTATTACAAATTAACTTTGCTTCTTCCTAGTCACTCACCGTCCCTCTTTCTCTCCTCTTGCATTCTGTTGCTTCACTAACCAACTCCTGCTGTTGGCTAACTGCTGCTTCAGCTGACTTTGCCTTTCTCCAATCAAGATGGGTGCCTTGGGGATGAGGCTCCCTGCTCTCCCTTCTCCCCTTCTCCCAGCTACAAGCTGTCTCCCTCTGGTTCCACACTATCCAACGTCGGCCTTGGGGCAATCGGCTCAGGGCTCAGTCCCCAAAACTTCGCTGCTAGACAAGTAAGCAGGCCACCTTATAAGATGCATTGTTATATGGCTGCAACCTGGGCTTAATCCCAGTTAGCTGGTTGCTTGCATTTCTTTTCCTACCAAATAAATACAGTTAATGGAAATTTCAGCGATACCCGGACATTGAGAATCCATCCGCTTTGGTTGCTGTCATCAAAATGTATTCCTTCTGCTTTTGTTGGCCTCTTACTTCCTGAAGCACGGTGCAGCAGCAGACAGATTTGCTTTTCAGAAGTCATGAAGTTAATGGAGAGCTATCTATTCTAATTGATGTTTTAAAAACTAGTTAGAGGCTGGTGGATTGCCCCACCATCCCCCAACACTGAATTTTTTCCAGCCTCCAACCCAGTGACCTCGTATGCAGGAATGTGCCTTGAAAAATTTGCGTTTGCCTGATGCCTCCTCCCCTCCCCACAGGCCATGGGAAGGATTGATTTAGCAGCCTTGGAAAATGGTTGAAGTAGTGATGTTTTCATTCTGTATATGGAGGAATGGTGGGGAAGAAAGGAAGTAGTTAACTGTAGTTGAGAATAATTCCTGGCTTTTACGTTTTGCATCATACTAGGAGAAAACGCTGCAGGAATGCTAGGAAATGAAAGGACAGAACCAAAGTATTACACGTGGACTAGCTTATGTAGGCACATACTTGACATGATGGCGTTTCTTTGTGTTGTCTCTCTGTTTCTGTGTGACACAATAAGTGTTGAACATCAGATTCAGTCCAAAATTTGTAGGCAAGTTCCCGAATTCAGTGTACAGAACTCCACGGAGCTTTAGAGAAGGCTGAAAGTGTAGCAGCAGCAGCAGACCTCTCAAAAACTTTAATACGTAGTTGAATCCACTGAGTCCTTTCTGAATCCTTTTGTCTCTTAGACAAACAATACATATATATCCTATCCTCTTACATGCTTAATGACACCCTGAGCTGCTTCTGAAAGGCAGGCTCTCTTAAGACAGTAAGATGTGATGGGGGTGAATGAGCAATCCGTAATGCTGCCAGTACAGAAGCAGAATGAGAGAATTGTGTTTGAGCAAAAAGATAGTGAAGGATGCCCGGTATTACGGTGGAAGGGAGGCAAATTGTGTGATATTCTGGCATGTAAGGGAAGGAAGGGTTTTGGAGAAGACGTGGAAGATCTCAAATTTAAAGAAAGGTGAATGATGTTGGGGGCAGTGATGTTGGCATGGAGAAGAAGATACTGGTGGCTGAGGGCTGGAAAATGGGCAGTTTAGAAGCCCTGGTATGTGGCAGAAGCAGGCGTGGATCAAAGAGGTATACGGGGGCAGATGGGAATTGCTGAAGGTCTTGAAAATGAAAGGACAGGAACATGGCATGGGAGGACCTTTTGGAGTATCAGAGAGAAATACATCAGCTTCAGCTTTTAGAAGCAACAGCATGCAACTGTAAGCTTAGACTGTCTGTTACATCTCCTGTGGCCCTTTGTCAGAAGATGTTAGAAAAAGGCAGTCTGCTCAGAGGCTAAAATAATGGAACACAACAATGAATTTTCTTCAATTTTTTTTTTTTTTTTTTTTTGTGCAGTAGGGTTTATTATTACAGAAGTTCCTTAAAAAACAGTAAACAGTTCTCATTAAAAAAAAAAAAAAAGAAACAAGTATTCTTAGGAAAAAAAATGACTAGGAGGAAAAACAAAAACATTTTTTCACATTTGAAAATTTACAAAAATAGGGAAAAAAAATCCCAATCCAGAATCCTGAAGTTTTCACATTGAAGGAAATTTTTAATGGAAGTTTTGAATTCTAATATGTTAGTGAAAGGCCTGCAGAGGAAGTAATAGACTTAGGAGAGATGCCTTGACAACCCAGTCTGACCAAGTACCTGACTTTTCTAAAACAGTGGCCAAAAATTCTCGTTGGCGCAGTCTCACCATACTTTTAAGCTAGTGGAATGTTTTTTTTAGCGTGTTGTTTGTACTCACAGTTTCCATTTCCCAACATGTAAAATGCAAAACAGCAAACACAAGCTTTGTCATGTGCTTTGAAATACACGGATGAACATGACTGCTCAGCGTAGAGGAGAAAGAGCCTGCATCTCGAAAGCGTAGTGCAGCAGTCTTAATGCAGGTGGAATGTTACTGAGCGAGGGCAAGCATCTCAGCAATTCATAGGATACTCTGTTTAAGTCAGTACTTGCCGCATTATTTATACATAGTTAATAGCATAGAAATCCATTATCCTGAAGAATTCCTCTTCTCACTACTGCTTTAATTTTATAGGGTGGCAATCATGGTTTGTTTGGAAACAGCACAGCACAATCGAGGGGCATGCACACACCAGTGCAGCCACTAAATCCTTCCCCCAATATCCGGGCGCAAGTGCCTCCCCAATTTCTTTCTCCCCAGGTAAGGAATTTATAGTAACTGGTTACTTGTAAAGAAAAGAAAAGGAGGAAAAAAAAAAAAAAAGCTACAGCCTCCAGACCACATCATTGAGGAGACTTATACGTATGTCTTAGTCTTGACTTGATGTTAAGAAATAAACAGCATAGATTAAAAAAAAAAAAAAATTTTAAGGACTTTGGACCGTGAATTTTAAAATTAATCCAGAGATCGAATTTTGCAGAAGGATTAGCCTTCTTTCTCTCATTCCAAGGCAGTTGTAAATGCTCACTACCAGTATTCTTAAATCTGAGTGGATTCAGAAATCCTGTCTTACATAGGCATTTGCAAAGTATTTACAAGTAAAATACTCGTGTGAAAGCTGAAAGTTACTCTGAAGTGAGACAGTTGGCTTAATTTTTTTTTCAAGCAGTTTTGTCCTGTGCTTCGTGTCCCCCTGAATAAGAGGCCTGATGAAGGGCTACGTGTTGCATTTACTTTGCAGAACTCTTTAAGACCTCAGGCTCTCCAACTGCACAAGTTTACCTTTTGCTTTGCACTTGGTGAAGACTTTTGGAGTTTCTCTCAAATACTCTACTTGTGTAACTCTCAAACACGCAGGGAGAAACGGGGGGATTCTTCTCCACCTACTCCTGTCTTTTACTATAGCTTATCCAGCATACACAGAGATTAACTCTTTCTGTGAGGCACTGTTTCTTTGCTACAGTGACTGCCTGAATGCCTTTCTTTTCCCTTGTCGAGCAGTACATTTTTAATGTGATAATGCAGTACTGTGATTACTGGTTAGCTGCGTATATATCAGGATTTTAATCTAGTGCAGTCTCTAGCAACTGACTGGTTTGGGGAGGAACTTTTGTGTGTGTGTGTGTCTGCATCTGCACATGTAATATTGTATATTGTCAATCAAGTGAAAAATTCACTCTGCTCAAGCCATAGATTATGTACGTTTAAATGTGATGTGTTAAGAAATCTGTAATGTCTTTCCCAGAACACCACTTAAGATTGGTGTCCTACCTATTCCTTTATACAAATATTCCTACTCTATCATCTTTTCTGGTAGCGGTGCATTTCTTGAGGATGTGTAATTGATTTTCGTGCAGGTTTCGGCCTCCATGCTCAAGCAGTTCCCCAACAGTGGCTTGAATCCAGGTCTTTTCAATATGGGGCCCCAGCTTTCTCCGCAACAGATTGCCATGCTGAGCCAGCTTCCACAGATTCCTCAGTTTCAATTAGTAAGTAGCTAGTAATCTTGTGAGACAGACGGTTTACAAATCGTCTGCTGCTTTCTTTTTACGTTTGTTCTAATTCTGTTTCCTTCTAATGATCTTGTGTTATTTTTTTGTACAAATATTCCCTGCTTGTTACACATGAAAATAGTCCTGTTAGGGGCCAGTGGGTAATCCAGACAGGCTTGTGTAATTACTGTGAATGTTGCAGTGGGATGGTAATGATTCTCAGCAATGTCTTTGTATTATAGAAAGCAGTTGTTTGTTGATTTTCTTCAGACTTAGAGTCTCAGCAGTAGTACTAGTAATACTGTTGCATGATGTGAAGTTAGAAACAATTAACAAATGTACTATTCTTCTAAAGCTTTCATTAGTAATTCTATTTCATTGTGAGGAATGAGAAACAGTTCACCTTTATGTACGTTGTGAGGAATGAGAAACAGTTCACCTTTATGTACGTTGTGAGTAAAGCATTTGCAGTTGAGCAGCTCCTGGCAATTGCATTTCACTTGAAGAACCCTGAATTTCCACCCTTCCCCCCCACTTCTCTTGTAGGCATGTCAGCTCCTCCTTCAGCAGCAGCAGCAGCAGCAGCTGTTACAGAGCCAGAGGAAGTTATCTCAAGCTGTGCGACAACAGCAGGAGCAACAGGTGGGGCACTGCTTCTGTCAATCACGTGAAGCATAAAGCGTGCTAGCGCTGGACTTGCCAGAGAGCATGGTCCTTTGAATCTCTTTCGAGTTGCTTCAGTATCATCCCTGTTTTTTGCTTTCATTTGCAGATTGCTCGTATGGTGAGTGCCCTCCAGCAGCAGCAGCAGAGGCAGCCTGGTATGAAGCATTCACCATCCCACCCTGTTGGGCCTAAGCCGCATATAGACAGCATGGTACCCAATCCCTTGAATGTGGGTCTCTCAGATTTACAGACCAAAGGGCAAATACCTGGATACGGTTCAGGTAAGTGCTCCCATGAAACGAGTAATTAATGTATAAGCACTAGAGCAAAGGTTACAAGAAATGTCAGCTCTTGATAAAATTGCATTACTTTTCATTATAAGAGAAGAATACAAACCTAATGTCAAAATGTATCTTAGAGGCATGCTGACTTAACAGACCTATTTTCCAAGTTCCTTTCAAATATTACATTTGCTGTGCTTGAATTTTGAATTTTTGATTGCAGTGCCACCTGATTTAAGGGTGTTTAAGCCAAAAAGAGCAACTGATAATGGCTTCCGTTTGTTTGTTTCACAGGCTTCGGCTCAAGTGGCATGGATTATGGCATGGTGGGAGGGAAAGAAGCTGGAACAGAATCCCGCTTTAAACAGTGGACTATGATGGAAGGGCTGCCCTCTGTGGCTTCTCAAGATGCCAATATGCACAAAAATGGTGAGAGGGGATTGGTTATTTTGAGAGTACTCTTGAAGTAGCATCTCACCAGAGGTGAAATAACTCAGGTGAAATTGCTTAAAGGTAGTTAACATCTTAGCTCATCAGTATGCATCTTAACTTTTTTTGGTTTTGGTATTCTATATTCTCATAAAGACCCCAACCTTTCCTGAGCGCAAATGTCTCTTTTTAATATTTCAGGTGCAATAGTGCCCCCTGGAAAGGCTCGCGGAGGGTCGCCCTACAACCAGTTTGACATAATTCAGGGCGACCCACTAGGTGGCCATGCAGGCCCTGCTGGTGATAGTTGGTTACCTGCCAAATCTCCACCGACGAACAAGATCGGAAGCAAATCCAGCAACGCCAGCTGGCCTCCAGGTATTACATGAGGGCAGGGGCTATGCCCCAGCTTTACGGTTGATGTGCTGGAACCTTTCATAAATAACTGCTATAAGGAAAATGTTTGGTGTATCGTATTTTTTAAAAACAAAAATGTTGAATTTCCAGTAAAAAATGGCAAAGCTAAGTAGGAACTAATTGATGAATTGCCTGAATAGTCTTTTGTGTAGTTTTGTGACTTTACATTTCAGGAAATTTTCATGAGAGCACCTGTCCACAAAATACGTAACACCAGCTCCCTCCTTGTATTCATTCCTTTCTTGTGTTGTGTTAGGATGAAAAAAAAAAGGGTTTAAAAATCAGATTGATATGGAATCAGAAAGCAAAAGTTAAAAATCTACCTTTTTGTGATGATGGGAACAGAATTTTCCTGTCCTGACCTTTTTTAATTTGAGGATGTTTGAACATTTCCTCTCAGAAATGGTTTATAAATATGATCCACTGTGGAGCACAAGGCTTCTTTTGCTAGCAGTATTGGTACAAAATGTGTGTACTGTGCTGTTTGTGGTTCATATTTGCTTGTGCTGTGTAAAGGATAGGAGTACTGCCATATTTCAATAGTTCTCAACAGTCTTGTGGCTTTAGTAGAAGTTTCTTTCTTTTTGGGTTACAGTCAGCAGTAGCATATTCTTAAAAGTCATCTAGAGTTTCACTGGCAGAAATTTCTGTCCACCAGAAAACTCAGTATCTAGGAAAAATATGTATGTACTTAAACAAGCACATAATCTTCTGTGAAACAGTCGCTAAACCCAGACTAGTGTCCTTGAAGTTGCATGGATTAATCACCAGTGTTGTTCAGCAAATAGCAGATGCTTAGATTTTCTCTGTCTGGAATACTCTTATATTCCAGGACAACATTCCTTGCTGCAAATTATCTGCTGTGTACCCGCTCAAGCACAAAGAAATAAAGGTGCAGGTGCATCTCATGGGTAAACCAAGTAGGACAGACCTTGCATCAGCAAGACTGGGAGTCTGTGCAACAGACAGACAACAGCAGGAAGCCTACACAAAGTAATTAGAAATCGTAGTGTCTAACTACGGCAAAAAAAATATTTTCTGATGAGGTAGAAGAGATTTAAAGAAATAGCTATCTCAGGAAAGTCTGTGCACCCACAATGTTTCATACTCTCTGAACTGGCTAACTGTTCCAGACCAACTTTTAAAGACTTTGCTTAACTTGATTTTCAGTCTTGCCAGTTTTCAGAAGTCTTTACAAAAACAAGACTCAGACTCATCTCTTACCTTGTCTTCAGCCATTCCAGGTCCTAAGCTGTGTTCATGGATATTTTATTTTGGAACAGAGACATTGAGTGTGACGTGACTCGTTTGTGATGAGACCTGAGAATCTGCTTTGGGTGGTCCTTAAGCATAAGGTGGTGCTTCAGGGGACTGCGGTATTTTATCAGTAGCTGAACAGATTCCTTTCTTGGTGTGGAGCTAGTTGATCATATTAGGAATTTTGATACCTGTTAGCCTAGATTATGTTGTAGAGTTACAGAAGATTAGGAGCTGATGACTGACATCTACAAAATCATGAAGGCAGTGGGTAAGATAAACACAGAATTTTAATTCTGCAAATGCTGCGGTGTTAGAACTCCTGTGCAAATGGTGGAACTAAGATAGAGGATATTTCTTATGTTTTCACTGAGATTCTCCTGACCGTGCAGTATTGCAATCTAATACTGCCCTTCCTGTGACAACTTTTTGAACCAGTAGTATCAAGTTGTCTTCTCACAGACGTGAGTCATAGTCTTGACTATGCTGTTACATACAAATAGTCAAAGGAATGCTGTATGCACTTCCACCACTTCTACGGTTATTGACCTGTGTTCAGTCACTAGAGATAATGCCATGGGAGGAAATATGAAACAGATTTTAATTAAGAGAAGTCTGATAGTCTGATCTTGTGAGGAACAGTGTAGAAGACTTTTATCCTCTAAAATATCGTCCAGAATTAATTCCAGTAAATGGCATTCCCCTCTCTGCATCTAACTCTTTTTTCCCTCCTGTCGCAGAGTTCCAACCAGGAGTGCCATGGAAAGGTATACAAAACATTGACCCTGAATCGGACCCCTATGTGACCCCTGGAAGTGTGCTGGGGGGGACAGCCACATCTCCCATTGTAGATACTGACCACCAACTTCTGCGGGACAACACCACAGGTAAAATGTCATGCTGATATCCGAGAATATTCTAACGTGCCTGTCAGAACACAATTAAGTCTACTTAATCGTGTCTGTGTATCACGTAAAAGGTCGGCATTGATACAAATTGTGGCTTTTTTGAGATTTAACACGGATAACAGAAACTCTAAAACTGGCCTACTCTTCTCTTTCTCTCTCCTTCTCCCTTTGATAGGGTCTAATTCTTCCCTCAACACCTCGCTGCCTTCACCTGGTGCCTGGCCCTACAGTGCCTCTGACAATTCCTTCACCAACGTTCATAGCACTTCAGGTATGCGGGCTCCAAAATTAACCTGGACAAAACATTTTCCACTTATTAACTAGTTTCTCCTCCTTATTCCACCTTGAATATTGAGCCTTTCAGTGACTGCTGAGGAGGTTTGGAAATAAAAATTGGAGTGGATGATTATCATTTTCCTTCTGCTGATAAAACATTCTGTTGTAGTTGCTCTAAAAAATTTGACTGAAAGACACTTGCCCTTTTCCTGGTACAAAAATTCCTGGTTACACAGGTTAAAGGATCGCAGTGAGCAGTAGATGTAAAAGAAAAAAATGCAAGTATGATCCATTGACACATGTAAAGGGGGACTACCCTGTTTATTTTTAAATACCTGCTCCTGTATGTATGAGGTAAGGAATTAGAGTAATAAGGCAGGTGACTTTATTCATCTTAACTTTAGAATATTGGGGGGCTGTGAAGAGAACGCTTTTCCCTCACCTTTTATAACACTCATCGTTCCCTGAAACCTGGAGACAGAACATTTTTAAAGGACTAAAGGTCTTAGTCAGAGGTCTTTTGATGGTTGGCCTATAAACAGTAATTTAGATGTCTGCCTCAGATTCTTGGTAAGGCCTACAAAGCTTTCTTGCAAAAAAGGGTCTCTGCACGCACTTCTGAGTAGGAAACTGGAAATTATCGTTTCTGATAAGTAATTGAGATTTTGAGGTGCTTGTAAATACCGGAGTTTTCTTTTGAGACATCCTTGTATTTGATAACTACATAAAACTGAAGAATTGAGTGCAGATACCAGCAGTGGTTAACATGGCTGAGAGCTGCATCTGGCCGGGACTGTATGATTTTTCCATCTTAAGGGATAACAGCTATGTTCATGTGTTAACTTGACATCTCCACAAAGCCAGCTGAAAATCACACTTGCCCCTCAAGAAACACAGTGTTCCTGGTGCCAGTTTGTGGCATGACTTTGGTTTGAAGCAGTATCTGTGTATGCAGCATTCCAATGACACAAAAAATTTCTCTTTCATAGCCTGGGAAATGGAATGGCATGTATCAGCTCCTTACCTCTGCTTAATGTTGTCTAGCACATAAGGAAACACAAGAGATTGGAGGGAAAAAACATTACTGAAGTTGTAGCTGAATTGAAGAAACCAGACCGCTATCTGGCATAAATCCATAAATCTCCACAAGTTGTTAAACTACACACCAGTGTTGAACAGATGGAAAGTGGGTCATCGGAATCAGGGATTTGGAATTTACAAATCTATAAAACAAACTTGGCCAAGTGAAACAGGGTTTTTTAAGCGCTTTTGTATACTTTCCTAGGTTAGAGCTTGAAACCTGCTTACTGCTGACAGTTACTGTCACTGAAATGTGGTGATCTAAATGTAGAAGGAAGCATGCTTTTACTTCTCGCTGTAAATGTTATGGTCTTGAGTCCCAAACGTATTATTTTGTAACATCCTGTCATGTTGTAAATCTGGATTTTTATCCGTTGTTTCAAATCAGTAATTTACTACCTTTTGTTAGTAAATAGAGCTTAATGCGTGTATTTGCACCCACACAAATGAATTCTGATGAAGATAATTGGCACAAGTGCCTTTACTCCTAGATTGCTTTGTCTGTGCTTGCTGCTTCTGATTGCAGAGCAAGGAAAAAGGAAATTACTTGAACAATTTTGACGTTCATTTGTTTCTTTTTACTGGGTGATAAATGTCTCTTGGTGTTGGGAGGCATGGGAGAATTTACACTCCACCTTGTTAAGGACAAGCGTTTAGGAAGAGCTCCCACCTATCCATAACTTAATGATGTTTTAGGGAGTCTTTTAATTTTTTTCATTGGACTTCATTGAAGTGTGTTAGGGATACTCACTGGTGGTCATCTCCTAATAGGTGTTGTGTAATGTTTTCTCGTATAAATGTCAGGATTGTTTAAAAGTCCAGTTGTCACACAGCACAATGACCTTCACGTGCTGTCATTGTTCTGACTTTATAATGAAATCTGTGTTTCATGAGAAAGCTTTGATCTTATAAGAGGACATCTTTAGGAGGTAGCAGGTTAAGGTTAAGGTTAGCTTAGTAGACCAGGAGCACTAAGTAGTTATTTCAGGTCTCTGCAGGTTTAGGGCGTGAAGAAAGTTCAGTTTTAATATAAGTCAGTAGTGCCCAAACTTGTAAGAAATGCTCGTGTTCTCAAAAGAAATACAGTACAGACATAAATATTGCTGGTAGTTGTTAACGACTGAATATACTGTTGCTAGTTACATTAACACAAATAATTTAGGATTTTGTTGTTGTTGTTAGAGTATGTAAAATCAGCAAAGATTAACTACATGGCATGGCTTTTTTTTTTGTTATGGCAGTTTTTAACTGTTTTTATGATTCTGTGCTTTGTGTTTATCTGTGATTAAAATTGCAGTCAGAGGGTTTACAGTAATAGTATAGTCGAAGGCTAGTTGAATCTGTTATGTTTCTCTAATACATGCCCTTTATTTTAATCTTCTAGCAAAATTCAGTGATTACAAATCAACATGGTCCCCAGATCCCATAGGACACAATCCCACTCATCTCTCCAACAAGATGTGGAAAAACCATATTTCCTCAAGGAACACTACAGGGCTGCCCCGCCCGCCTCCTGGCCTGACCAACCCCAAACCATCATCTCCATGGAACAGCACAGCACCCCGATCGGTCAGGGGCTGGGGGGCACAGGACTCAAGGCTTGCCTCTGGTGAGAAGAATCATCTGATAGCACCATTGATCAGACCTGAGGAGTGTACGTTTTACAGCACTAATGGTTTGGAGGAAAGAAAGTTGCAGTTGCCTGGTAAAAGGAAAAAAAAAAAGTTCCTTCTTGAAATGGAAATTTCATGTCAGTGATTGGGATGGTGGGGGGAGAATCCCAGGTCCCGCTGCAGGGGATGAGTTGGAGGTGGTCTCAGAGCTGCAAGGAGGGAATTCCTATTGCATAGGGCATTTCAAGCCTTGAAGGCATTGGTTAAGAGCTGTCTGTGAATGGGAAACTCCTAGAAGATAAATTCCAGTAAAAAGTAAATCATGATGTGAAATGTGAGGAAAGATGTGGTTTTTCTTTCCAGGACTAAAGATTAGGCTTCATATGTTAGCAGGGCTGATAATCTTGAGTTTGTCTGAGACCAAAAGACCTGACTGTAAAGAAAAAAAGGGTTTTGTTGTATCCAGTCTTTTTTGATTCCTCTCTCTTCCGTTTGCAGCATCTACTTGGAGTGATGGTAGCTCAGTTCGTCCTAGTTACTGGCTGGTTCTTCACAATCTCACTCCACAGGTATTTTCTGTTACTGTCTTTGGGAACTTGCTTGCTTTGCGAAGACACCAATTTGTGGATTCTTCAGCTGTTTCTCTGTGAATAAGATCTAAAAAAATCAAATCTGTCAGCATACGTAAGAATTGTTTCTACTAAACAGTAGTCTGATGAATTTTTCAATTGCAGTCTCTTCGTTTAACTTGAAGATGATCAGCATTTGCTACATGACTGTCTTAGCCTTTCCTTACCTAGAGTTTCAAGAAATTATTGGAACAGAAAGATGTTTTTCTTAGAAGTGAGGATAAGTTGCATGACCATAATGTGGAATGGTTTATAGCAGCTAAAGAGACTGTTTCTTTGGGGTGTTGTAAGAATGCTGGTGTAACTGCCAGTTTTCGCTTTGGTGTTTCCATAGTAAAACCACAGAATGTTTCCAGCACTCCTGCCAAAAGCAGTCTCGTTAGGTTATTCCTGCAAAAGTATTCTCAGAACTCTTCCCTTCAAAATGAATTTTGTGGAGATCCTGGTTTCAGCGATCCCAATTAGTCTCTCTATTCAAGGCTTAGGAAAAGCTTGTGTGATTATCAGCAGCGCCCTGAGGTCTAGACAGAGAGTTCCCTGTTCAGCGGGGTAATTTACCACGCTTCTAGTGCAGTTTAAGATGACATCAATGTGAAAGGAAAGAGAGTCTCCTTCAGATCACCCCAACTGGCAAGCTACGCTCCTTTCATAGGAAAGTCTGTTTTCCTTAGGAAACAGCAGTGGTGTGACGAAGAGGCACAAGTCTAAGTCCCCGCCCTGTGCAGGGTAGTTTACTGCTTTAGTAATGGTTTAATGGAAGAAAAATATTTTTGAAGGCATTGAATTAATAAAAAAGGAGAAGGTAGGTTATAGTTGTTCATAACAAATCTTCTTTTTGTTGTTGGTCAAGTACACTGGAGAGGAGGAAGTGTAAAGATTAAGGTGATTTCAGAGACAGTACCTTCAGTTTCTTTTTTAATCTTGCCCACATTTATACCCACATAAAACTTTCTTTTCCTGAAAAGAGGGAGGGGGGAGAGGAAGAATGTAATAACACTTCCTTAAGTATCTGCACATACGGATCCCATTTGTGTGTGCATGTTCCTGTGGCATACCAGGAATGGAATCTGTCTGTATAGAGCACCTTGGAGAACAGCAGTTACTGGAGGTAAGAAACTGTTATGCTGCAGGAAGGAATGCAGGCAACAACTGCTGTGAAAACATTAGTTCAGGAGGAATGAACACTGCTGGGTTTGGCAGAAAGACCACTGTCTGTTTCTGTGACTTCATGTTTAATAACCACAAAGACAAAAAATGCACTAAAAGAAAAGTAAAAAAGACCCTTGTTAGAGAGGTGAGATTTCAAATTTTGCAAAACTGGTTGGTGTAAATTCTACTGCAATCAGAGTGCTGGAGGCTTAACAAATTCTGCTTCTTTGGTCCAAGTCCTAATGGCTGGAGATGGTGAGAAACGCAACTTGCATGTAATCGCTGGAAAACATGTCAGATTGTCGCATGAAGCAAAGTAATTGTGAGAGCTTGAAGTCACTGTAATTGTGAGAACTTGAGGCATACAGAAATGCTGTTTGAAAATTAAATCCTCTCACTTTTGCGTAATTTGTTACTTCCACCTGCTTTCCCGTGAGATCAGTTATCTTTAAACTACTTGTGACTGCTGAGTTTAAAGTACATTTGATGAAATAGTTACAAATCTCCCTTTTACCCTGGCTGTTCTTCCTCAGATCGATGGGTCAACCTTGAGGACGATCTGCATGCAGCACGGCCCACTGCTGACATTCCATCTGAACCTGACCCAGGGCACCGCCCTCATCCGATACAACACCAAACAGGAGGCGGCCAAGGCCCAGACTGCACTGCACATGTGAGCAAATCCCAGTGGCCTTTCTTTGTTACCACATTAGTCATGAACACCAAATGTCTCTCCACTGCTGTGCTTTGGAAACTCATTCCAAGAGCGCTTCTTTGAAGGGGATCTTTCATTCATGAGTAGAAGATGAGAAACAAAGCTGCCTTCCATTTATGTCGTTTTAATTGTTGGCACAAACCTGTAAATACAGAACCAGGAAGGTGCAAATAGGGTGGAATTGTGACCAGTATGCGAATTACTGTACGCTTTGGGCTATTTTATGAAGCCTTGTGAATGACTTCAGATGAAAATCATTCTTCCATATGTAACCCAAATGTGCGGGAACCTGCTAAAGTTTTGAGATAAACCTGAAATAGCTTTTGTGAAAGGCTGCAGGTCTTACGTTTCCTGTTACCTAAGCCTTTTGGAATTGACTGTGGCTCTGTTAAGTTTGGAAAATGTGAGAGGTCTTGAGACTATTTTTGGGGGGTGGTGGTAATAAGCACTAAAATTCACTGAAATCTTGTAAGCGAGGCTAATCTTATCTTGAACTTCCTGGGCTTTTCAGCCTTTTCTTGCTCTGTGCTATTTGAAAGGTGGCATATGTGCATTTCCCATTTCAGCTACACTGCGTATGTACTTTCATTGTCCTCGCATTTATCTTCAGGGCCTTAGCTTAAATTTAGAACACTTTTGTTGCAGGCCTAACAATAGAGAATTTGAGTTTTGCCCCGTATCAAATGGCTGACATTTTCTGTGCTCTTTCCATTGTGGCGAGCTGCTTTCTGCTTTGGTTTTGTCACCTAATAGCGTTCTTTCCGTGCCTTCTGAATCCCTACCTTGAACTTCCAGCTTTGTCTAATTATTTTTTTTCTCCCACCTGTCTTTCTAGGTGTGTGTTGGGAAACACTACCATCCTGGCTGAGTTTGCCACAGACGAAGAGGTTAGTCGCTTTCTGGCACAAGCTCAGCCCCCTACACCTGCAGCAACCCCAAGTGCACCCACGGCAGGCTGGCAATCCCTGGAGACGGGACAGAACCAGACAGATCCAGTTGGACCTGCTTTGAATCTCTTTGGTGGGTCAACAGGGCTTGGGCAGTGGAGCAGTGGTGGCGGCGGCGGCAGCAGTGGGGGCGATCTCACTGGCGCTTCATTGTGGGGGCCCCCAAACTATTCTTCAAGCTTGTGGGGGGTCCCGAGCGTAGAGGATCCACACAGAATGGGCAGCCCTGCTCCCTTACTACCTGGAGACCTTCTGGGAGGAGGGTCGGATTCAATCTGAACTTAGAACTTTCAACTCTGACCTCGTGACCTTTTTTGGAACAGCAGCAGCACTAACTTGACCTTTTCGTTTTTTTCAACTTGCAATAAATACATTTATAAAAGGAAAAAAGAAAACGGAGAGAGAAAAAAAGGTGGGTCATTGACAGACTGTCTGAGCACATAGTTGCCTCCCTTATATAACTTCAGTTTTTTCGTTTGGAATATGAATCCAAAAAGAGAACATATCACTCTTGAAATACTTGAATCATGAACGCCAACTTAGAAAGACAATGTGAAGCAAGTACACATACCATTTAAATCTAAACACAAAAAATTAAAAAAATTAGTTTCTAGTTTTTCACTTTTTCATGTTATACGGAAGTTGTTGCTAAGAAACATATATACTGAAAAAATAGCTTTTTAACTTTGTTTGCACTGGGTGTGTTTCCGTCCTTAGGTCTACCATGTTGGGTTGGGGCAGGGGTGGGATTCAAAAGAAAAAACGGGGTGGGGGGGGAGGGGAAGACTTGACGGAGCCTCACTTTAAAAACAAAAAAACAAAATAATAATTAAAAAATAAAAAAAATGAAAAAAATCAACAAAAAAAAACAAAACAGAAAACAAAACAAAAAAACCAACACTTTGTGATTGGCTGGTTGATAAGTACCAGTGTGTTCTGGCACATGTAACTGCCCACGTGTGCTTGTTTCTGTGTGAGTGCGTGTGCACATGTTCGTGTGTGTGCATTTTTTCTCTATATATATAATCTTGAAACGCTGCATTGCTGATGGTCTACGGGCTGGCTGGCCATCTGCGTGTCTTGCTTCAGAAAACAAGACAAGCACGGTGGAGTCCCTGTGGCTGAAGCAGAATCCAGTTGGGCTGGATTAAAATTTGTCAGTAGGTTTTTTTAAATTCATTTTAGCAGGGTGCTATCAAAAGTTTGCAGATCATACTGAGTGGGTAGTCGCTTCCTAGCCCTTGTTCTAACCCTGTGGTAGAGCGGAACACTGCCATATCCAAAGGATTTGGTGAGAGGGGAGCCAATGTTGTCTTTTGAGTAGCAGTGTATTTATTTATTTATGTCTGCATGTGGGGTTTTTGTACTGAGTGAACCCTAGAATGTTTGTTATATAATGCAAGCCATTTTTTTTTCTTCAGAAGAGGGGAGGAAAGAAGTCATTGCCATTTTTTGTGTGACAAAGACGAATGTTCTTATTCAGTCTCTTGCAAGCTTCAGTACCTTGAAAAAAAAAAAAGACGAGCGTTTGTTTTTCTCCCCTGAATGCATAGACAAGCACCCACATTCATTCGCAAAGAATCCATCAAAACCCTGAAAGTCCAGCCCAACCAAATTAGCCTTTTAACTGATTCACTGCTTGTATTAACACTGACAAAAACGAAATCGTGTCAGCAAATCGCTGGCCGGCCTGCCTCATCTCCTGAAAGCACATGCAGCTAACTCCTTTCTGCGTCTTCACGGTGAGCGTTACCTGTGCCAGGCCTTGGTGTATTACAACGCCAGACCATCACTGACAGAAACGTTTACTTACGAATGTTCTTAAACCAGTGTGTACTTCAAACGTTTCCTTTTGTTTCTCTGTGTTGTGTTTTTTCCTGTGTACGTGGTTTTGCTTAGGGAGGTATATAACTAGCAAAGACTTTTTTTTTTTTTTTAAAGTATTGCACCTTTTTGTTTTTTTTTGTTTTTACTTTTTCTGTACTGTTGCTTTTTAATTTCTGTATTTAAGGAAAGGTTTGGGTTTTTTTTTTGTGTTAGCATCAGTGTAAGTAGTACTCTGGGCAGGATAGGGGTAACCTATGTAATCCACAGTGATAGCCAGTGTGTGCGTGCATGTGTGCGCCGGGAACAAAACTTCCAAGACTGCTTGTTGGGAGGCGAGTTGCAGCAGCCTTGAAGAGCATCCCTTTACACGAAGCCAGAAGTCTTTAGGAGGGGGGACTGGGAAAAAAGGGAAGAGAGATGCCGGTACTTTTTCCGTAAGCGCTAGCAGTCCCGCGCGGCGTTGTCTAGCTGTCATACTGTGTAACGAAGTGCCGACGTTGAGTACCAGCAGATACCTGTCCATTCCAACCCTCAGCGGGAGCAGTTCTCCGTTTTCATTGCCTGTCCGGGGGGGGGAGGATAGGGGAGCCTCTTTCTTCAGCGTTTCATTGAAGGATACAACAGTGTCTAATATATTTAACTCTTCAGCTGGGTGGGGAGAAGCGAAGGCAGGTGGGGGTGAGGTAGGGGTGTGTGTGTGCGTGCGTGTGCCTGTGCTGGGGCGGGGGGAAGGCCTAGGGAGTTCCGTGGCTTTTTTTTGAATTCGCCCTCTCTGTGTAAACCCAATGTCACGAGGAAGGCTGACTGAGGGAAATGCTGCATTCACACATGCCTGTAGATTCGTGTGCAAAGTGTTACGTGACAAAAAAAAAGTATGAGTAGGTTCGTATTCACTTAGTCAACTGGAGCGTGCAGCATACTCCGGCCCCGTTTGGATATACTTTCCTATCACGTCTCCTCCTTCATCCCAGTGTGCACAAAGCAGCAAAAACCTTCTCTTCCAGCTCCCGCTAGCTCGCTGCCCCTCGCCTGCACGCATCCGCAAAGCTTCGCTTCCGATAGCCTCCGCTTGAAGCCCAGAGCAGGTGTCGAGCAGCCCAGTGCCAGCAGCACTTCCTAGCGAAGCGCCGTGGGCCCGAGGTGAGCAAGTGCCCGTCCTCGCCCGCGGTTTGCTCTCCGTGCTGGCTCATCGCTGTGCTCCACCCTCACTTCTCTCTCCCGGCCTGCCCTAAGGTCCCTTTTCCTGCACTTTGGGTTAGTTGAGTTCCTCGCGATAACTACGGTGAAAGCCGGGTGCTAGAGCCCCTCTTGTTTACAAGACGTAATGAGGGATTTGAAATATTTAAAAAAAAAAAGAAAAAAAAAGAAAAAAAAAAAGCTAAATTGTTCTTCCATTCTAAGTTTAAAGGGAAAAAAAAATTAAAACGTACAAAAAAAAAAAAGACCAAAAAGTGCATATATATATTTTAGATGAAGACTAACTCTGGGAGCATTTAACAGTGTTTTTGTTTTTATTTTAACATTTTATTTTCCTGCTTTAAATTTGCAAGCATTCTCAGGAATTCTAGGGTAGGAAGCCAGTTTTTTGAAGATGGTTTATTTAACCTTATCCTAGATAGATGGCTGTTTCTTGTTGATAAACTTTTACAAGTTCCTGAATCTTCAAAATGTTTGAAAGTTTTTACTTTAAAATAAAAATGCTAAAAAAAAAATTAATAAAAAGAAAAAGTAAAAAAAAAAAAAAAAAAAGGTAAAAAATATCTCCAAATGTTACTGTCAAGCGGGGGATCAAGGATTTGAGAGACTGTCTGAGTTCAAGTAACGTCAAAACTTCTCAAGATCAGCAACAGCAAGCCGTTGTGGTCTGACGGTGGGGGAGAAGGAGGGTTCCCGTCCGCAGGGCCGTGTCGCTCACGCGGACGCACGCAGTTGCATGGAGAAGAGAAGTGCGTGAATGGAAATCTTATCGCTTTGTTCCCTTTCGATTGAAACTAAACTATTCTTCCAAGCACCTTTTTCAAAGCGAAACTGTAAGCCGAGCAGAAGATGCAGTGTAGTGTAGCCGAAAGAGTCCTTGGTCAGGGGCGGCAGCAGGAAATAACACGATGGTGCTTCTTTAAACCACTTGTGAGTAGTGCTAAAGAAAACCAGTGCTGACAGAAAACCCAGGAATGAAGTAGTTGGAGCCTGCCTGTACAGCAAAGGCAGGCGATGCGGGAAAACTCCAGTGAAACATCCCGTAGAAATCGATTCCCCGTTTTCAGCTCTTCGCTCAGTTTTATTGCCCACTTGGAGATTTGCTGCTTGCTTTTCTTCACCCCCAGCCCGCCCCCCTGCCCCGATCTTTCTGGTTAGTTTTCCAGGAGGGGAAAAGCTGTTAAACCTCCTGCCTTCCTTCCCCCTGTTGCTGCTGGCTGTCAGGGCGTTCGGTCTTGATCCTGAGAGCCCGGTGCTGGGCCGGCTGCCTTCTGGCCCCCAGCCCCGAGGCTCGGGGGCTCTCGCTCCGCCTGATGTGGCCAGGCTGGAACCACAAAAACCGCGCTAGTGCCTTTTTCCACGCACCCGCATGCCCTACGGTAGGGGAAAGGGAGGGAAGGCGAGGCAGTGTAGAGTTGCTTAATGGAAATGTACCCGCTTTTAAAGGAAAAAAAAAAAAAAAGAAGAAAAAAAAAAAGCATGCTGCGTAAGCAGGTCGTGCGCCGAGTTACGTAACAGTAGTTAGGATTACTGTTTAAAAAAAAAAGTCAGATGCCAAATTTCTGTCCTCTCCGTATCAGTTGCCCAGTGGTTTCGTGTCGTGCTCTGTGTGCATATGAGTGTAGACGTCTGTGTCGATTCCAACGCATCAACTAATCTGGAGGAAAAAAAAAATAAATGTATGGCAGGCCAGTAGAGGGGCGTTCATTTGGGAGTTGAAGATTATTTTTAGTTTTATTTTGTGATTTTTAAGGAGAGCAAATGAGCTTTTTTTTAATTTTTTTTTAGCCAGAGGCTGTGTTTTCATCAAACCGGCGGTGTCCTAAAAAAGCAGAAATGTAGGATTTTGTCAAAAAGAGCCCAGGAGCTTGGCAGTCACTTGGAAGTGAATTGGGACTGCTGAGGGGTTGCAGCCTGGAGCCTCGGTCACCTGCTGGGTCCAAACCCACTGCCATGCAGCACTCTGCTCCTCCGTGCCCTAAAGGCACAGGCGTGCAAATGATGGTGACCATCTCCCCAGTGATAGTTTTCCTGAATTGTTACAGCAAAGCCACATTAATCTTACTGCTTTCCAGCTACAGGTGACAGTTCTGTTCCTCTCCGAATTACGTGTAGCTAACAGTGCTCAGTCCTGGCATCCCTAACCTCGGCCAAGGATTTCTGAGCACCCTGCTAACCAGACTTAGTATTTTTTTAATTTTCTGAAGCTACAGAGAACACTATCATTCTGTTCCTGGTGTTGGTTCTCAAGATTATACCGTTTAGATATACCTTGCAGTTTTTTTCAGATTCCCTGCTTGTTTTGTTTTGTTTTGAATCCTTCAGTGCTCCATCTTAGCAGTCTTTTAAACAAGGACCCATTTGGCACCGGCCTCCTGGCTCACCCCCCAGCCTGCAGCAGTGCATCAAGCTGGGGCTTTTTTTAACAGGCTTGACGTTTCCTCACTCCGTTTGACAATTTCATTTTAGCCATGATAACAAAGCCTAGCAAGCAAAAAACATTCATGTAAAGAGGAGTGGGTGCAGCTCAGCAACCTGTGTTGAGACCTCGGACACTTATTTTGGAAAGCAGGTTTAGTATGCACGTCGGAAGACTTGCCAGCTTTTTCCAATGTTTTTGTACTTCCCTGGACACTTGGCCAGCAGTCTTGAGAGTGTTTTTTTTTTGTTGTTGTTGCTGTTTTTTCCCAATCGCAGGCTGTCAGGGTTTTCTTACAAGTTTTTTATTTTGCTTCAGGTTAAGTGGTGTGCGTAGTGAGCAAGAATATTAAACCAAGTGTGTTTTTCCTTTGCGATATAAACAAGATGTTTTCAACAAACTGGCTGGGATAACCACCTCAAAGATGAAATAACAACGGAACCTTTATATTAAGTTGTCTCTTTTTTTTTTTTTTTAACCTACCATTAACTTCTAAACATTTAGTCTTTTGAACTTTTTCCCTCATCTTTCCCTTCCTAAAAATGCTGCCACATCTTCCACTGTTTGTCTTGATAGTGCACCCAAGTAGTACTGTAGGGGGGTTGTTTTGTCGCTTCGTTCTTTAATTATGTTTACCTTTAAGGCTTCTGAATTTGTTCATGCGTATGCTTTTCCTTTTGACTTTAGGAGGAGTACTGTAGGTGTTTTCTGAGATACCCAATTTCGGTCAAGTCTAGTCTGGGAAACTGGGAGTGATCCTCATGTAAATGAGTCCCACTGACCTGAAACCAGCGTGTGCTGCTCAAGGAAGGGCTCTTTGTGCAAGTAAACCTTAGCTGGACCGGGGTCCAGGTAGCAGCTGAGGACCTGTTACATTTCCAAAGCAGCAAAGGGATCAGTGTTGTATATCTCGCCTTCACTGTAGCTCCTGTGACCTTACCATCCAGGTTGCTCAAGTGGATTGAAGAGCTGGTTTTGTGGCAGATGGTTAGCATCTCAGGGTATGGGTCCTGATGGAGTAGAAGGTGATTTTTCTTCTCTCTGAAGAGGAGAGGTTCTCCAGGAACCCCCTGGTTCCCCCCAGGAGCAGCTTTCTTATCTGTAAGTGTGTGCGTGTATTTGTGGGCAGGAAAGTAATCCCGAGAAAGCTCAGTTGAAATGAATTCAGAAAAAAAAAAAAAAAAGCTGTTGAAATGCAACTTTGGTCCTGAATCTGAAACAACATATGCAGAATCTGTTGCTGTGACTAAATTGATTTTTTTGCACAAAATACCATTTCAGTTTTGTACCGTTTATCTGCTACAGTTTTGCAGTGTCACAAACCTTATTGCCTGATGCTGTTAGATCATATCAGTCATTCCTGCTGTGATCAAAACGCAGATGTCTGAAGTCCAAATCCTCTTCCTTTCCCTTCACCTCCCTTACGAGGCTTCTCAGTGCGGCAGAAGGGTGTTAGCAGTAATGGGGGAAAACGTCTAAAGCTTCCCTGCTGTGCTGAATTCACATCCCAACCTAAAATGCAAGCCCTGAACGATGCTGGAGTGGAGCTGTTGGTTGGCCTAGACGGCAGGAGCCTAACTGGAGATCTTTAGCAGTCCTGCTAGTTCGTGTCCCTCACGATGTTTGCCCCGAGTGTCCTGTCCCCGTAAATACCAGTGTTGATGAATTTTACCAAAGTTCCCCCGCGGTAGGTGATAGGAAACAGCCAGGTCCATCCCGTAGTGACTCTCCAAGCAGAGCTTTGTCTCCAGTAGGAGCCCAGGGTCCGTCTGTCTGCACTGCTGTGAAAACTGAGTCAGGGTCCTGTTAAAATAGAGCTCTCCGTTTCGTGGTGTGCGTGGAACTTTAAACCTTGTGCTGCAGTGACTAGAGCTTCTAATCCTTCTGTGAAAAGTGAGTTAAGGTTTCATCTATGATACAAAAAAAAGCTCCTGAGGGTGTGGAGCCTGTTGTTAAAACTCGTCAGGCCCAGCTTCACCCGTGGCACGCAGCAGCCGACATCCCTCCGCTTCCACGGTTTGCGTGCGCGTTTTCATTGAGCTATGCAGGAAACTTTCTCTCCAAAAATCCCCCGGGATCCTGCGCTACGTGAGCAAGCTCCTCACGAATCAAGTGCCCTCTGTAAAGAGCCGTTTCCACCCCGTGTGTGCGTGTGGCAGTCGGGACTGGCGACATTCAGCAGCGTTAGGGCTCCTGGTAACTCGAGAGGGTTTTTGTGACTTGACTCCGACAGCCCTTCCGTACCTGAACACAGAGCACTCCAGGGAAGGGTTGGAGAGGGATAAACGCGTTGTGCCAGCCAGCATGAAGTATTTTTGCAGCAAGCACTCTTGACTGTGGTGGACAGAGGGGAAGGGAAGAGATGGGAGAAGTTTGCCTGGGTGTGCAGTACGAGGAGGCGGTGCATGGCGAGAAACATTTCCTTGAGCACAAAGCCTCACCTTGGGTGTCAGCGTGCGCTGTCGCGTTCACAGAACTCATTTCTTCAAGTTTTTAATCTGTTTTTGTTTGTTTGTTTTCTTAAACTGAGACAAAGTGGAAGCTTCAGTCAGAGCAGGTTGCACAGCTTGCTAGGATAGCTATTTTATGACATGGTTATGATATTACGTGCTTGCTTTCCCCTCCCTCTCCCTGCCAGATGCGGCTCACCCTTTCTATAGAAGGCGTCAAGTGTGGGTTTTTTTGTTTTGTTCTGGGGATGCGTGGAGAAAGAAGCAAAATGAAGTGAAAAATGCAAGCCAAGGTAGAACAGCCTTACTTTAGGGGGGTAGCCTTACAACAGAGCTTTATAGTGAGTGTGCTGTATTCCAAAATATGTAAGCCAAAAACAAAAAAAAGCATTCATTTATGCAAAAAAAAAATAATTAAAAAGAGGTGTTGGAAGACTTCTTTAATATGTACCTTCTAAAGGTAGCGTAAGGTCTCACCAAGTGATACGTTATTGTGATACTTCTTGCTGGGTCAGTAGGGACGGGTCGGGGTATAAGCGCTTAATGTTTTCCTCCTTCTGTGTTTTTACAAGCAGTAAGTTAAATGTGGTATTTATGAATGTGCCTTTGTGAGTATAGTGACTAATTGAGGAGACCGCTTGGGCTGGAGGGGAGACAATGGTCAATTTATTCTTTCAAGAGGTCAGACGTTGAGATTCCAGCCCACTGGTCCCTTTTTTTTTTTGGCAAGCAGCATCCTTGGGCTGGTCTCTACACTGCACAATACGTATTCATCTGTGGTAGAGATCGGGGTGGGGGGCGAGGAGGGAGGCGGTGTGATGCACAGAAGCTGTTGGTAGTTTTAGGCTAGGCTGCCGTTGCAGGTTGAGTTTGTCCATGTACTACGTGGCTTCTCTTTACGTTGGTGTGCATGAGTGTGAGTGCGTGTGGCTTTATTTTTTTTGTAAGCACTGGAGAATTGAAACACAGTGATGTTTGAGACAAATTTATACATGTAGACAAGATGACGTTTTGTAGCTTCTGTTAAATAGTGGGTGCAGGCACACTTTTACCCTCTGTCCGTGTCCTGATAAGAGAAACAGGAGAATTTATTTTTTTCAACCCTTCAACTTCCAGCACACTTAATGTTGCCATTTAAATGAACAGGGTATTACACAAGAAGAAAAAAGAGTTTTTGAAATGGTGAGGTAGAAGTGTTTAAAAGGAGAAAAAAAGAAATCTGAAGTAATTTTTTGTTTCTTCGAAGCTGTTTGTAGCTAAACATGGGAATCTGCAGTGTCTCCTTCCATTTGTTTTTTTTTTCTAATAATTCACCTCTTCGTCCCACCCAAACCGAGGTGTACGAGATCAAGAGCTGTTGCTGTAGCCCCTCGCAATTCCCACCCTGAAAAGCAACTCCAGTGGGATCCCTCAGCTCTATTCAGGAAGACAAAGAGAGGAGAGACTCTGCAGTTTTCTTTGCTTCGCTCTCATTCCTCTCTAATGGCCTTGAAATGTATTATTATGCAAATGTGAATTTTGATACTGAACTTAAGAAGAGGTTGTTTGTTCTTTTTTCAAAAAAAAAAAAAAAAAAAGGTCCCATATGTGGTCAGCATTGCTTCTTTATTTTGTAAGTGAATTGTAAACTATGCATTCTGCAAAGGGGGCGTAGGGGACGAAGATAGCTTTGCTAAACTGTTCAGGAGTTTCTGTGTCCATGGTAGATCCGTTACCATTTGGGGGTGGTGAAGTGATAACTTGGAAATAGACAGGAGTTCCCAAGAACTTCTCTTGGTTCAGAATTCGGCCCCTGGGCAGAGATTTGGGGAAACGAAGGTCGACTACAAAAGCAAATGGGCTCCAAAGCTGCTGCAGGATGGCGAATTGTAGCCATGCAGTGTTAACCCAGGGCCAGGAGGGTGACTGGGACACCAGCTCTCCCTGGGGAGCGATCCGCCGCCGCCTCCTGCGTTCTGGCCCCGGTCAAGCTCAGGAAAACACGGTGCCGTAGGCACTGGCTTCTTTGGATTTACTACTCGCTTTCCATTACAACAGTCTTGCACTCTCCCAGGAGAATTGGGACGCGGCCGGGCCTTCCGTCTACACCCTCTTTTCCCTAAAATCCTCGTTGCTGCTGTTCCTGGCACAGCTATGGACAGGACGGTGGAGGTGGTCCTGGTGGTGCTGATCCAGGCACGACCGCGAGGGTTGCGTTTTTCAACATCGGCAGCGCGTGCAATTTTGGGGAACGTAGACTAATGTGTAGACAAGGCTCTGTTGAAAGAAAGATCATCTTTTTATCCACTGAGTGGTTGGTAGCATAATGGGCAAAAAAGGATTCACTTCCTCACATCTCCAAAACGCAGCCATTGTGTGAATTTCATGCGTTCCTTGAAGCTCGCTGAGCTTCCAGGAGCGATCTCCTCAGAAAAGCGTAGATCTCGCTGCCCTCTTCATCATCTTCCTAGGGACCCTTTGTTGACTTGACTTTTTCCTTCGTCCATGGCGTACCATGGTACCTGCATTATCCTCGGCATTATCTTAGACGTAATACCATAAACCGAGAGGTTATCCTGCCTGTATTCAGTGTTTTCATGCAGCAATTTTATTTGTGTTGACGTTCACAGTACTGTAATAAGTAAGAGACTTGATGATCGCTCTCGCATCTGCGCCTGCCTTGCAGATGTGATCTTATCAGGGTTCCACTCTGTCAGATTGCCTTCAACAACAACAAAAAGTTTTAAAAAAAAGGAAAAAAAAAAATCTGAAGTTTCAACTCACAAAAATACCTCGTGGTACATTTCCCCTTCTGACGTAACCATTTAAATCTTAACATCTTCTTCTAAACTTTATAGGTTTTCATTTCCATCTGTTGTCTCCTTTCTAAAAAGATGCTTGGAGTAGTGGTTTTGAGCACAGGACCAGAAGCCTGGAACTCCTGACTTTGAACATTGGCCCTTATTCTTCCCTCTTTGGCCTTGGGCAAGTCATTGAACTTCTTTGCCTTTGTTTTTTCATTTGGAAAACAGGGGTGTTAATAATACCTACCTACCTCACAGGGGTTTTGTGAGGATCAAGTAGTACATGTTTGTAAAGTGCTTTAAAGACTAAAAGCATGATAGAAGTATTAAGAGTTCTTACAGCAAGGTAGCTCAGTTCTTTTTACATTGTTTGCTTGTGTGGAGGGAGAGAACCCACGACATTTTCTGTGATGAAGCCATTAGACACTCAGACCCTATGTGACAGAAGCTGATGGAGATTGTTACTCACGCTCCTCCTGTCTTTGTGCCAGTTTCCTCCTCCCGCTCTTCCTCGTGTCGTTACACCAGTTTTGCTCCAGGTCACACGTCTCTGGTCATACTTCTGGAGAAACTTTTGAACTTGAAGTACTTCGAGCTTGCTGCTTCTTTCACCAGATCTCCACGTTGGAATCCGTTCGTGTGCTTCTCCCTGCCTTCAAACAGAGTTTTTGCAATTTGCCATCCTCCACCGGGCGCATCTCCTCCTGCCGCCACGAAGGGGAGGCGGTGGCCTGGGGCTGCAGTACGAAGAGCCGTGCCGCTCCAGCAGCGAAGGGCACAGCAGCTTCCCGTGTCCTTCCCTCAGCTAACTTCTCACTGACACTTAAGTACAGCATCTCTTTTTGCTCCACGGCAGAAGCCATCAGCTGCCAGCAAGACGTAGGAATAGGGAGCGACTGGTCGCTGCTGCCCCGCGCCCTTCCAGCCTCCCGCAGCCTCTCCGGGAGCGTGGTGAGGAAGGGACCGAACCCGGCGGCTGTTGGGGAGCCTCTGCTGCTTCCTCCCCTCTCCAGCCCCGTGGTTGCCCTGTCTTCTTTATGGATGTGCATCTCAGGGCTGTGCATTTGAGCCCTCATGCCTTTGGGCGTTGGGCCTTTGAAACATCAAGGGTTTCCGTGTCCGAAACCTCCCCGACGCTTCCCGGTCCTTTGTCCTGCGCTGCTCCCTGTGGCCTCAGGAACATCCCTGTTGCCAGATGCCACCCGCTCCATCTCTGCTCGTACTTGGGACGAAACACGCAGCGGTCCTGCAGAGAAGGCAGCCGGAGCGATGCGGGTGCACCCGTGGGGTTTACACACGCGGCATCTTGCGTTTCTGTCGCGGCCTGCGGGGCACGCGCGGAGGATCTGAGGCGCGAAGCTGCTTCTTTCTCGTTCAGAAAACCGAACAAACGGCAGCACGGCTGCTGATGGCAACTCTGTAATGTTTACTCTGGAAGAAATGTTAGGTATTTTCCCCCAAAGAACCAAAAATTTTTAAAAAATATATATTAAATGAAAGTAACCAAATGTAAACGTCCTGGAGGGAGGGAAGGGGAGGAGGAGAAGCAGTGATGGGGGAGCACTCTGGTCTATCCTGATCTCCGCCACTTGGCTGGAGATGCGAAATGCTGCTCTGAGTTCCACAAACATAAGGGATTATGTTTACAAAGGTAAATGCCTTCTACCTGTTCAGGAAACTGGCTCACGGTGGGCATCAGACGTCTGGCGAGCTTCTCCTCGTTGCCAGCGGGCAATGGGAGAAGGTTTGTGTCTGGAAGAGGAATGGAGAAATAGGTTAATTTCATCTAATCTTCGTAGTAAAGCAGTGCCACTTCCTCTCTTCTTCTTCAAAAAAAAAAGACAAAAAAAAAAAAACGAAGGGAGGAGGTTGCAGAACAAGAAACTCGGTGATGTCCAAACTGGCTGGATTAGAAAAGGCAGCTTTTCTACTTTGCACATAACTAGGTAACAGGAAGGTACAGCTCAAGTCCTCTTGCCTGAAACACTGTCCCCCAGAAGCAGACATTGTAATAATAAAACTAGTGGCTGTGTATATTGATGCTCTTCGCAAGTTACCTATAAGTGTTTGTTTTTTTTTTTTTGATTTATTTTTTTTTTCTTATACTTGAAATAGCTTCCTTTTAACTAAACTCTCACCGGAGCTCTGGTTTCTCCCCTCCTTCTCCAGCGTGCAGTAAAGCAAACAGACACAGGACAAACGGGGAGGACATAGAGGAGATGCCGCAGTGTCTTGCATATAGCCAGGGTTCGTCTTAATTTCCATCCCGTAAGCTCTCAGCTCTTTGAATTTCCTTTCCCGAGGGTTTTCCATGGACACAGAAACTCAGCACTTTACAAGGTGCTCTCGTATGGCTGGCTGCCCCCCCCCCTTCTCCTCCTTTTCTATATTTTTATTTTACTTTTAGTATAGTGGTACTTAAAATCACTGGTTCACTTAAAAAGAAAAAGAAAAAAAAAAAAAAAACAACCAACAATAAAATGTTTAAACTCTACTAATGTACAAATAAGCTGAAATGTTGCATTTTATGTGTATTTTTGCCATAGCAGGTACTGTATTTCTCATGCTGGATTTAGAAAAAAAAAAAAAAAAAAAGAAAAAAAAGAGAAAAAAAATGAAAAAATGAAAAAACAAACAAAAAGGGTGATGTTTTATTGGAGTGTGACAAGAGTAATAAGGAATTAAGTCGTCGTCATTTCATTGAAACTGAGAGATGGTGTAATACATATATAAGTTTTCTGAAGGTTTTTTTTTGGGCTTTTAAACAGCTTTTTTTTTTCGTTTTTATTTTATTTTTATTTTTTTTTGAAAGATATGATTGTATTATGTGCAACTCAGTTGCTTACATTATAACTACAAAATATTTTTGGGTTCCTGGAAAAAAAAGAAAAAAAAAAAAACGAGGAAAAAAAAAAAAAACGGAAAAAAAAAAAAAAAAAGAGAAAAAGACTAATAAATGTGTTTGGCTGCTAAGCATTTAAATCCTGTGGCTCCCGGTACTTTTTTGTTGGGTTTGGGGGGTTATTTTTTGGGGAGGGGGGAGAGGGGGGGGTATTTCGCTCCGTGCGCTCTGGCCTCCAGCCGCCGGGTGGTGCTGCCTGCTATGGGGGGGTGTGGTTTATCCCGGAGGGGGTGTGGGTTATCCCGGAGGGGTGTGGGTTATCCGGGAGGGGGCGTGGGTCCCATCCCGGTTCCTTTTTCCCCGCTGCGGGCGCTGGGTGCCGGAGCCGCCGCTGCCATGGGGACCCCCGCGGGCGCCGAGGACGCGCTGAGCCGCTACCGCTCGCCGCTGGTGTCGCGCTACGCCGGCGCCGAGATGGCCTTCATCTTCAGCGAGAGGAACAAATTCGGCACCTGGCGCCGCCTCTGGCTCTTCCTCGCCCAGGCGGAGAAGGTAACGGGAAGGTAACGGGCCCGGGAGGGCGCTGGGAGGCAGCCCCCGGCCCCATCGCGCAGCCGGCGGGGTGCCCTTGGAGAGCAGGGGGCAGCGCTGGGGGTCGCTCCCTGCCGAGCAGTGGGGAGCTGGTTGAAACAACCTCTTCCTCATCCCCCCCTAAATTTGGAAATAATAATAAAAGGGGGCTGCCTGGGTAAACTTGGAAAATTTGGAATAAATTAAAAAAAATATATAATCTGTCCGCCTGGGTGCACGCGAGGGCAGCGCGCGAGGTTTGGGGTTTGGCACAACCCCACGTGTGCAATCCTCACCCGGCAAACCGCGCTGCGCTGCACTGCGTGCCCTCCCTCCTGCCCTTTGACCCCTCTGGGCAAAAGCCTCGCCAAGCGGTTTTTGGGGGCCCGCAGGGGTTGTTGGCTCTGCAAACAGCGGTGTCCTTCTGTGCCTGTTTGCTCTCGGGGGGTGTGCGCGGAGCGAAGCGCTGCCCTCTCCCACCCACCCCACTGCCCTCGGTCTCACTGGCAGCCTGCCCGCGTTTATTTGGCCCACGTTCCCTAAATCTCCTCGCTGGTGGCCAAAGTGGGCTGAACGCTGGGTTAGCACCCCCCTGGTGGGCAGGGTGCCACAAAAACCTGACCGCACAAAAGGGTTGGTGCCAGCGCAGCCCCTGGGAAGCAGAGGCTGAAAGCACATCCATGGGATTGCCGGCTGGCACGTCAGTACTTCCCACGGAGTCAACGTTTCTAAAATCTAGTTTAAGATTTTTTGTTTAAGCCTTTTTGTTTAAGCCGCTGCTGTCAGCACGCGGGCAGGCAGTGCCCAGAGCCATTAATACCTTCCTTCTCCGAGGACCATGCTGCTGCTGCACCAAAGGCGATGCTTTAGAAGCTGAGGGTGTAATTACACAGCCGTGTTAAAGAGGAGCCCCCCTCCATCTCAGGTACTGTGACCACCACGGTTGAGATGTTGGCGTGAACTGACCGCGCATCTCATCACCCGTCACACCAAGAACACCTGCTTAAGGAGCTTTGCATGGTCAAAGCATGATAATTTACACGGCCACCTCAATCCCAGCTGATAAACCATCGCCTTTTCTGCTGTTAGAAAATGAGGTGCTTCACCCACGTGCCCAACAGGAGCAAGGAGCTGCTGAAGGAGCCAGCGGGGGGCTTCTTGGTTTCTGCTCCCAAGCCCAGGCCTCGGGGTTCCCCCGTGTACATCCCTGTCTCCCGTCCCTTTTTTGCATCCCATTTCCACACAGAGCTGTGTTCCCAGAAAGCAGAGAGGGATCTTGCGATTTCTTGAGCACCATTTTCATGCCGGGAGGAGGGACGCTGCTATTTTTATCTGTCGCCTCGTTCCAGGGGAGTTTGTCTCCTGATGTCAGTCGTGGACTCAAAGTCAGCTCCTCAGCACCTGTTAGCTCTGTCAGCGGTCATGCTGCGATAGATACAAGCGATTTCCTCAAGTTCCATGCTGAAGTTTCGTAATATTTCTTTGCAGTCATACTAAAACAATATATAATAATGCAATGAATGAACTATGGGCAAATTTACTCCACTGCTTCTCCTCTCTACCTTTCAAGCTATTTATGCGCTTCTTCTCCAGTCCCTGCAGTCTCTATTTTGCAGTAAATCAGAATATTGGGAAGATCTCACCACAGGTTTTCTGAAGGTTGCAGGGAAGTAGCAAAAGAGGGAGCATACAGCTTAGTTATAAGTTTTAGCTGAAGGACAGGGCGAGCTAAGTGGTTTCAGTATTTCATATTTCATTGCAATATTCATCCTACTTAAGGGAAAATTTTTTGAGTAGTCCACTTGGATTATGTGAATTACCAAAAAATGGTGTCACTGGGAACTGGATTAGACAGAAAATCTTCCCAGTTCTTGTTTTTTTTTTTTTTTTTTTTTTTTTTTTTTTTTACAGCAGATAATAGCGTGAGTTTGAAAGAGGAGACCCCACGAAGTGTATGGTTATGAGATTCTTAAACTGGTCTCCTCCCAGAGACAGCAGCCAAGGTCTGGGTTAAGAGCTGAAGGGTGTGAGTTCATGCCCACCTCAAAACTCTGGCTTATTTTTTTTTTTTAACATAAATTCATTTGTATTGTGATACTCCCGCTAATACCTCAATCTTATTTTCCAGACGTTGAGCTCTTTACCTAAACAACACATTATTTGAAAGACAAGTGCAGATTTCCTGGAGCTCTTCCTTCCTGTGGACACCCCACAGCATCAAACTGGCTAGTAAAATCTGACTGTTTTGCACGTATGGAATCTGGATATTTATTCCTTGCTGTTTTCTCTAATTCCAGATTCCTTACGTGCAAAACATTTTACTAGGCAGCTTCATTCTGAACAGACCCAGTTTTGAAATGTTTTGTATCATTAAAGCTTCCTTGTTGACAAATTGCCAGTACTAATGTGCAAAACAGTAGCATTTTAGTTTAGAAAAAGCAGTAACGCCGAGTTCACTGTGAGACTTTTAAACTCACAGTATTAGGAAAATAATTTTTTCTCAGCTTAGTTATCTTGTGCAAGTATAGAACTGTGCAAGATTTATACCCGTGTATAATTCTGCAGTTCAATATCTTACTCTATTCCTAAATCAGCTTGCTGAGTAATTTCAGCAGATGTTTTTAAACATGAACTGGGAGCATTGGTCTCCTGCTTCCAGGTAACTCGTTTCCTCGCTTTCCAGTTTCAGGCTGAGATGAAGAATTTTAGGACTTGACTGCACCCAGTTGCCATTCTGCTACGAAGACAGGCTGAGGGTGTTGAGGTTGTTCAGCCTGGAGAAGAGAAGGCTCCAGGGAGACCTTCTAGTGGTCTGCCAGCCCCTAAAGGGGGCTACAGGAGAGCTGGGGAGGGACTCTGTCAGGGGGTGCAGTGATAGGACAAGGGGCAGTAGCTTTAAACTAAAAGAGGGTAGGTTAAGGGTAAATGTAAGGAGGAAATTCTTTATTCAGGAGGTGGTGAGGCACTGGCACAGGCTGCCCAGAGAAGCTGTGGATGCCCCATCCCTGGAAATGCTCAAGGTCAGGTTGGATGGGGCTTTGAGCATCCTGGACTAGTGGAAGGTGTCCCTGCCCGTGGAACAAGGTGGGCTTTAAGGTCACTTTCAGCCCAAACTGTTCTGTAATTCTATAATCTAAACAGCTTCTATTGCAGTCTGGTTTATCTGTTAAAGACGAAGGGCAACAGAAAGCTCTTTTCCCCTTGCAGTCGCTTGGGCTTCCCATCACAGATGAGCAGATAAAGGAGATGGAAGCAAACCTGGACAACATCGACTTCAAGATGGCAGCGGAGGAAGAGAAGAGGCTGCGCCACGACGTGATGGCACACGTTCACACCTTCGCCCACTGCTGTCCCAAAGCTGCAGCCATCATTCACCTTGGAGCAACCTCCTGTTACGTCGGGGACAACACGGTAGTAAAGCATTGTTAGTTGGGCCAAACAAAGACACAGGTGCTGACTTAGTAGCTCTTTATAAACTTTACTTTATAAAATGATGCTCACTAGATTTAGATTTTTTTCAGAATTTTTTATTAGTTTTACTTTCGAATTTATTTATCCATTTCACGAGCTGCCCTAGAGAGGCAGGTTCCTCTTGTGTCATCTCCCTTTTGATATGAAGCAAGATCTACCTGCAAATTAGCTGTTCCCTAAGCTCTTGTATGTTAAATATTTGTGGAGGTAAGACAGTAATGGTCATAAGAGTTGGGATGTGTGCACAAACGTGCGAGCTGTCAGTTGCATCAATGGAGCAAGAGTTCACTGACCTACAAAACAAGTCGACTTTTGGCATATGCAGCCCATGAGCTTTCAGTTGTCACTTGGGACATCTGTAGTGATTCAGGGTAGATAAAGTCCTTCAGTGGAATGGATAAATAGGCTAAATAAAGCAGGAAGTGTTGCTATCCTACAGAACTACTAAAATATTCATGAAAAACGTAAAACTGAGTTCATACTAAAGCCTCAGTGTACAAGTCACTGCAACTTCATATCCTCGTGTTGTATTAGAAGCTGCTGCGTGTTTAGTTTTACCTTACTCCTTTGCAAATCTCGTTGGCTTTTAGCTGTTACCACCTTCCTTCCACATCATGTGGCACCCAGCTGTACTTGAGTCTCAAAAGGAGAAAGGCAAGAGTTCGGCACGATCAGCCCACTCACTGCTCTGCTATCTTTTGCTTACAGTGCCTCTATTTTCTGCTTGGATTAAATGATTTAGTCTGGTGTGCGATGGACATCAGGAATATCTCTAAATAATCATTTATGTCCAGATCGTGGAAATCAGTCTTCTACTGCCCAGTGTGACTTTCCGTGGGTAGTATAGTAAGAACGATGCTGGATCCAGCATTTTTGTCATAAACAAGTTCCTCGCCGTGTTTGGGTACAAGCAGAAAAGCAGAGGTTTGATTGTAAGAAGACTTCTGAGCAGGCCAGGCTTTGTAATCATCTGTGTCCTCTGAGAGAAGCCAGTATGTGTGGTCCTTCAGATGGAGTGGGTGGTGGTCAGACATGGCCCAAACTTCCTTTCTTTGCTTCTTTCAGGATCTGATCGTCCTCCGTGATGGACTTAACCTGCTGCTACCCCAGGTGAGAAGGCGGTTACGCAGAGTGTCTCAAAGTGGGCAGTGCTGGTGGCCTGTGAATAATGTCTGGATTTTCATAGGCCTTGCTGGAGGAGCTGTCTGCTTGGGTTGTCCTCAAGCAAGTGAACAGTTATCTTCCTTTCCCCGTCTCTTTGTCTTTCCCCAAAGCTTCTTTGCTCATCATGAGAGTTATAAGCAACTCTTGGTAGATGGGAGCAGTTCCCATGTGCCAGTGGTACCAGTTTTAGAAAACAACTCTATTGCTTTCAGGGTGCACTTAGACACCCCATAACTAGATTACTTAGGAGTGTGTCTGCATTAAGGAAGCTGTGTAATACAATTTTCTGAGGACAAATATATTGGGAGCATAGCTGGCCTGAATGTCTTGGCATCCAATTTTTGCCAGACTGTAAATGTGTCAGTTACGCTCCAAGCAGCTTTATTTCTAACCAATTCCAGGAATAAATAAAATACTCAGAGCTACACCAGATGTAGGCTTGGGTTGGGCATGAAGACTGGTCTAGCTTCAGCTAAAGTCCAACTACTTACATTATCCCCTGCTCAAATCTTGTGAAAATTTGAAAAAAAGTAAAAAAAGTAAAAAAAAAAATAAAAAAAAATAAAAAAATCTGTGCATGCCCTAAAAAACGAAGCACATTACATTCAACAACTAGAGGGAGAAATTCAAAGATTGCACACTTGCTTCTCTCCTCCCTTTTCTAACAACATTGCTGTGCTTAAGCATGCCAGCTTCCACTTTTGTTTTTTTTTCCTTTCTCATGCTGCCTCTTTTCTATCCTCCCCGCATCCACCAGCTCGCACGGGTGATCAGCCGGCTGGCCGACTTTGCAGAGAAGTACGCTGACCTGCCTACCTTGGGCTTCACTCACTACCAGTAAGTAGCCATCCGCCTTTCCCTTCATTTTCTTGGCTATACTTCGGATAAATTGGCTTGCCACTACTGTCCCCGTTCTCTGTTCTGTTTCCCATCTCTGATCCACTGCTGGACATCGTTAGGACGCTGGTGGTGGTTCAGAAAAGGAATACGTGCCTAGCTCCAGCCTTGCCTCAGAAAATCGAACTGTAGCTTTGGATAGCTGTCAGCAGTGGTTTTAGCACAGCCCAAAGTTGTTTTAACACAGCCGCATAAAGAACTTGCTAACTCTGATGTGTAAATCCTGGGGTAGTTCCAGGAGGCATGGCTGTGATCTGCAGTAGGCTGTAATCTCCAGCTTCCAATCACATAATATATTTGTAATACTTTTTTTTTTTTTTTCATCGTTTCAGTTGTTTTCAACTGCAGCACAGAAAAGTTTGTTGCTGGCAGGAAACCTCAGCTACTCAGCCTGCTAAAGCTTTCTTCTGAAGTGATGATTATGAGATCCTTTGGTTTTCACACAGCCGTATGTGGGTCCCTATGAAAAAAAAAAAACACAAACAGGAAGAGTTTCCCCATTTTAACGGGACACTGGCATTTTCTGTCTCTTTGGAAAATTACCCTTTTTGTGCAGTGCTGCTGGCGTTGACTGCTTTTAGGCAGGCTCCTGAGTCAAAGTGCAGCAAGATTTGGACCGGTCTGCTTTGGGGGGAGGTAATTAGTCTGTTACTTCATGAAGACAGTTTGCTTTCAGAGGCTTTAAACTATGCATCTTGAGGTAAGCCTGGATTTTCTACCCTGGTGATGTGGAACACCAGATCCGTGGAAATTAGGCACGGATCATGTCAGTATTAATGTCTGGCACTTTAAAATCACTCCTGAAGGAGAGTGGGAGCTTCAGGTCTCTGATTAATGGCCTTGCTGTATGTGCCGTGTCATTTGATCAGCTCTAGTCCTTGGTCCCTCTTCATCTACAGCTTTTCAGGGGACTGTTCTCAGGTCTGTGTTTTAGCTTGACTTTTGGAAAGCACAAAGGGGTATTCAGGAAGTGTACACGAGGCAAGTCCTACTAGTGAAAACCAAGGTGAAAAGACATTGAGTACCTTGGCCTTTTCTGTGTGTTGTGTCAGCAGGGCGCCCTGCCTTGTTTAGGAGCAGGTCTATGTTTTCCCTAGCCTTCCTTTTGCTGGTTATGAACTTGTAGAGGCCTTTCTTTATTGCCTTTCATTGTTGCCTTTCACATTTCATACCAGATTCAACCCCAAGGTAGCCTCTGGCTTCCCTAACCCTTCCCTGCAGTGTTGGACAGTTTCTCCGTATTCCTCCTGGATCACCCATCCCTGCTTCCATGTCTCACGTGCTTTCTGTGCTTTTCTTGTTCACATGTGAAGTCTTAAAACAGTACAGGTGTTGCCTTCGGAGTTCATTTTGATAATTTGAAATATTTCAGCTTCTGGGCTCAGCACCGGCAGGGGGTGCCCTCTACCAGCAGAGGTAGCTGGATCTCCTGGCAGATCCCTGGTAGCTGTGGCTGGGAGCAGAAATAAGGAGCCTGGGAAGTCGACCTGTGAAGCCATATTATTTGTACAGACTGAGGCTTCTCCTTTTGACAGAGTTCTGGGAAAAAAAAGACAAAATATATATATTTTTTTCTGACCAATGTGCAGTCACTTTTTTCTGTAAGAAGCTATAGAAGGCTTCAGTAGTTGAGCACCTTCAAATATCCATTCTTGCTTATTTCTTATTCCCCTTTTTAACATGCACAGCAACGACGATTACTGTTTTCTCTTGATGAAACTACATTTAATTCCTGAAAAGAATGATCATATCTTCCAGTATCACTTATTGGTGGTGTGCATGTGCCAGATCTTTTTAACTCCTGCTCTGATGGATGAAAGAGAGAGGTCTTAACAGCAGCTAAACATGGTCCTTGTGGAGTTACTGTGCAAATTGTCAACAAGTTGTCTCCTGTTCTTGGTTGTTTTCAGACCTGCACAGCTCACCACCGTGGGGAAACGCTGCTGCTTGTGGATCCAGGACTTGTGCATGGACCTGCAGAACCTGGAGCGGGCTCGGGACAACCTGCGCTTTCGGGGTGTGAAGGGCACCACCGGCACGCAAGCCAGCTTCCTGCAGCTCTTTGAGGGAGACCACAGTAAAGTAAGTCAGACAGAGCCCGTGGCAGCCTTGGGAATCTCCCCTCTGCAAGGCTGTTGTGTTTGCGGGAGCGTGGAGGTTCTGCTGTCACAAGGGCACTGTGATCCCTGTGGGGCCCACTGGCAGAGGTCTGTGGGAGGGGTACTTCCCAGCAGGTGTGAGGTTTGTGGATGGTAAACTGAGAAGAGCAGAGGATCACTTTTGCTGTTGCTGACCTTTTTTTTTTTGAGTTGTTGAGTTCTGAGGTCCTTTTGTTTTGTTTTTTTCCCTCCCCTGAGGTTGAAGAGCTGGACAGATTAGTGACTGAAAAGGCAGGATTTAAGCGGTATGTAACAAGAATGCTTAGTAACCCGAATTTGCTCTTAACAAAGTCTGACTCTTGCTGCCCGTGCTGGCCCAGATCCCACTGGCTGCCACACTGACATTGTGCTGCTGCTGACTTTACCTCCCCTGGTGGTCCTCCATTCCCACCTGCAGCCCTCTGGAGGAAACTCCACCTCCGAAGCAGGCCCCTTCTGGCTGTCTCCCTGTCCAAGCACAGCTGTCTGTTTTTCCTCTGCTCTCTCTCTCTCCTCGTGCATGCTGCTCCAAGAAATCGATGGCCTGAATCCAAACTTGGTATCGGGACAGGTTGACAGTGCTGTCACCCACTTCAAAAGCCATTGTCACTCCTTGCTCAAAGTCTTGTAATAGGGTTTAATGTCCAGAACACTCAACTTCTGTGCTCATTTCTAGATCGTACATGGTCACGGGGCAGACCTACAGTCGCAAGGTGGATATTGACATCCTCTCTGTACTGGCCAGCCTGGGAGCATCTGTACACAAGGTGAGCCCCCTACCTGTACACACCAGGAAGAAGTGCAAGAGAAGGTGCCTGTGGGGATAAATGCTTTCCTCAGGAAATGTGAGCTGTTTGGCTGTTCTCTTTGTGATCATGTAAATTAACCACTGGGTTCATGCGTAGACATCAGACTTAAAGATCTTAAGACCAGTGTTAAGGGGAAAAAAAAAAGTTTACTGAGCAGATTTCAAGTTGGATTAACAACTCCCATGCCAGATATTAGTATAATCTTTGCTAAATCGATCCAAATAGAGTAAATGTCTTTCTTAGTGGTATATGAGTTTTTAAATTTCACTGCTTGCTCCCCATTAATTGCTTCTCTGGTAATGGTGTTATTCTGCCTGTCCTTGTTGTTATAAATTCAGAGTCAATTTAGCTTTATAAAGTTTATTTATGGGGTCAATAAAAGGCAAGTAAACAGCGTTAGGTGCGCAGGGAGTCTGGGCTCCTCCAACACACACACACACGCACATGTTACAGTAAGTGGCTGGTTTTTATGCTCCTAGGCTAATACATATTCATTACTACTTCTAGAAAAGGCAGAGTTATTATGATTAGTTCCCAAAATCCAAACCCTCCCACTGGCGCATGCTTATCAGTCTCCAGTGGTCCCTCTGGTGGTCTCTCGTGCTGAAGGCTCGTAGTCTTCCTCCCAGGCTTTTTCGTTGTCCTTTTCCTTTGTCCATCTTGGCCAGATGTCAGAGACTTGCGTAGTGTCCCATGCACTAGTCACAATAGTTAGCAGTTATTCTGAGCCCCCCCCCCAGATATCAGAGACTCCAGGTTTACCCTTCAAGCCCTCCATTGATATGAATTGCTGAAACATTCCTAACAATCCCTCATCTTCTTTTTAATATTCGCAATTCATATCTATTCTTCAACTTTTGCCAGTAACAACTGCATTTCATCAGTTGGTTCTTGGGGGTTCCGTTGCTTAAGCATCATTATTGACATGTCACCTTTCTTCCCTACCGAAGTCATCACAAATCGGTTACTATTTATTATTCGGCGTATCAATAATGTAAAGCAAGGTATCATACAAGGTATAAATAATAACATCATTACACCACATAAAAATAAAAATAGCATCTGTTTAACCCATGGTCTACCGGGCAGCCAGGAAAACAAATCCCAATCCATACCCTTCCAAGTTTGTACTGGGACGTGGGCTAACTTCCTAATTTCCTTTGTTATCTGTTTAACCACTTTTCCGTTGTCATCAATTTGTAAACAACAATTAGAATCGTTCAGCTTTCCACACGCTCCCCCGTCCTCTGCTAGTAAATAGTCTAAAACCATTCTGTGTTGAAAGATAGCATTCCTCAGCTGGGTGAATCGATCAGTCAAAAGACCCAAATCCATCGTTGTTTGACTGGTTATAATTTCGAGGGCAGTTTGCAACCTAATTATTCGATTTAAATTATAAATAGGTTCTTGGGCCCCAGATACTACCTCGTTCGGGTTCCAGGTAGCTGGTCCATAATGCTGTATGATTCTTTCAGGAGGCCATTCATTCTCTCCCCATTTTTGGGCACTACCCCCGGCTAAGGAAGCATCAGTAGATCGTTTCTCTCTATTCACATCATCATATAATGTTACTTGTAAATGATTTCCTTGTATTTGTGACAATAGAAAGAACAAGGGTCTTATGTACCCCACATAGCATATTCCTGACCAGTTTTTGGGTAGCCTCTTGTAGGCATATTTGCCACACACCCAGTAATGTCCCTTTAGGGCCCACGTCCCATTTGGAAAAGGACCATCCCATCCTTCTTTATTCTTTGGAGCGTGAAAATACAGAGTGTTCTTGTCACCAAGTGGTCCTGTTACAATGTCTGCCCCCTTTTTACTTGTATATGTACACCTCCAAGCTCCCGCATCGGATTCCCACTTACAATTACAATCAAGTTTTCCTTGGTGGCCTGTCATATTATGAGCTGACCAGAAATGCTTAAAGAACACTCGTCTCCCATTCTCATCTTGCCACCTCCAGCGGTAGACCCTTACCACGTGCTGTTCCCTAGTGGTGTTATCATGCTGACAGCTCAAGATCTGACTGTCAAACTGTCCCTCAGCTTGTGCTCTTTCTGCGGTTTCACATCCAGAGCCAAAAAACTCCCTATATGAGCATTTCAGCCAAGTCCCGTTTCTCAGCTGGACATGTGTGGCGTTCCATTGCCCACTACGTGCTGTACAGTTTATGGGTCTACATTCAGGATCAGCACAATCATATCCGGGAGACAGGGTCCAATTACAAATGCTTTTTCCTACCGCTACCGTTCCTGTTCTGTTTAAGCAGTACATACCCCGATCTGACGAGTGCAATTGCCACAGGCCTCCTTCCTCTTTCCAAAACTGTGTCCCATTATGAACTTCACTCAAATTACTAACCCACCACTTGGGTTCGACCGGGCCAGCTACCCAGGGCCAACTTTCATCCCCCCCCGGTCCTCCACAAACCCAGCAGTTACTCAGGTTAAAGGCCTTGGCCACTTCCTCCCCCAGAATGAAAAAGTTATTCCTCCGTTCTTGCCCATGGCTCAGTTGCCCCTGTAAAAACAGTACCAGGATGTATAGCATTGCTTATCCCTCTGCGCCGTCCAGTCTTGAGGGTGTGGGAAGAGCCTTCACTCGAGGGGCTGGGCCCGGTCTCAGGGTTGATGTGGGCCTGTGGTACTGTTCAGGCTTTCGGGGTGATCCAGCTCCTGGAAAGCTAATCACAGTTTTATATGGGTTTAAAAAAAGGTTCTTATGTTATTTTTTTTTCCTCCTTTCTGGATTTCTCTGACAGCAGCCACAAAGATTTTTGCTTTGGCTTTCTGTCTTTCTTCATCACGCCTCACAAAGAGCCTCTCATAACAATTCCTCCAAGCCCCTGTCTTGCCAGTTATCCAGTTTCTCTATCTTTTTCCGTATGTCCTCCCATGATTTTGCCACAGAGTTTTCAGTAGCACCCCCCCACGGGTGAATCTGGATCCAGGCCAGAGTACACTAGGAGGCTTTTTCTTAACCTTCCTAGCCACTCCTCTCTTTTTTTTGGTGTTCATTAAAAGCTTTATTAATATTCTGTCCCCTTGGTACTGCCTCCTTGATGCCTTGATTTATTATAGCTCTAAGATCTCTCATGTCCTGTTGCCCTGCTGCCGTTTGGTGGTCCCAGTTAGGGTCCACATTTGGCCATTTTGTATCCCTGGGCAGTCCAGCTTGATTTTGCCTTTCCCATATTCTCATTCCCACTTGTCTAATCATCCCCCTTTCCTCCGTGGTGAAGAGGATCCCCAAAATCGACTGCATTTCTTCCCACCTATACGTGTTAGGTCCCAGGAATTGATCTAATCTCTCTGCGACCCCTTGAGGATCATTCAATAAACTACCCATTTCCTTTTTAATATTTCTCACATCTGACATATTGAGGGGCACAGTCACAAAGCCTGTTCCTCCCTGGTTACCTCCCCAGGGTACCCCCAGCAATGGGTATAAACCCCTCCTCAGCCCCTTCTTGCTCCCTTTCCCTGTTGCTTTGTTGCCTCCTTGTCCTTCGGTCAGGTGGGGATGGGTTAGGGGTCAGTGCAGTTGGGGAAGGTGGGTTATCTGGAGGAGGCAAATTAATAAAGGGCTCCCACTCCTTATCTTCTTCATCCTCCTTTTACGTAATTAAATTAAATATACAAGTGGTGGGTGATTCTGTTAGTCTTAACCAGGCTGCAGCACACTTGCTCTCTTCCAGATCCACAGGTGTTCTGCCATTCACATGAATATTCAATGCCTGACAGACCCAGTCCTCCGTGGACCCAAACATCGGCCAAGATACGTGGGGTCTTAAGGGTTCTTTTGGCCATTTAACCATACAAAATTGAACCCTTCTTGCCTTATCCTTATGCTTAGTGCTTCTAAAACTATCCCAATATCTTAACATTAGCCCTAAGGGACTATCTGGTAGAATATCTGGTAATTTTTCCCCCTTTTTAAACCAGAGGCCCCTCCTCGAACCTCCCAAGTCTGAGGATCTGCTTTGTCCCTGACCCATTCCTGGAACTTCTTTTTATACAAAAAAAAGTTCAGAAACTCCTGGCTGTGCCTGTATCTAAAGGTGTCGGGTGAGTGTTATCTCACCCACGAATACCTGGAACAAACACTTCAGTCAGAAGGCCTCCACATGCTTCAGAACTGAGTCCCATCTCAATCACAACCCGACACACCATCACACGGCCAGACCCAGCGGCGTACTCACCAAACGATAAATCTTCGTTCGGATCTTCGTGCACAGAGTTACGGCTGTAAACCAGAGGAGGGGAGAGCTCTTTGTTCCTCACTTGCCTCTTCTGTTCGTAATCCAGCTGGGCTCCCTACTGCCCTTGGAAAAGGGCCACAACGAAACAAGGGTGGGGGACGCCTCCCTTAGGCGTTCGCAGCCTCGGGACCAAGAGGATCACGTCAGGGTCACCAAATTGTTATAAATTCCGGGTCAGTTTAGCTTTATAAGATTTATTGGTGGGTGCGCAGGGAGTCTGGGCTCCTCCAACACACACACACACGTTACATCAGGCGGCTGGTTTTTATGCTCCTAGGCTAATACATATTCATCACTACTTCTAGAAAAGGCAGGGTTATTATAATTAGTTCCCGAAACCCAAACCCTCCCACTGGCGCAGGCATATCACTCTCTGGTGGTCCCTCTGGGGGTCTCACGTGCTGAAGGCTCATAATCTTCCTCCCAGGCTTTTTTCCTTGTCCTTCGCTTTTGTCCATCTTGGCCGGGTGTCAGAGACTTGCTTAGTGTCCCATGCACTAGTCACAATAGTTAGCAGTTATTCTGAACCCCCCCAGATACCAGAGACTCCAGGTTTACCCTTCAAGCCCTCTATTGCCACGAATCGCTGAAACATTCCTTACACTGTGGATTCTTTTCATTGATTTATCTCTCTTTCCTCCCACCTCCTTCTCCTGGGCTAAAGTGATCTGTGGTATGTTTTTCTGTTTCAGTTTTGTAAGCTGGCTGGTTCAGTGAGCACACGTTATCTGTATTTGCAAGCCGCTGTACTTTTGTTATGGTTTTTCAGTGTTCCCTCCTGGTATCTTTTAACATTCCCTGCAAAGCTTTGCCCTTCTTGGAGTCCTGTTGTATTCTAATACAGTGGACACCCTCTTTTAATTATGCTTTCTTGACTGTGGGATTTATAGGCCAGGAGCTGTGGTTGTAGTGTCAATTTTTTTCTCAAATTTTCACTGCCTCCTCAGTTGTCTTCTTGGACACCATTGTAAATGATTCTTCACAAACGCTGACAGGAGCTATACTGGTAAGTGTTGGTTTGGTTCTGTTTGTTAATTTCTTGGGCTTTTTTTCTAGATTTGTACCGACATTCGTCTTTTGGCCAACCTGAAGGAGATAGAGGAGCCTTTTGAGAAGGACCAGATTGGTAAGGGACTATAACCATTTCTGGGACTGGCATATGGACCCTTTGACTTATGCTGGTGCAGCAATTTAAGCAAGCTTAGAAATGTGACTGGCAGAAGTTGCTTTAAATTAACTGGGGTGTGAGGTAAAGGTTTCTGGATATTAAGTAATGAATTTAATTTTAATATTTGTATTTATGCACTTCCTGGGTTGAGGGAGAGCAGAAGCAGTCATGTATTCTTCATTTACCACAGAAGATGCCCTGGGTCTGAGGAGAACACGTTGTTTTCCATTCCTTAAGAACTTAACTAGAGCTGTAGGTTTCCTGATTGACTCAGCATTTTGGTGTTTGTAAACAGACAAATTTGGAACAATAAAACTGGACTGGACACTTGCCAGAAAAATGCCAGTGACATGACTCTGATGTTGGTAAAAGGGGAGGAGGGAATGTCAAGTTTTAGACCTTGGTGCTCAGGCACCCTAAATAGTTGCATAGGATTGAGTCAGCAGTTCAAGCCTTAGCCCTGTCTGTTACTTGAACCATTCTGCATTACGTGATTGGTTTTAAAATGCATTTCAACAGAGCAGAAGGAAGCAGTGTATCTGACTTGGAAGAACAGCGTTACAGGGGTCGTGAACGCTGCTAGTGTTGCCATGGGTAGCTTAGAGAGATGGTGCTAAATGCTGCACTAGAAATAACGTCCATTTGTTCCTGTTCTGTGGTAGTACGTACGCTGTTTTGCAGAATGGCAAAATGTCTTCTCACTTTTTTTCCCCCCACATTTGGATGTTTCTGATCAATCTGAAGAAGTGTGATGTTGTCATTTTCTTTACTGCATTTAGAAAACCGTCATGTTCTGAGGCTTTAGTCAAAATTTGATTCCTGACGCACTTCTCTTATCTGGAGGAGGCCCTGCACCTTCCTGAGCGTGCTATTTCCACCACTCTCTCTCCTTTCACAGGTTCAAGTGCAATGCCTTACAAGAGGAACCCGATGCGTTCAGAACGGTGCTGCAGCCTGGCTCGACACCTGATGACTCTGATCATGGATCCCCTCCAAACAGCTTCTGTGCAGTGGTTCGAGCGAACGCTGGACGACAGTGCCAACAGGTTTGTTCACACCGTGCAACGCAGCAATTCTGGAAGGTCTTGTGCAAGAAGGCCCTTTGATGTATTGAGGAAAGACTATTTTTAAACTAAAACCACAAGTTACCACCTTGATGAAAAGCAGTCTCAATAGAAGTTAGAGACTTGCAGACTGGTTTCCTCTGAAAGACCAGATGAAAAATGTTAGTTTTCTGTAACCGTCAAGACCTTTTGCAAAGCAAAGCAGCAGAGAGAGGAGGGATGCAGGAAACATAGGTAATGAATTGCTCTTATAGTTTTCTGGTTTCAAAAGCATAGTGTTGTAGCATAGCAGCTCTCACATTTCTCAGATTGGTTTTTTCTTCCTGTTTTGAACATCATTTTTGACCCTACGCTTCTTCACTTTTAACACTGAATAATTCAATATTTTATCTGTAAACCCTTCACCCTCTGGCAAATCTGAAGACATTTATTTTCATCTCTCTGTAAAGTGTTGCTCCATACAAGAAGCAATTTCGATCCCAAAGAGCACAAACCATTACTAAGTGATGTTTCATAAAAACCTGTGCAGGTCTTTTAGACATGCTCAACAAACTTGGCTTTGTTTTCTGATTCTTCATTATGACTACTTAGAGATGAGCAGAAGTTATCTATAGTTGTTATTAAGTGAATGATAGCCATTCAGTTTGTCCATCTAGCTGTAAGTACTAAATCTGCAAAGCTCTTATTTAGCTTTGAAATGTTCAAAGCAGTCTTCTGATGCAGAATGTGGTCTCTGGGATTTCTAAGATACAGGACACGTGGAATACTGAACAGCAGAAAAACACTGTAAAATTTCAGAGATTGGATATTGGTTGATATGGTGGGTTTATTTCCCAAGAGCTACCAAACACTGAGATAACTACTGGAATGTTTCAAATTTTATTTTGACCTTATCTTACAAAAAGAGTCGTTCGTCTACTTCATCATCTGTTTACAAAATTCTGTGCCTTGGATTTTTCTTGTCAAAGCTGAAGTATTTTGAAAGGAGGGCAAGCCAGAGGAAAAGCAAACAACCTACAAAACAGCATAAAGGGCATCCTTTTGAACACAGTATGATAGAATTGGGAGCTTTCCGTGTAGCACAAGATTCAAGTACTAGTTAGTTTGAAAAGATTATGATTTATAATGGACCAGGTACTGCTCTCACAGGTGGATGATGTTGTACTGGCTGCACTGTGACCCAGACTCTTTTGCCTGATACAGCACAGTCCCCACTACTGCCCTTCCTTTCCCTCCTTTCCTTTTGGCATTCCTTTTTGTCAGGAGCCTGCTTATTGATCAGGAGCTGGTCTCTTGGAGGAAACCCCCACCAGCCGCATGGATCTCTTTGGAAGTTCCCTGCTGAGCACAGCCAGGCACAGCATGAGTGCACAGCAAGTCTTTCTCCTGCAGGGTAGGATCCATAGACAGGGCAATGCAGAACACCTAGGGGAAGATAGTCTTGTGTGTTTACTAGCTCTGTAAATTGCTGCCCTCTTTTCTAGCTGTGTAATCATTGAATTATTTTGGAGCTTTCTGTGTGTGCCTCTACGCTTTCTCTTCTCTTTTCCTTTCTGTACTGACCTTTAAGCAGCAAGAAGCGCCCATAAAGAGAAGGTTCCACCTTTTGGTCCACGGTACGCTATCTAAGAGACATTTACAGAAACTTAGGGGCTGGATCTGTGGAAGATGTGAACATGACTTTTATTGCTAACTGGGTCCCTGTGCCTGTCTGCTTCCTAGGCGTGTGTGCCTGGCCGAGGCCTTCCTCACGGCTGACATCATCCTGAGTACGCTGCAGAATATCTCCGAGGGACTTGTGGTATATCCAAAGGTAAAACACTAGATATAGATAGCATGTCAAGCATTGTGTCCTTGATAATGCTGCAACTAAGCCAGAGTGGGTAAAGAAAAAGAAAAAATCTTCACACTCAATGGATTACATTTTTATCTGATAGTTCAAACAGTTCCCGAGTTTTGTTCTCCATTCTTACTGTCTGCAATGCAGGCTTAAAATGGCATTTGTTAAAGCCAAAAGATAGTAAATTCAAAACTTCTTAAAAGGAGAATTTTTCTCTGAGCTGCACAATGCATTTGTAGAATTTACCATCAAAAGATCCAAGGCAGATCTCATACAGGCCCATAACTTACCTACAGGCTTTAAAAAAATAAAATTGTACATCTTTTCCACAGTAATGTTCCATAAAAAGTTCAGTTCCTATTATCAGCTCCAATAGATTTTCAAAGCTAAGTTCAAAAAGAGCAATTACCTGTTCATCACTGCACAGTCCTGGGGATTCAAAAGGAGAGGAAAACTTTACCAGGAATCACGGTTGTCTACAAGAATTCCTATAACGCTGTTTCTCTTTTGTTTTGTTTTGTTTTTTAAGGTGATTGACAGAAGGATCCGGCAGGAGCTTCCATTCATGGCCACAGAGAATATAATCATGGCGATGGTGAAAGCTGGAGGCAATCGTCAGGTACAAATGAATTCAAAAATACCTTTTTTTACTTTCTGATGTTTCACTCCTGAGAAACAAAAGCTTCTGGGTTCTTGTCCTGAATCTCCCACCTTTCTGTGTTCTCTTCCTGCTCCCACAGAGTTATTAATATTAGCCAGTCTCTGCTCTCTGCAGGGAGAGCTGTTGTAGAGATCCTTTAGTGTTAGGAACACTGCGTGTTTGAGCTAATCTGGCTGTCTGTGCTGGAGAGGAGAGAGACCTATTTTTATTATATTAGATACTAGTAGGCGTTTTCCTCTTGTAAATGTTTGAAGGAACTGGGAACACAGGCCAAGCTTCTTTAAATGGAACGTGTTGGCAGTTGGCTACCTTATAAATTAAAGGAATGAATCAGTACCAAAAAGCAAGTAAGGCTGTTCTGAACCATTCATTCTTGTGTCACACTTCCTGAATTCAGGGTAGTGCCTTTTGTTGCTAATTTTGTTTTGTGTCCTTTATTAAATTTTCTGTGTTGAAGCAAATTGAAATTGAACGTTTTTGTTAGCAAATAAATCCAGATGCACCTAGATTATATTTCCTTATCATTTAATTTTAACAATCAGTTTAGAACTGATAATGAGATTTACATCCCAACAAGACAGCTTATTTTCACTTACCTTTAGATAGTAACGCTTCCTTCAATAATTGTTGTCCCATCAGGGGATGAAACAAAACTTGCAAAGAGCAGAAATGTGTCTTGGAAGCTTTCAGCAGGATATGTGGTTCTAGCCCTCTGGAACACTTCTGGCAACTCACCCCCAGGTTTAGTCATTAGCTATTAGTCAGGAAACATCTTTTTTCCTTTCTTTTCTGTGCGTCTCTGATGTGTGCCACTGAGTCAGTCGGTAAGCTCACTAACTGAACACGTTAAGGTTCATATCCTGTGGATGGTTTCCTTATCTCTTCAGCTGTTTCTCTTTCTAAAGTACCGTGTACTTACCTAAACAGTCCTCTTTATTTAATTAGATTGGAGAGCTAATTTCATTTCTGTTTGTTATTGGCCTACCTTCTTTCTGGTGCTGTTTAATTACAATTCTGTAGAGTTCAGTACACTTACAGAAGCTGTCCTTAGTCACATCAGTACGTCCTGTTTGCATGTGCTGAAAAGTCTGGAATAGCACATTTTCTAAAGACAAAACTGAGTTTACCCACCACATGGCAGAGAAACTCACTTGCCTTCCCCACCACTGAATAGCTCCCTCCCCTAAACATCCATATGTATTTGTCTGAGGTAGGTCGGTCCTGGAACAAGATGGCCTTTGAATGGAGGAGATGAGGAAGAGGAGATCATCTTCCTTCTAACTGAAGATTTCTCAAAGATAATTCATTTGAGGAGAATATTATTCCAGGTCTATAAATGCAACCCCATAACAAGTTTAGGGCCAGCATGGCAGCATCTGATTTTGCAGGTGGTCCCTCCATTCAGGTTCTCTTGTTTTTACGGACTGATTCCACGGGAAGTCAAAGGAATAGGAAATGTTTCAGAAAATTTGTTTTAAGAATGTTGTCAGTCGTAGTTCCATGTGAAGGTTCTGTAGCAAAGAACGTCTTAAAGCCCTTAGTTTTGTGTGTTTGTTTTTTTCCCCGTCGATCTGTTTGTCCTTATGTAAGCCATGGTTTACATAGTCTGCCCTGGTGTACACAGTCTCACCGCTCATTAAGTTGGGCAGCTTTTCTTTTTTTTCTTTTCCAAGTTTGTAGATGCTTTTCATTGTTATGCTCCCACGATGTTCCATACAGGGCATGACTAGTTGTGAGTAAGGAATTCCTTTATTACAGTTCACAGAGTATTTCTGGGAACAGCTATTCTCATCTGTCTCAGGAAAAATAAAGTAAGGAGTAGAACAACTGAAAAAAAATAATCACATAGTGAATCCTAAGAGTATTTGAAGAGTTTGAGGAACTGTAAAGGATTCTGCTGCCATAACTCTGTGGTTTAATTGAACAAGGGCAGATGTGGAAGGATTAATAAAATCTTGTTTTCAGATCTGAGACATGTGATATATGAAACACTACAGTCCAAGCTGTGTTCCATTTGTGTGCTGTTCAGTGGACTCTTCTTTGGTGTTTTTCCCTCCTGCACAAGTTAGCAGGATAAACCTGTGCAGTCAGTAACAGCAGACTGACTTTTTCATTTTCCCTTCTCTTCCCCCTGCTCCTGCAGGATTGCCACGAGAAGATCCGTGTTCTCTCCCAGCAAGCAGCTGCTGTTGTGAAACAGGAAGGGGGTGATAATGACTTCATTGCCCGTGTGCGTGCTGATCCTTATTTCAGCCCCATCCATAAACAACTTGATAGCCTTCTAGATCCCTCCTCTTTCACTGGACGTGCTCCTCAGCAGGTAAAGTACTCAAAATAGGATACAGTTTTAGGGGTTGTTATCTAATTAATTTTTCATCCTCCATCCTCTTGTGTGCCAGAGAGTACACACATTTTCTATTATCTCTGCTCATACTACTACAGCAGATGCATTTATCTTCGACATATTTCCACATATTTCTTTGAATTCTTTGTCTTTCTACCATATGGGCTTCAAATTTTTGATCCTGGGCATATCTGCCTGCTCTGTGTCTCTGTGAAACAGAGCTCCCATGAGGCAAGCAGGTCTGAATAGGGAGAAGAAGGGAACGCCTTCTTCTCTGCTCACTTTCTCTTCCCCCTCTTTCTTGAACAGGTGGCAAAGTTCCTGAAGGAGGAGGTTCGACCAGCACTGATCCCATACAAAAGCAAGATGGGTGGGAAAATTGAGCTGACACTTTAGGCACTTTTCGGCAAGGCTGTGGGTACAGGAAGATAATAAAAACCGTATTGAACCAGGTGTGTTTACCTTGTCACGTTATTTTTGTTGTCTACAGCACGTTTAACCCCCAGAGCTTACAGCCACCTTGATTCCAGGTGGGCTTTCCTTTCTTTGCCTGCTGTTTAATCAAGCCTCCCTCTATTGTGTGCAGAGGTAGTGAGAAACGCTTGAAGGTGACGAGGTGGCTTTAACACAGTGCCTTTCATTGGCCCCGTACAGAGCGCTGCCAGCTGTTTAAAGAGCAAAGCCAGGTGCCAGCTACTATTCCCATTCCCACATTTCCATTTGATTCATCTCCTCTTAAACTTTGTCCACAGGTAATTCAAAAAATGATAAAAGGCTGCACTTGCTTTCAGAGTACTGCAGTTTAGGGAGCTAATAGGTAAAAATATGAGGAATAATGAAAGGGAGAGGACACGGAACTTCTTGGCTGCATCTACAGGGTGGTCCTTCAGTGCTCTCCGGCTGTTTTAATACTGTACCTGTGGCTTTGTACCTTCTGACAGTCATATTTACAGGCGTAGGTTAGGAACACCCGCTGTGATTCACTTTTCCAGGTCCTTGGCTCTAAGTGCTCAGTAGTGAATGTAAGGTGGACCCTGGCACATGTAAGTCATTCTCTACTACAAGTGCGTTTTGTTTGATAAGGAAAGAAAAGGAGATGTGGGAATTGAAAGAGGGTTTCAAAATACGATACCATGTTTTAAAGAGACTTGTCTGTGTTTAGTCAGAGAAGTGAGGAAGCATCAGGCCGTGATCACCCCTCATCGAGCTTGCTCTGCCTTTACCTTGAGGCTAAGGCGTAAATGTTTTTAAGTGTTAATGGTGTTTAACATATTTTGCCTGTTTGTCCTATTAAAATTTAATTAGCCAGCTGCTTGGGAAGGGTGACTTCAACCGAGCACTGGTAATTTTCAAAGCACTCCTCAAGTGGATAGGCGAGAAGGGAAAACAGAAATCCTCCTGTTTTTCGGTCCTTTCCTGTGTGGGGGTTAAAAAAAAAAAGGACCGGATAATGGATCTCATCATGTGGAAATAAATCCCTGTGCTGGGAAGGGGCAGGTGTGTGTTCTGTGGCGGTTGGGGTTATTGAACGTGAGGTGAGGTGCTGTGAGGTAGGACTCCTCCTCAAGGCTTCCAGCCCCCGGGAGGAGCCGGGTGTGGGACCTCACGTCCTTAATTTCCCCCAGTACCGCCAGAAAGCGCTTCGGAAGCGCTTGTTTTATCGCGACACGCCTCCCGGCAGCCCCTATCGCCGACAGAGGCGCTGAGGAAAGCGGCGGCGCGGCCGCCTACAACCCCCGGCGTGCCCCGTGCCGCCGCCCGGATGCCGCGCATGCGCGCAGCGCCTCCCGGAGCGGCGTGTGGGGCCGCCGCGGGGCCGGGCGCCCGCAGTGGGGGGACGGGCGGGCGGCGAGGCGGGGGGGCGCCGCCGCCGCTGCTGACAGGAGCAGGTGAGCCGGGGCGGGATGGGGGGTCCTGAGCCGGTCCGAGGGGCTCAGCCGGCCGCCCCTCAGCCTCCGGGGCTTCCCTTCGCCTTCTTTTCCCCTTCCCTTCCCGTCCTTTCCCTCCCCTCGGGGTGGTGGGGTCGGGGGGGGACCATTCCCCGCTGTGCCTGCCTGCTGCCCCCCGGCTTTCCGAGGGGGCTCCGTGTCCGAGCAGGTGCTTCCCTGCCGAACAGGTGGCTTTCAGCGATGCTCTTTGTGTTTTTTTTGTTATTTTTTGGTTTGTCCGTGACGGCACAGCATCCTCACTCACGATGATTCACGATGCCTCAGTCATGGCTCAATGCGATGCTCTTGGTGGGGGGGGGGTCGGGATAAAGTAGTAAAAGTGCCGCGAGGAAATGGAGGCTCCGTCGGCTTCAATGCACGGGAGAGCGAGGCCACAGCTTGCTGCAGGTGAGGTGTTCATCAGGTGGTCGGTGGCGGGAGGCTGGAGCCCAAAATCCCCCAGCAGAAGGAGCAGGGCGCTGCCGTGCCGGGGCAGGGCTGCTGGCTGGGCTACCTGAGGAGCTTTGCAGCTGCTCCAGAGCGCTGGGAGGGAAAAGATTTATTTCCTTACGGCTTTCCGGATGCACATGGTGTATGTGTGTGTGTGTGTGTGGTTTTCCTTCTGCAGAAAGGAAGGTTGGGTCCTACCCCAGAGAGTTGGCTTGGTAATCATAGGGACTGCTGGATCAGTGATCTGCATGAAATGAGCTGCGGGCCTCGGTCGCATCCTTAATGAATCGGTCTGCGTGATGCCAAGCTGCCTGCCATGCTCCGTGCTTGTCAGGCTGCTGTGACCAAGAAATCGGGGAGTTTGGCCCTGAGTGGTACTGCATTTGACATCGCAGCTGTTTTGGAAATGATTGGGGTGCTTGGTGCCCATTGTCCTGGCTGTTAACTGGAGGCTTCTTACCAAAACACGAGAAGGGAAGAAAGCTTGTGGGGGAAAAGAAGTCCTTGCAACTTTATCAAAGGTAAGGGTGTGCTGGGGCATGTGGCCCTACAGCTCCTGTAGCTGGTGATCAGCTGCTGGTTGGTGATCTGCATCACGTTGGTGACCCTGATCCTATCCAAACTTGAATCAGTAGGATCTTAGGGACTCAGTAGTTGCCAGGTGTGATGAGGTGGATGGAGAGTTTCACTGCATGTGGTGAATGCAGTGTCCCAGATGTCCCTCGAGAGCTGGAGAGGTGTTGGCATTTCAGCGTTGTATCCTCAGCAGCACAAGGACTCGTTTGAACTTCTTTCCTTGCCACCTTTCATCAGACAGTCAAATCCTGAGACACGCAGGGTGACTGGGGAGGGGTGTTTGTGTCTCACCGTGCTTGTCTGCTGTCCTGCTGCTGGCTCCAGGGAGGAGGAGGAGGAGGAGGATGTTGTCTTGCCACGTTTGTTTTGGCTCTGAGGAACTCTCAGCTGTTTTTACACAGGATTGCAACAAGTGATACTGGTAACAGCAATTCTGGTTCTGGCTTTAAAAAAGTGCCTTAGGGGAAGTAGAAATGTATTTGTTTTATGAGATAGGAGAGAAAAAGATAGCATTTGGTCATTCGTATGATGAGAACTGTTGTTGCTGCCCAGTCAGTGCAGTTTCTTGGCTGGGTAACACCTGATGATTCAGAGATGAGAGAGAATGTCCATAACCCGACAGCCCTTTTGTTCTGGGCAAGAATTCTTCCTGATCCCCAGAAATGGGAACTGTGGTTATTTTTGCCTTGTTTTGTTACAAATGCTAATGATTGTCACGCAGTTTGCTTTTGTTTTTCCTCTGTTACCCATGTATATACAATTCTGCAGGAGCAAGATCCGAGTGGTCTAACGTGACGTGTTAGACGGGAGCTTTGCAAGCAGTTCTGGAGCCCTGGCAGGTGTTTTGAGTGTTTAGCCTCTTCAGAAAGTTGAGTTCTGGAAAGACAGAGCCCCGGAGGGGATAAATCTGGAGTGCTGTGGGAGATATTTTCCTTGAAAAGCCGTTTTTTTTGGAGCTAAATGAAGTGAGACCTGCTAGGTGAGGCTGAGGTTCTTTTGCTGAGACTGTTTGTGCATGAGCGGCACAGTGACAGGGGAAGTGACCTGGATCCAGCCTTTCCTGCGTGGGAATGACAAGCCCTGGCAACTAAAGCTCTGCAGATCCGTCAGAGGCTGTACCGAGGCAGAGTCATTCCTCAGGCTGTTCCTCTGCCACTGGGAGCAGTAGGATGAGAGCAGCCTGGGAATCAAACTTCCACCTGGGAGCTTGTGGGGCTGGCTCTGGATGCGATGGAGAGCCTTGGATGATTATAGAAAAACGTATGAATAGCTGTCAGCGATGTCTTTCAGCATTTCTTTGGTTTTTAGAGCCTCAAGTCTCTTAACAAGTGCTTGCTTTCAAGCTTCTGTAGAGCAAATGAAGCTGGACAGTTGCTGTAACCCCATCACCTTTCACAAACCTCTTCGAAACGGTTTGCAGGCTTGCCGAAGTTCACAGACCGGAGGTTAGAAACTTCTTTTGGAAAGTTTGGGAGGAAAATGAGTTTTTGTGGAGTTCTGCAGAAGTGCCCTGGTGCTATACCGTGCTTATTTGGGTGAAAGCATCCTTTTATTACACATCAATAAATAGCATCACGGAAAGGTGTTTGGGGTCCATTTAGCTGCTAACTAGAAACCTCTGGATTGTGTTTGTGTAGCAGTATTTGATGTGAAGCCACCTTTGCAGCCTTCCCTGAAGACGTGGGCTCTCACAAACCCGCCCTCTGGCACCCACAGGTTTCGTCCCACCACATTTGAAGCGAGGAGAGTTTCACCATGCAGCGAGAGAGGTGGGAGCAGACACCTCTGTGTAGTTTGTGTCCTGGCCCTTTTTTTTTTTTTCCATCCCCATTCAATGCAGACTTGAAAAAACAAACAAGCAGCCCTCAGCTATTGTTCCAGAGCTTGGTCTGGTGGAACCTCCTCATGTGAGATGGGAGGAGCGCTCTGTGTTCCCATCGCGTATCCTCTCCCCACGCAAATAATGGGAAAGCCAGGGTTGGGACACGAGGGCAGGAGGTGCCTGCTTCTCGTCTGCGCTTCGTTGCTTACGTAGGTAGTTGTGAAGCTGGAGTTTCCTTCTGCCTGCGTACGCACAGAGCAAATATTGACTCGAGGAACTAATGGCATTTGCAGCTCCGGGATGTGCCTCTGCCTGGCCCGAAGGGGAAGGCTCTGGGGGAAGGGAAGGCAAAGGGGAATTACTGGGTTCGGGGTTACTGGGTTCCTGCTCCCCTTGCCTGTTGCAAGTCAGGATTTTAACTCGGAAAACAAAACCTTTTTGTTTTCCAAAACAAAAGTCCTGAGCTTCTAGGACTGCAACAAAGCGTGTGGCCTTGTGTTGCGTACTGTGGCTTTGCAATCACTTGTCTTTCCTAAAACTTTTTTGCCTTTTTTTTTAAGCACAGGAAGAAGGTAGAGAGCAGTGGAAAGCAGCTGGCAGGGGGATTGGCTGCATGCAGAGCGTTGCTTCGTGTTCAGTGGGAAGTCGAGCTTTTTCCCGTGCTTAGTGTCAGAGGAAGTGATTGTGTGCGATGCTTCCCTGACAGTGGATGAAAGTCTGGCAAGAATTGTGGTTGTTCTCCTTCTGGTGGTGTTTGCTGCTTGCTCCCTGCATGGCTGTTCGTTGGAGGGTCTGCAGCATACAAAGGCAGTGCTTTGTCAAACTCTTCAGTGCTGCTTTTCTGCCGGATTTTAGTTCTGTTTGGCTAAAATCATCAGAGGGAGAACATCCCTGGGAAGGAGTTTTCCTTCCAAAATAAGGATCCTACCGAAAAGTTCCCGGAGGCCAGGCTTTCAGGAAGGTTTCCCTAGGAACCAGAGGCAGGAAAAACCTGCCCACCTTGTTCAGCGCCCTGATATCAGGGGAGGAAGGCCAGCAGAGGAGCTGTTGCTGCCAAGGCAGAGGCCGGGCTGCGTGACGTGGGCAGGGGGAGGTGTTCCCCAGCGCTGCACCTGCCCTGGGACCTGGAGTCTGGTCTCCTAGTCCTTGTGGTGTCTTACTGGGGGCAAACTTGGTGCTAAGAGAGCAAGTGGGGCCACTGGGGTGACAGAAGGACAGGGGAGAGTTCACAGAACTCACAGGTAAGCAGCTGGTCACTGTGTGGCCAACATAACCTCAGAAACAAAAGCTGGACTTGTTTTTTTTTCCTCCTTTTTGCTCTAAGAGTTGGTGTCGGATCACAGTGTCTGTTCAGCCATGTCGGCCTGTCTCATGCCGAGAACTGTTTGACTCTGGGAGGAAGAAGCCTTATCTTTTGTGTTCCCAGATGCCTTCCTAGCTGCTTATCTGAGTGCTGGAGCGAGGCTCCTCTAGGCTGCAGCTGCTTGCTGAGATGCAGAGGCAGGAGCGGCAGTGTAACCTTGTAGTGCTTTGCAGCCAGGAGCAGCTGTACTGCAAAGGGGAAGCTGGAAAATCCATCCGAGGTGTGCAAACATTATTTTCTCCCAAGTTCTTTCCTAAATCAGCTCGAGTGGCTGATACATCCCGACTTGCTCTGCTTGCTGGAGGTGGCTCTCGCCATCTCCCACACACACAGAGCTATGCGAATTATCCTGAAGCCCAAAATGCCTGTTGCTGACCACCAAACTATTCTGTTGCTGTACTGGAAACCCCTTGTCTGAATCTGCTGTGAACCGGTGCCAGGAAGGTAAGGAGGCTGTGTGCTGGTTAATCATGAACTCTGTTACCTGATGCATGTCAGAGAAGCCTGGCTCATTGCAGGGGGTTCTCCCTGGCATTTTCTCCACGTTCTGGGCTAGTTGATCGCAGGAAAGCCTTGTCAGAGATTTTCCTAGTGCCCTTCAAGAGTTTATGCCACAGCCTAACACACATCGCTCCTGTTTTGTGCTGATGCTCCTAAAACCTGTTTCCGACTTCCTGAGTCTAAAGACACCCCTCAAACCCTCGTCACCATTCCAGTCCCTTCTCCACGGCTGGTGACTTCAGAGAACGATCAGGTGTTGTTTTAGCATCTGTAATTAAATACAGGACTCACTGTGTGATGGAATTTGGCTTGCTTTTTGGCATACTTTCAGTCAGCAATGCTGGTGTGGTGTCACACAGAGTTTGGTAGATGATGCCGTGCTCTTTCTAGCTGATAGGTGTGAAATGAAGAGGGAATTCCGCTCCTTGAAGGTTAATTTTCCTGTGGGGAGCTTAAATACTGAGGGATTTAATTTTCCTGTGGGGAATTTGTGCGTAAAGGGTCTGTCTGTCCCTCGCTGTGCTCTCAGGTACTAACTGATGAGATGCCCTCATAATCAATTCTTCTTTTTCTGTGTGTAACAGGATAGTGAGCTCTCACCTCTGAGACCAGTGGGCAGCCTCTGCCACGCAGCCTTACCTAGCACGATGTCAGGTGAGCAGACAAAAAGGGACCTTCTTACTTGATTGCTTTTTCTTTCTTCATCTGCAGCTTAGCAGAGCAAAGTCACGGGTTCCTGTAGATGTCCTTTTCATTACCATACTTCTCTGTATAAAACAGAGGGAGGGCGAGCGCCCTGCTCTTTGTGACACAGCTGCCTTTTTGCTCAGGGAGAGCTCAATTCCTCCTTTTGCCCTGTGCTGAGGCTGCTTCAGCCATTGAATACAGAGGAAGGAGGAGAATGAAATGCAATTTGTCTTCCCCCATGCCAAGGGAAGCCGAGCTGCTCAGGGGGGCACCACCTGAGGCTGGGAAGGGGCTCACCTGGAGCACACGAGACCATGGCAGGTGCACGTGGGTTGCTGCAGCTTTCTGCACACAGGCTGGCAACCTCAGAGGGGGGGCAGCAGCCTCCCAGGCCTTCATCAGCAAGGGGAGCAGATGAGCATCCTGCTGAGGGCTCTGATCTCCCGTTTTGGTGCCTGGCTGGCAGAGTGTGCGTGTTCACGGGGAGTCCTTCTGGGTTTTCACTGCTGCGTGTTGCTCTCTCTGTTTAGGCCACCACACTCCCTCTGCTGGGGGTCCCTTCTCGGCGCTCACCCCCAGCATTTGGCCGCAGGAGATCCTGGCAAAATACACACAGGTACGGCACGGGGCCGGGGGGGTAAATGCTCTGGTTCTGTGCAGAAAAAATAAGGGACCCTGGTGGCTTCTGGGGTCTCCAAACACCGTAGGGGAAAGGAGGGAGGGAGGCACTGTTCCACCAGGGGTGTGGATGCAGACACTTGTTTGCCACTCGACCTTCATTTGTCTTGTGGCTGTGGCTCTCGCAAGAGGATCTTGCAGGGCGTCAAGAAACTTGGGCGAGTTATTGCCCTGCTGTGTGGCAACTCTTGCTCCACTGTGAAAATGTTGACACTCGAAGGGAGCCTCTGTCACCATCAGGCTGCTCTGGGCGGCTTGCACAGGGCAGGAAGGGCTCGCCTCAGGGCTTGCCGCCAGGTGGGCAGAGCAGGAAGGAAGGAGGCAGCCCTGGAGCTTTGTAACCTGCCCACAGGGTTTGCCGGAGGCAGCTGCACCCAGAGAGGCAGGTTAAAGCTGATCTGGGAGCTCTGCTAGGGCACGGGATGAGCGGGTGGGCTTGTAGGATGGAGGCACCTGGAGGATTTTAACCTCCAGGCAGTGGCTCAGAGGGCTCGGTGCGGTGGGACGGGGTGGAATTTGCTGGTACCTGCTGGGCTGTGCAGTGGTGAAAGTGTCTGTTCTCCTTCCTCACGCCCCCAGAAAGAAGAGGCCATCGAGCAGCCCGAGTTCAAGTATGACGAATTCGGTTTCCGAGTTGATAAGGAAGGTAAAGCCAGCCCCATCCCTCCCCATTTGGGAATGGGGACGTTTCCAGCTCTCAGGCCATGCAGCGTGAGGGCAGAGCTTGTTTGCACGCGTGCCCTGAGGCACCTTGAGCTGTAGAGGATCCTCTCGAAGCAATGACCTGAGAGAGAGCAATTTCCTTCAGACAGAACATTTGATGGACTTGTGCATCCTGAAGCCAGCAGAAAGGTTTGGATTGCTTTGCTGGGATCTGTGTTAGGATGAAGGATGCCTTACGTCAAACCTGTGCTGGCACTGAAGTATATTTTAGAGAGATGGCCCGAGATTAAGGTGCCCTCTCATCGTGAATTTGCCAGTGTTCTTATTAAAGATCTTTTTGGTGATTAGCTCTCCCCGAAGTTAACATTTTGTGCCTCATTACTTGCGTGAGCATATGGCTTTCTGCTTGTCGCCGCCGAGGCTCGCTCTGCTTTTGTCAGCTTGATTTACAGATCCTCACAAAACCCAGCAGGATGACTGCTGCCAGGGTCTTGTTTCATTCCTGCCATGCTCTGCTGTAAATCAGGAGCGAACAGAGGCTTCGCTGCCTTTTGCTTACAACCAAAAAATTGCTACATGGAGAAGAAAGTTAGAAACCAAGCTCTGCCTTCCCGTGCTCTGGCTGGAAGACACGAATGTTTTGATGTGCTTTCTTCAGATGGATGTGCTGCTCCTCACCCATCTCCGTGTTTCTCCCTTCCCTTGCTCCCAGACGGTGCTGAGACCAACTCCAGCAAGCTCCTGGGGCTCCCGCTGACGGAGGAGCCGCAGCAGAGGCTCAAGTGGCAGGCTCACCTGGAGTTCACGCACAACCACGACGTGGGCGACCTCACCTGGGACAAAATCGAGGTCACCCTGCCGCGTTCAGACAAGCTGCGCTCGCTGGTGCTGGCCGGCATCCCGCACAGCATGAGGCCACAGGTGAGAGTGCTGCCTGGCTGGGCACAACCCCCTGCCCGGAGTAAGAGGCAGAGGAACGAGACCGCTTTTTCTTGGTTGAGGGGTTGCCAGGTTATGGCTCTCAGTGGCTCCTCCTCTCCCTGTTCAGCTGTGGATGCGCCTTTCTGGGGCCTTGCAGAAGAAGAGGAATTCCGAGATGTCGTATCGGGATATCGTGAAAAACAGCTCTAACGATGAGACCATTGCTGCCAAACAGGTGAGAGAGACCGCCTGGTGCTGACTGGGCAGGAGAAATCTCCCCCACCAGCATGCCTGCTCTGAAGCTGGGGGGGCTGAGCGCAGACAAATATTTCTTAGGAGCCACCAAGTCGCTGTCTGGCTTTTTTTTGCATGTGTTATGAGGCTATTAAACTGGCCCCAGGCGCTTGGACAGGGCCTTCCTCAGTCCTTAAGGACTTGAGAATCGTGGAGGGAAGCAGAGTTCCCTGAGGCAAGGAGCAATGGGTAGGTACAGAGAGCAGAAGGCCGTCGGGTGCTGCCAGCTGACCGTTTCCTCATTCGTGGCTGTCTGGCAGATTGAGAAGGACTTGCTCCGCACGATGCCCAGCAACGCCTGCTTCTCCAACATGAACAGCATCGGGGTGCCACGGCTACGCAGGATCCTACGGGGGCTTGCCTGGCTCTACCCAGAGATTGGCTACTGCCAAGGCACCGGCATGGTGAGTTGCTTTCCTGGTGGTTTTGCAGCGGGGTCACTCTGTCTGTGACAACTGTGCTGGACTTGAGGCAATTTCTGGATTTGAGGCAATGCTACCAGACACTGCGGCCTCCAGACTAGTTGAAGGGAAATTCATTCCGCATGGAACACTTCTGAGGAGAGGTGGAGCAGAGCAACACCGTGTGTCCAAAGGGGTGGAATAATTCAGTCTGTCCGTGGGGGAGGGACAGACAGGCTTCTTCTCTCTGAGGAGAAATCCCTTCCATGGGAGAGACTGCAGGAGAGCCACTAGAGAGAAAAGAAGGTGCTGGTCACCTAGGCACACACAGGTCTGTGTGAGGAGGGGAGAAGAATTCCTCTCCTCTGCAGGCTTGGCACGCAGGCTTTCTTCCTTCAAATCCCAGGTGGCTGCCTCTCTGCTGCTCTTTCTGGAAGAAGAAGATGCCTTCTGGATGATGTGCGCTATCATTGAAGAGCTGGTTCCTGCCTCCTACTTCAGCACCACCCTGATGGGTGTGCAGACAGACCAGCGCGTCCTGCGGCAGCTCATCGTGCAGTACTTGCCCCGCCTGGACAAGCTGCTCCAGGAGCACGACATCGGTAAAAATGTGCCCGTAGCTTTTCTGGCCAGGGTGCTGTGCAGGCAGAGATCGCTGTGCTCCTTTCACAAAGGGAGAACAAGAGCTAGGAGCAAACCTCCTGGCTCTGGAGGCCGTGGCAGTGCGTGGTCATCTTTAAGCTGGGAGGGCAGTGCTCGGGGGAGTCCATCCCCAAAGGCTGGCCGAGTTCTCCTGTCGTGATTCCTGTCTGTGTCTCTACTCACAGAGCTGTCCCTCATCACCTTGCACTGGTTCCTCACCTCTTTCGCTAGCGTCGTCCACATCAAGCTGCTGCTGCGCATTTGGGACCTCTTCTTCTACCAGGGCTCCCTGGTGCTGTTCCAGCTCACGCTGGGCATGCTCAGCATGAAGGTAACTCCTACCCCCACTTCCTTCTTTATAGTATTTCAGTGCTTAATGGCAAATTTTAGGGGCAAGGTTTTGTATCCACTTCCTCTGTGTGGGCTGGGAAAATGTGTGAAGGGCGAAGGTGAGTAAGGGGAAGGTAGAGCACAGCAGGTGCTGCACAGCATGTGAGGCTGAGTAGTTTCCCTTTCCTTGACCCCAGGAAGATCCCTGCTGTGCCTGCTCCTGGTGGAATAGCTTCTGTTTGATTGATTTGACTTCACTTCAATGGTGGATGTTAAATAGAGTTTGGGGAGCGGAGCTCAGTGCAGTAGAGTGGTGCCCAGGCTGTGAGGATGCGTAAAATCGCATCCAGCAGCCCCAAGAGCAGAGCTGTCGTGTGCTTACTGTTCCGTGTGGCAAAATGATGGCATCATTGCAGGAGGATGAGCTGATCCAGTCCGAGAACTCTGCCTCGATCTTCAACACGCTGTCGGACATCCCCAGCCAGATCGAGGACGCCGACGTGCTGCTGCGGGAGGCCATGCGCGTGGCGGGCTCGCTGACGGACGTGGCGGTGGAGACCCAGCGTCGCAAACACCTGGCCTACCTCATTGCCGACCAAGGGCAGCTGCTCAACTCCAGCACCGCTGTCAACAATTTGTCCAAAGTGAGTGCCCATATCGCTTGGAATTAACCCGAGCACATGAAATGCAATAAGAGTGGGATTAAAGCATTAGTGAGAAACCGATATGCTGAAATAACTCTGGAAGGGAGAGTCAGAAAACAGCAGCAGCCTTTGAGAAGCTGAAAAAGAAATTCATTTGTGTTTAACCTCAGACTGCAGTCTGCAGATGTAGTAGCTCCGGTTTGTCAAGCCTGAGTGGAAGATATATTCTGGATGCTCCTCTGTGTGCTTATCAGCAGACAATCCTGCAGTTCTGAAACATAATGGGCATCCACTTAGAAATCTAAACACAATTACGTGTGGAACTGCTGCTGGCAACAGGTGGAATTAAAACTAAAATCATTCAGTTGAATCACGGTTGGTTCTCAAACTTCAATTATGCTTTCGTAATAATTGGGCTATAAATAACGTGTTGCACATGGAGCAGGTCAAGCAGGAGAGCTGATTCACTGCAGCTGGAACCAGAACAACTGTCTAAAATTGCTGGGTCACTTGTCAGCCCCTTCCAGCAGTTACTGTCAGGACCCCTTGCTCAGACCTGACCGTTGTGGAGGGTTTCTTCCTTTTCCTGTACTAAATCCGCTGTAACGTGTGCACTTTTCTTCTTTTTCTCTTTTCTCTCTCCCCCATAGATCGTGCGGCGCAGGACTCAGCGCAGGAAATCTGGCATTACCTCTCTGCTGTTCGGTAAGGACAGTCCTGTGCCTGCCCTGTGGTGTGGATGGATCTGGCAACCTAGGAGGGAGGGTGCTGAGTGACAGGGAAACTGAGGAGAGGAGAGGAGGGAGCTAGAAAGGAAGGATGAGAGGGAAGAAGTGTAGTTTTCTATTCACTTGCTTTGGTCTGAGCTCGGAAAGTGAGTTTCAGATCAGCTGGTAAGTCCTGAAGTGGTGACTGACAGTGGGCTGCAGCTCAGCCCTGTGCAACATCCTCCTTGTGTTAGAGCCTCCCAAGGCTCTAACACATCCTCTGGCAGACCACGTGCAGTCCATGGGCTGTATGCTGTTGTCTCCTGATACTGCTCCTCTGAGCTCAGGAGCATCGTCTCTGAAGATCTGAGACAGGACGGGATAGTCCAGTGGGTCATCCATCAAGTTTTTTAAGTCAAAATTTAAAAATGCAGACATCCCTCGTGCTTCTTCCCCTTACCTGCTACAAGAGTTCGATGTCACGAACAAACATCTTTGATTCTTTACTCTCACTGCTTATGAGCTCGCCCAGCGTACGTCCAGAAAGCACATGGCCAGGATAGGTTTTGCACAGATACAAAAATAACTTCTGTGGCTTTTGTAATAGCCTTTTCTATCGTAAACCTCACTGTCATCACCTTCTGTGCAACTGGCTAGCTGTCTTGAGATTGCTACATCTCACCACAGAAATTTGTTTTTCCGGGGAAGGAGAATGTACTGAGTTTACAAGGTTTAGATAATGTTCCAGTTGTGGTTGAAATGGCCTTAATAAACTTAAAGCTGTGTTTTACTGGTCTCTTTAGAGAAGAGCTTTTCTGATGGTCTCTGGGAAGCTCACATCTTGTCAGAGGCTTTGTTTACACGCACGCACAGCATTGCATAGAAAAACGATAGTACAGCACTGGTGAGGCTGTAAGGTTGAGCGTGCAGAAGTGAAGAAAGGCAGGAAGGTTGGGAAGGTTGTGACTGCAACCTGAACTCTTCTGTGGAAGGCTATCATACGGTCAGTACACGCTGAATCTGTAGGGAACGTAGCTGCCACGTGCATCTTTCTTGTGTCTCAGCCTCTTCTTGGCCAAGTTTGAGCACCTTCCTTGGAGGTGATAGTGAGTATCCCCAGGCAACAAGGTAAATCTGAAGTTCAAGTCTCAAAATGTATCAGTGGTGGAAGATGATTGATGATCACTGAGATGAGGTGGCTTTTATGTACAGTGACTGTCATGCTTTTGTCCTCATGTTATCCTTAATAACTAAAACATTATTTAAAACGTGTGTGATAGTGGTTTTACCACTAGTGGCACCTAGTCTTGCTCTGGGTGGGAGTAAGGATTTATCCAGAACCTAATTCTTCTTCCATAGAGAGAATGAAGATGTAGAAGTAACTTGGACAGGGGTCGTAGAATCACTGGAGAGCTGTTTGGAAGGGACCTGGAGGAGGTTGGTAGTCCGACCTCTTGTGTTCATGCTAGATCGGGTCAGCCAGGGCTTTCTGTAGCTGAGCCTCAAGAGGTTGGATCAGATCTCTAACAAAGAAATAGCAAAAAGAAACGACGAAAGGCCGTACGTGTTGCCCTTTTCCTGTTAGCTGGTCGTTGCCCCAAGGAGACCCAGGAGGGCTCGTCCTCCTCTGCACAACTGCTCGGTCTTTGCAGCTCAAAATAGAGCCTCATCACACGTGGCCGGTCCCGCACTCATTTCCTGTTTTGGAAACACCCCCAGGTGCAGCGAGGTGAATCTGGTGGAAACCCCAGGCGCCTTCCTCTGTGTTTTGTGTGTTTGGAGGTGCGAGGGTGCAGAACTTTCTTCCTGGCTCTGCTGCTCGTGTCTGGGTGGGATTCATCAGGGTGCAGGATTTTGGCCAGAAGGGGCCAAACGATGAAACAAAGAGTCAGCAATCTGTGGAAACCAGGGCAGCCCACGGCCGGCGTGGCTGTGGTTGTAGTTTCTTCTTTAGTCACATTCTGTTTCAGCAGCGTGAATTTTCCAGGAATCTCCCCCACGGTCTGCGTGATCACTCGTCTATTTACGATCTTCCTCTCTCTCTGAACCTGCAGTGAGGCTTCTTACGTCCTACCCCATTGCCTTAGGAGGAGGTTTTGGTAATTTTCATTGTTTGGCCTGGGAGTTTGTGTGCGTTAGCCTCTTCTAGTCCAGAAGCAAAGTTCAGTTTTTCTCTTACGCTCTCTGTCTAAATCTGACTCTCTTATTTAATAGAGCAAATGGGAAAGAATTATAAAAATCATTTTAAATCTAATATTGTGTTTCCAGTTATGTTCTTAAAGTTTGGGACTTTTTAATTAGTATCACTTGGATTAAAAGACACCGTTAATCACTTTTCAGTAAGCAGGAGCTATTCTTCGTGGACGCGTAGCAAAAATAGATCTAGGAAAACACACGTTGAATTTAAAACAAATGATATTTCTTAGGAAAAGAAGCAAATGTTTAATCACGTACCCAATTTTTAAGGCATTCAGATGCATTCATTGCCTAAATAACCAATACCACTAGGTGTCTTTCTGCATAAATGAATAGGATTTTTGGCAGCTTATGTGGGAATTAGTAAAAGTTGGAAGTTGGGTTACTTTTATTTTGTACTTATGACCATCTGTATACACCAAAGTCTTTGAACTTTGGCTGTTAGGGAGGCTGAGGTGAGGGAGGATGGAAGCTTCTCTCTCATGGCTCTCACTTCTGGGCTGACACAGGAAAGTGGCCTGTCTTGGTTTTCGCATCTTTTTCAAGTCTCGGTGAAGGAGATGCTCTCACCCTGTACGCCGTGCAAAAGTTCTAAGTAGTTTGCACAAAAGCTGTTTCAGTTTTAAGAGAATTTCAGTTCCAGAAGACTTTTGCAGTGTCCCTAGTTCTGAGTCTGAGCATGGTGCTGCCCCTGTGCGCTGTGCAGGCAGTGCAGCAGTGGCTTGGCACGCTGAGTGGCCCAGAAAGATCCCAGACAGCGTCCTCCCAGTCCCATGTATTTGTTGTAAATAGCTCCTTAAAAATTGGGACGGCCTTGTGGATAATTCTTACTTACCTTAGTGAATAGATTGGCAGTAGGTTCCTGCCTTAATGCAGGCAGGCTTGTTTGATTTCTGGCACTAATAAGAAATAAATATCTTGTGCTTGGTCTCCTTTTCCTCACCTTCCCCCTGGCTGCGTGGGCTCCACCAGGGGACGACGACCTGGAGGCCCTGAAAGCCAAGAACATCAAGCAGACGGAGCTGGTGGCTGACCTCCGCGAGGCCATCCTGCAGGTGGCCCGGCACTTCCAGTGCGTGGATCCCAAGAACTGCAGCATTGTGAGTGGGATGGGGGCTGCCACGTGCCGAACAGGCGCTGTAAGCTCTGCGAGATGAGCTGGGAGTCGCCTGCTGGTCTTCATTCCTCTTTGCTCTGCATCCTTGTGCCAGGACCTGACCCCGGACTACAGCATGGAGAGCCACCAGCGGGACCACGAGAACTACGTGGCCTGCTCCCGCAACCGCCGGCGCCGCGCCAAGGCCCTGCTGGACTTCGAGCGCCACGACGACGACGAGCTGGGCTTCCGCAAGAACGATATCATCACGGTGCGAGGGGCAGCACGGGGAACACCCAGCCCGTCTGGGAGATCCGCTCAGGGTAGCTGGGGGTCCGAGGGAAGCACTGGGTGGCTCTGGGATGAGGCAGGATGTGAGTATGGTCTGTTGGTCTTTCTCAACGCAACTACAAAGGCCCTTTCCTGGCTGCCATACAGCAGAGCCAAAGCTTGATTTGGTGCCAGTTCAACGCCTCACACCAGGCTGTGGTAAGGCTGTAAAAGCATCCGTTTGCCTTTTAGCTGTGGGCGCCCCATCTGGAATTGGGGAAAGAGGAATTGACGTTATGTTTGCAGTAGCTTTTTGCCATTGAAAACCCTGCACCACATGGGATTAAGGCATTGGCAAAAGAGGAGAAGGCAGTTCCTCATCGTGCACACAGACAGGCAGCTGTAGCCCTCCTCACCTGTGGGGGGAGAGTTCCGTGTCCTGCCTCCGTTCCTTGCTGCTCGCGAGTCGTCGTCTGACGCTCTTCAACCGCTGTTTCCCACCCCCTGTCTTTCCAGATCATTTCCCAGAAGGATGAGCACTGTTGGGTGGGAGAGCTGAATGGACTGAGAGGTGAGAGCGGGGCAGGCTGAAATGGGGGGGAAAAGCAAGGTGGGATGCAAAGGATGGTGGCTGGGTGCACATCATCTCCGCTGCTGGTGGGCGGGATCCCGTAATTGGCTTCCTCCTGCAGTTGCCTGAATTCTTGTGATTTTTCAGGCTGCTTGCTTCCTTCTCTGGGGCTGGACTCCATGAACTCTGATTTATTCTCAGCCCCCACTGGTTTCTCATCTCCACTGTTTGTTAGGCTCACCTCTTTTGTCCATCCTTTGTAGGTTGGTTTCCTGCAAAATTTGTGGAGATCTTGGATGAGAGGAGCAAAGAGGTAATTCAACAATACTAATACTAATTGAAAAGGGCCCTGTATTGCCCTCACTGAGTGCATTTGCGGGGAGCTGAGTGCAGTGCCTGGAGACCGGCTCTGGGAAAGCTGAGCAGCCGTAGGGCAGGCACGCAGCAGGATGCTGGGGCAGGGTTTCAGCCTGCTTCCCTCTGCCTGTGCTCTCTTCCTCCTTTGAGGCTGTCCCTGTGGATCTTGCTGGTGCTTTCTGGTCACCACAGTGGATTGTCCCCCAACAGTTGTGCCTGAGGGAGCAGTGCCTTGGTTCCCCTGGTGAGATGCCAGATGCCAGCCGTTTCGAGCAGAAAACACTGGGCACAGAAGTGCTGGTGTCCCAGCAAGTCCCAGGGGGCCAGCAGTGACCGTGGCACCTCACACAAGATCATGAAGGGCCAAGGGAGGGGGCTGGGAGTGAAGGAGGCGTGCGTGGAGCAGCTGTGGGTGAGCACACCACCTCCACGCGCTGTCCCATTGCACTGAGCTGGCTCTTGGTGCTCCTCAGTACTCCATTGCTGGCGACGACTCGGTGACGGAAGGGGTGACGGACCTGGTGCGAGGCACGCTGTGTCCAGCCCTCAAGTCCATATTTGAGCACGGACTGAAGAAGCCGTCCCTGCTGGGGGGCGCCTGCCACCCCTGGCTGTTCATCGAAGAGGTGAGGCGGCTCCCTTCCCTTCCTGGGGCTGGGCCAAAAAGGCTGTAGGGCGGTGTAGGGTCGTGTGCCGACTGTCCCTCTGCCTCCCTAGGCTGCGAGCAGGGAAGTGGAAAGGGATTTTGACTCGGTGTATTCTCGCCTGGTGCTTTGCAAGACGTACAGGTAAGGCCCCGTTATTCGCACCCTGCTCCTGCGTGCCCATCAAACTGCTGCTCTCCACCTTGGGGAGGTGCCCCAGCCTCCTCGTAGCTGTGTGCTGTCATCTTTTCAGGCTCGATGAAGACGGCAAAGTCCTCACCCCAGAGGAGCTGCTTTACCGGGTGAGCGCTGCCCCAGCCCAGCCGGTAACGGGGCTGTTTCCTGGGGGGCTGCTGGAGGGCACGGCCCTTCAGGGAGGTGCTTGGGAGTCTCCCTGAGCTTCCCCGACTGGGGAGAGGCACAAATGGGAACTGTCTGGCAGCCTCAGCCCTTGTAATGCTGGTGGGTGGCACTGGGTGAGGCTGGGAGTGCACTGGGGGGCTCTGGGGGGGGCAGCGTTCGGCTGTGCTGCTGACACGGGATCTCAGCTCGGCCCCGGCTGAGGCTGAGCTGCGAGGAGGCAGTAACCACATCTTCCTGCCCTCCAGGCAGTTCAGGCTGTGAACATGACGCACGACGCCGCACACGCACAGATGGACGTGAAGCTTCGCTCCCTCATCTGTGTGGGACTCAAGTGAGTCACCCGGGCCTGCCGCCCCCAGTGCCGGGGGTGCGAGGAGCCTGGGAGGGGGCAGAGCAGGCTCACGAGCTGCGGTTGTTTCAGCCTGCCTTGGGGTCCTTGGGGTGTGCTGGGGACAAGATTGTGGGCTGGGGTCGAGGCTGGGGCTGAGAACGGCCTGTCCCAAAGGGGCAGAGCTTCTTCCCATGGCTTCAGCCGAGTAACGTGCCTCCACCCCCTCGCCGCAGCGAGCAGGTGCTACATTTGTGGCTGGAGGTGCTGTGCTCGAGCCTGCAGACCGTGGAGAAGTGGTTCCATCCCTGGTCCTTCCTGCGCAGCCCCGGCTGGGTGCAGATCAAGTGTGAGCTGAGGTGAGTCTGGGCCCTCGGGCCTCGCCTGGATTTCCTCCTCCCCCGCGGGAGCTGGGCCTCATCGTGGCGGGTTTTGGACCCTCTCCCGCCAGCAGCAGCACCCAGATCTCTTTCCGTGTGCTAAGGCAGCAGCAACCGTCTAGACAGCCTAATGGGGTGCGCTGGGCCCGCCGGATTTAGGGCAAGCCCTGGCTCCTGGGGAGCTGTGGTGATAAGCAGGCAGCAGCTGCCCGTCCCCTCGGCACTGCACTGCCCCCCTGGCTCCCTCACAGCCTGGGGCAGAGCTCGTTCAGCACAACCACAGCACCAAGGGGCTGCTTCTGGGCTGGGATGGGGTTGTGGGGAGCAGGAGCTGAGCCCTGGGCCGTGGACGCTTCCCTCAGCCCTCAGCCACTCGTGTCTGTGGTGCAGCAGAGCCCGGGGCTGCGCTGCTGTGTCAGGCTCTGTAGGGGCTGCACTTGAGTCGTGTTTTCGAGCTTCTCCTCCAGCCTGGGACTGGCAGGACGGGAAGTCCAAGGAGGAGGTGGAAAGAGGGAAAGGTGGAGAGCTGCTGCTGCTCTGTCGGTGCCAGCAGGTGCTCCCCACCCTTTCAGCTGGGTGCTTTTCTCGGGCTGGGACCATGCTCTGGGCGTGTGGCTGAGCGCCGGGCTGTGCTCTCCTTCCCTTCCAGGGTCCTCTGCAAATTCGCCTTCAGCCTGTCTCAGGACTGGGAGCTGCCCATAAAGAGGGAGGTGAGTGGGCAGCATCTCCTCCCCTCCTTCCTCTCACAGCCCGGGGCAGGGTCGGAGGGTGCGGATGGAGCCATTTTCCGCAGGGCCTCTCCCCGCTGCGTGGAGGTGGGCAGTGCAGGAGCTGCCTGGCTCCTGTGCCCGCGTTTCACCCGCGGATGCTTCCCCCTCACTTTTTGGGGCACTGACCCCGCTCTCTGTCTCCCTGCAGGAGAAGGAGAAGAAGCCGCTGAAGGAAGGGGTGCAGGACATGCTGGTGAAGCACCATCTCTTCAGCTGGGACATAGACGGGTGACCCACACCCCGCCCCGGCCCGGGGAACCTTCTCAACGGCACACGCTCCTCTCCCCCACCCCGTCCCCTCCCCACGCTTGTACCCGTGACAAAATCCCCCTCGGGATGCTGCCAGAGCTGCAGACCCCAGGGCGGCCATGGCCTCGCGGGGTGGCTTTGGGCTCTGGAAGGTGGAAATGGGGGGAACGGGGCTGTGGGAGCAGGGCCGGCGCCGCTGCTCTGGACCAGCCAGGGGCTCGCCTCCAACGGGGAGAGGGGAGGCGAAGCCCCAAGCACTTGGAGGGGTTCCCCTGACCTGGGGCCGGGGCAGGGAAGGGGAATCGGTGTTGGCCTCGTCCCACTGCTTGGCAGCGGGGTGCTGACGAGGTGCCCTAGGGCACCAGCCCGCTACCACCAGAATGTCTCCTCTGGGAGACAAAAACCAACACTCCCCTAAAGCCCCCGAGTGTTTCATGCTGTCGTTTTAGTCTCTAGCTGATTTTTACCGTTAACCAAAAAGCTGTAAATTATCTCCAGGCCCGTGTGTATATTTTGGCACTGTTGTAGCTCAGGATGGGGTTCAGGTGGGAGCTGGCTCAGGGAGACTTAACTCGTCCTCCTGGCCCCGCGGTTGGCGGCAGGGCCAGGGCGGGAGGGGAGAATTGCTGCTTTGTGGTGGTGGCTCTGGATATGGAGTCTGTGACTTTCTACTGAAAGCGCTTGTCTGTGAGCACAAAACTACTCGTGAGATGACACTAGATTCTTACTGCCCTTTATTCCGTGGGTTTGTAAATAAAAACTGCATCTTGGGAGAGCGCTGGGCTGAGCCTTTGTTTTTGCGCAGGGCCGGGGATGGATTTAATTCCTGAAGTCTTCAGTAACTTGAGCCCCTGAAACACAGGCAATACTCAAAAACCAAGGGACTAGGGCTGCTGGTGGCCAGCAGCAGTGCCTGCAGGTGGAGGGGTTTGTCCAAGAGCAGCAGAGACGCCTCAGAGCCCGTGGCTGTTTGGAATTTTTTTAATAAAATGGATTTTTTTTTTTCTTCAAATATTTGTAACTGAAAAAATAATTCAATTTAAAGATCCGTTCTCTCCCCCGTCACCTCGTCGCCTTTTCCAGTTGAACACTCGCTCTGGATCCCATGCCCCAGCGCCGTCCCTCGCGGGCGGTGCTGCCCACCCCTCGCCGCTCGCTGCATAGTGGAAGGGGGAGTGCGTGCTAGTCAAATACACGGTACAAACAAGTAGTGGTTACAGCAGAAAGATTCAGGATTACATTCAAGGTAGAGGCAGAACATCAGGCTTTTTTTTTTTTTTTTTCTTTCTTTCTTTTCCCAATGGGTGCAAAAAACGTCCTTCCAGGGGAATACCTCTTCCAACAAAGAACTATTGAACTATTATTCAAACAAATAATAGTAAGAAAGCAGAGAACCGGGCTGGCCTCCTCCGGGCATGTCTCAGGGAAAAGATCACTCTGGGATATCCTGGGACAAGACGCTGTCTTCCCCCTGCCCCTGGCCACGAGGTTTTTGTGTGCTCTCCTGGCAGAAGCCCTTTGTGCAGAGGGGCTCCGGCAGGGTCGCGGGTTTCCTCAGCCAATTTCAAGTCCGTTGGGCAAATTGAATGAATTCCGACAGGTTTCACGAGCGGAGGTGGGGAGGTAAAGGCGAAGGGGAGCACCTGGGAGCTCCTCCTTTCGCTGCCCACCCAGGGGAAGGGTGAAATCGGGCGCTGGCACCACTGCCAGCAAGGAGCGGGGGGCTGCAGGTGGAGTGCTCCCACCCTCCTGCAGGAGCAAATTGCACTTGGATACTTGAATTCTTTACTAATTGCCACTTGGTATTTCCTCGTACAAAAGAACTCACACAGCTGTTTTGTTTTTTTTTTTTTTTTTTGGGGGGGGGGGAGGGCTAACCTTGAGCTCACTGCGGGCTAAAAGGAGCTGATTTTGCTGAGTACGACAAACAGGCAGCCTCATTTTTTTTTTTCCCCCCTTAGCCTTTAAAACCTTGGAGGGAAGGTTCTCATCCCCCTTTCCACCATGCCACCCTACTTTCCTCGTAAGAAACCACTCGCCTCCTGTGCCCACATGGTCCCATGGCTGGGCAGCTGCCAGGGTGGGGGGAACAGGCTATAACACGGCCCTTGCCCAGTCTCCAAAATGTTGTGCTGCAAAGAGCGCAGGGCAGCAGCCCGCAGGGAGCAGCGAGGTTGCTTTTTTTTAACCTTTTACCTCACAGACCTGCAGGGAAGCACTGAGGATTTGCTGCAGCAGAGCCGAGAGCAGCTGCCCCTTCCTTTCTCACCCCTTGGGGCAGCGCCTCTTCCCTTTCCTTGCCTGCGGGCCCTGCCAGCCTTCCTCGGGGCACAGGCACCCGTTTGGAGGGCTGGGGGGAGCTCCTTACACTTGAGGCACCTGCTGCAGGGAGGAACAGCGCAGCTGAAGGCAGAAGAGCGATTGCACGTGGCCCCGAATGATATGTTGCTCGTTGCCAGCTGTGCCCGCCGCACGCTCCCCAGGGGCGGCTGGGGCCGAGGGGTGGGCTCCAGGCACAGCCAGAGGTCTGGGGGCAGCGAAGGACATGGTTAACACACAAGGATCTGGATTTTAGCACCTTAAAAAAAAAAAAGAAAAGAAAAACAGAACCGAACCGTTTCTGCAGCCCAAAGCAAGTGAAGCAGCGGGCAGGCCTCTGCCAAGCTCAGCAGGATTTGGGAAACCAGCTTGGACAGTACCAGGCCGCTGGGAAACCCTGGTTTCCTTTGGCTACGTTGGGAAAAGCTGCCTGCTCTGCCCAGCTCCCCGCGGCCCTGCAGCACACCGGGCCCTCCCCGACAGCCTCCCGGAGCTGCCGTCCCTGCAAGGAGCGTGCTGCTGCTTTTGGGACGGGCTCGGGACCAATCCTGCCACATCCTGCAGCGAGGCGCGAGGGAAGTCATGCCCAGGAACATCCCAGCACACGGCTCCTGCCGGCTCCCTCCTCACCCGAGCTGGCCCAAGGCCGCCAGCCCCAGAGCTGCAGCCTCCCTGGCCTGCTTCATGCAGGAAGGACACTGTTGGGGGAGGAGTACAAATACTAGGAGCTCCTTTCTTTTTTTTCTTTTTTTTTTGTTGTTTTCTTTTTTTTGTGTGTTTTTTGTGTGTTTTTTTTTGTGTTTTTTCTTTTTTTTTTTTGGTTGACTGGCCTCTTCCCCCTGCATGCCCGTGCCCTCCCACGCCCGTTCCCTTCAGTCTCCGCTCACAGAGTTACAAGCACGAATCCCAGTGCAGCTGCAGGTCATGTCCATCAAGGAAGTCTGTGGAAAAGAGGCTGGGAGCCGCGGTGCTGAGGGGAGCCAGGCTCATGACGGACCCCCCCGGCAGCTCCAGCCAGTCCATGCTGTCCAAATTAGCCTCAGCCAGATCCAGGGCTATGCCCCCGGCCGGCTCGTGAGCAAAGTGCAATTCCGAGGTGTCCATGGGTGAAGGCGGGTGGTCCAGGATGGCCGAGCTGCTCAGCATCTCACTGTGGAGGTCGTCGATCAGGGACAGGGGCTCCGGCCCGTCGTGGCCCGCCGTCAGCAGCGGGAGGCCGGTGCTGCTCTCTAGGAAGTCCTCCAGCCGGCCCACGGGCACCGGCTGCCCCATGGAGCCCGGCCCCGGCAGCTCCGAGGCCTGGTGGCTGCTGGGCGGCGAGGGGCAGGCGGGGGCCGCAGGGGGCTCTTTTCCAGCCGGGGACGACTGCTCCTTGAAGTCGGCAGAAATCTCTGTGCGGGGAGCAAACGTGCAGGGCGGGGTGAGGAGAAGCTCTGCCGCAGACAGCGGGAGCCCTCCCACCCTGCCGGGCAGCGGGGATCCCACTTTGCAGCTCAACCCCCGGGGAACTGAAGCTCTGGCAGATGTGGCAGGGAAGATGTGCCCGGCTCTGATGCAGCAGAGCCACCAAGAAGTGTTTTAAGCACACCAAACCTTGCTGGTGTCTCCCCGGGAGTTTTAATGCCTGCCAGGGACGCGGGAGCAAAGAGCGGTGACAGCCAAGCACATCAGCGCTCTGCCACTTCCAGGCTGAAGCCCCAGGGCTGGGAAGTGCCGCCTCAGCTCCTTACCTCCGCTCTCTATGAGGATATCGAACAGGTCGTCCATCTGCTGGCTGGAGCAGCCGTTCTCCTGGGGAGAAGAGGGACGGGTTAGCTCCCCAGGCACCAGGGGTGGGGCTGTTGTTGTACAGGGAGCAGCCAGAGGCACGGCACCACAGCCCTCCGTAAGAGGGCTCAGAAAGGGACAGTTTGGTCTCCTTTCTCTTTTACTGGCCCGGATCAGGAATCTAAAGGGCTTCACAACAGCAACTTTGCACCTGCTCTCCAAGGGAAACAGAACTGCCCTCACCTGGGCCTTTGGCTGTTGCTTCATGGCCTCTTCATAGCCTGGTGGCTCTTTCATTGGGACCGAGGGCACGGGGAGAGGAGGTGGAGGAGTTCCAAAAAGCGACGTGTGCTGCTGCTGCTGCTGCTGCTGCTGCTGCTGCTGCTGCTCCAGGTCCATGTGGGCTGGGGAGGGGGCAGCAGGAGAGCCAGGCTGGGATGAGGGCTGTTAGGAGCAAAGACAGAAGGAACGATCAGGGGAAAGCTCAGGGCTGCTTTGAGAGACCATCACCCCCCTCTCTTGGCGAGGTCTGCGCCGTGCTGCTCCCAGCAGCCCGGCTCCTTCTGTGTACTCGGTGCCCTGCGCGCTGCCTGCGGGGGCGTGAGGCAGACTTCCCCTCCCTGTCAGCTGGAAAGCTCTTGCTGGTATTTTTAATACCAAAGCAACCACGCCACAAACCACCACCAGGCTGCTCCTGGCCGGGGAGAGCTTCATCTGTCCACGTGGGGGAACTCCTCGAGGATTTTAGAGAGAGAGAAGGCATTTCCCTCGCTTTGTTCAGCCTCCTCCGCACTCACGACGGAGCCGGGACCTCTCTTTTCCCCCACCTCTCTCCCTGCAGCGCCGGCTTTGGCGACACGACGGGGCCTGACAGGCAGCAAACCTCACAGCCCAAGGGTGGGCGGGGAGCACCAGAGCACCGAGAGGTACCAGAGCTCTCCAAAGGAAGCCCCAGGCGCTGCAGGAAGCGGTGCTGGTGACTCAGCTTTGCCAGATGAATCAGCACCCAGCTGCCCATACGAAATGTTCGAGTGCGGCCGGGGGGCTTGTGAGTGATCCAACCCACGTCTGCTTCCCTGGAAAGCCGGTCACCTGCTCTGCGGCCCGCCTGGAGAGGAGCAACCCCAAGCCCCTGCTGCCAGAGCTGCTCTGGGGGCTGCTCTCCACGTGAGAGGGGCTGGAAACCCCAGCGTTGTGGCAGCGGCCACTGGGACGGGCTGGGGGGTACCTTTTTTGGCACACTGGGTTGGCCGGCCGTGCCAGGAGCACCAGTTTTCGGGGACCCTTTGTGGAAAGCGTTGAGGAAGAAGGGCTGCAGGGTTGGAGGTGCTGAGAAAGACAATGTGGTGGGGGGCTGCTGCCCTGGGACCACCTGCAGGCCTGGCTTCTGACCCTACAGGGAGGCAAAAGGATGAGGAGAGTCACTGCAGGTGCCCTCCGCAGCACGCGAGCTCAGGGAGCCTGAGGGGAATGGTGCCTTCGTTTACCTGCTGCATTTCCACAAAGCTTCAAAGCGAACCAAGGCACCGACTCTTTGCAAAGGGGCCATCCCATTCTGACTACTCTAGGAAGGTCTCCTACCTGCACATCCTTTCCAGGACCTGACCCAGAAACGATCCTCCGAGCTCTAAAAACTCTTCATAGAAGTATTTCTCTCTCTGATCTTAATTACATGTTAAAGAGCGAGCTAAGTCATGCCTGACGTGGGCACAGCAGGGGCTCTTTAGCGCTGTCACTTGGAGGAGGGGTAAAGGCAGAGGTGCTCCCTTTCTCGATCCCACGTTGCTCTTCACAAAGACATAACTAACAGGCATGCTCAAGGCACAGGAACAGAAATACAGCACGTTCAGCTGTACCAGACAGTAAAGGCCACATCCTTCTGCCCTTCTCCAAGCTGAGACACCACCTTCAGAGCAAAGCTCCTGCCCACACCACCCTCTGGCAGCTCTCTCCGTGCAGTACCCACCTCTTCATTTCAGCAGCGCTCCTTCAAGAACTGGGGACCCCGCTGGGAACCAAGGCTGCCCGCGGTGCCTGTCATCATTTTTAGTTGACAGAATGCTCCTGTCTAAACCTCCAGCTGGTATTTTGTCCAGCGGCAGGAGGAGGTGCTGGGAGACCTCACTATGATGATGGTCTCACCAGGACTGTGTGTGTGTGTATGTGTGTGTGTGCTCCCTTCCCACCACTGCTACAAACCCTGGCACGGAGCGAAGGCAAACAAGGAATAAACGCGAGCAGGCAGCACGTTACCTTTCTGACAGCTTGGTTTAGGCCTCGGGGCTGCTGCTGCTGCTTCTGCTGCTGCGTGGGTTGCTGCTGCTGCTTCTGCTGCGTGGGCTGCTGAGGAGTGCTTGCAGGTAGCTGACACTGTGGCTGGCTGGAAGTTTTAGCGGGCGATGATTGTACTCTCTGGAAAGAAGAGGGTATCGGTGAGGAGCTGTTCCCCGGGCACAACAGGGAGCAAGGCTTGAGTTTCTTAAAGGGTGTATTAAATCTGGCTTTCCTGACTCTTTAGGAAATCAAGTCAATTGTTCTGTTTCACCAGGGAGAGAAATCAAACTGGGGTGGGATTGTGTGTCCTACACGAGGAGGTGGTGCCACTCCAACTCCCTGGGCTCCGTGACTTCCCTCGGGGGCTGGCAGCCCTAGCACGGGACCTATCCCTGACTACGTGGGGTGACACAGTGCTGACATTTGGCTGACTTGCATCTCACCAGCTACCCAGTGAACACAGCCTGTCCCTGATGGTGGGTGCTGCCACTGGCCCTGCTGGAGGTGCAAGAAACGCGGCAGCAGAGAATGGAAATTTTCTCTGATACCACGGAGGATGCTGGAGTTTAACTTATGCCATAAAACATATTTATCTCTTCCTGGAAGAAGCACTCAGAACACTTCTGTTAAGTGCTGGATTCATGCCAAGAGGGGAATAGTGCATCATGTCTGATGAAAGGCTCCACTAGCACCGAAATATCGACATGCATTAAAACAAAGAGCAGTCAAAAAGCAAAATGTCTGTTCTCAGGGCCTGATTTCAGCTCTCAGTAGACAAGGGGATCTATCCATCACTCCAGTGAAGAACAAGAGGTGAAATACATCCTCTTTTTTCTAATACCGCAGGCACAGTTGTTCTGTCGAAAAGTGGTAGAATGATTTCTACCATGAAAGATTTACTGACACCGTTCTGTTTTGCAAAGCCAGGAACTGTCAGAGCAATAAAACACCTACTAAAACACCGTTTTAGTATTTAATGAACTGAATTCCCAATGTATGAAGTCATCCCGTGGTAACCTGGACCCTAGGGATGGGACCTGAGCCTCGCCTACCTGCAAGGCCGGGCAGCTACTCCCTGCCTTCCCGTGGGGCGAGAGGCCCTGCCTCTCGGCGCTCGGCTTGGTCACGGTGAGCACGATGTGGGTCCCGGTGGAGTCGGTGATGAGGGTGGGGGGCGGGCTGCCCTTGATCAGGTCGCTCAGGGCGCTCCCTTGCTGGCCAAGGAAGAGCCGCGGGCTGTGGGACTGGCACGGCGGCTCCGCATCCGCGGCTGGCACCTCCTGCTTCACCATCACGGCTTTCTTTGGCACTGGGCTTGGATTCGAAGTGTCCATTTGGCTGGTGGCTGGCGCGGGGCTGAATTGGTCGCTTTGGCCACTGGCTGGCTTTGCGGACGGGCAGCTCAGGAAACCGTTCTCGCTCTTCACCTGGACGCCGAACGCTGCTGGGCTGGGGGCGAGGGCGGCTCGTTCTCCCGCAGCCGCTGGGGCCGGCAGGGACTGCTGAGAGCGCTTCTCCTGCTCCAGCTGTAGTCTGAGCATCTCGACCAGCTGCTGCTTCTGCTTCAGCATGCGGGTGAGTTCCTCAATCTGCTTGTCCTTCTCCTGCAGCATCTGGTCCTTGTCCCTAACTTCCGCGTCTCTGCTGCTACCGGTGCTGCACCGCTCGGCCCTGGGTGCCGCGCTCACGCTGCAGGGGGAAGGCTTGGAGCTTTCTTCCTTCACCAGAAACTGCACCGGGGAGGCCTGCAGGGTGAGCTGGGTCAGGGGTGAGGTCACCATCTCTCCAAAGGTGTCTCCGGTGGCCGAGTTCTCGTCCCCCGTGCTCATCTGCGAGCGCTCAGAAGGAGTGGGAGAAACGGGAGGAGTTGAGCCCGTGCTGCCGAACTTCATCACGCTGCCACCGGTGACCGTGGCCACGACCACTTCTGCTGGTGCAATGCCCGTGGTGACCAGGGCTGGCCCCGTGCTCAGCCTGGCGGCAGGGAAGGCCACCACCACTTCGGCAGCTTTGGGGAGAATGGCTGCAGTGCTGGGCTTGGGAGTGGGGGTGGCGGGGCCGGCCGCACCGTTCTGCTCTTGGTAGGCTCTGAGACGCTCGATCAGGTCCGTCTTGGTGCCTGAGACAGGCAAGGCTCTCAGCTTCAACTCCTGCTTCAGCTCTGCCACCTGATGAGGAGGGAAGAGGGCAACATTAAGACAGCACACGCTATCACCAGAACCACTGGGAGAGGGCCAGGCAACCCCCTGCAGGCCAACACGCCCGCATGTCTGGTACAAACTGCAGGGCAGCAACACCAGCCCTTCTCAGCAACATCGCTCAGTGTTGACTCCTCCAGAGACAACGGCCAAAAAAATAAGGGCCATGCAGTTTCCCAGGACTGCCAGCAGCACCAGTGCTTACCTTCATCTCATCGAGGTTGGCAGGGAGAGGGCCTGGCTTGCCCACTGCAGCGTTGCTGTTCTGTCGCATCAGCCCGCTGGAAGCGGAGGATACCGAGGAGCTGCTGCTGACTGTGGCAGAGAGATTGCGTACGGCAGGGGCACTGGCACCACTCTGCTGCTCTCCTGGAGGCCTGCAGCAAAAGAGAAGCCACGGGCATCAAAACCAAGGTGGAAGGGCACTGGAGGCCCTCAGTGCACAAGAAGCCAGTTGAGGGCATTTAGGTATCTATGTCCACAGTCACACACGCTCAGAAACATGAGCACCACCCCAGACTTTAAAGCATGCCAATGCTTTTGGCTAGATCCAACCTCCTCACGCTGGCCCTTTTTGAGGCCCACCGTAACCCGAGGCTCACAGCTCCCACCCAGAACACCATTTGTTGCTAACTGTACTGGGCAAGCCCGTCCCTAAGAGAGAGCTGGCGTTTTGGACCCATACTTTGGTGGAGCTGGCAGGATGGTCTGGTAGTTGTAGTGCTGCTGCTGCTGCTGGTTGAGGATCTGAAGCTGGAGAAAAAGTTGCTGCTGCTGCAGTATTTTGGCATAGGATGAATCCATGGGAGGAGCTCCCTTGTCCTGCTTTTGGTCCGGGGGGATATACTGATGATATTTAAGCTTCTTGACCTTCGGCTTCAACTCCTTGGCTTTCTTACTGCGCTGAGACTTCTCGCTGGTAGACTTGGGCTGGCTTTGCTATTCGGAGGAAAAAGAGGAAGCAGATAAGAATGGAAACACTGAAATAACGCCCCAGGTAAACCAGAAAGCACGCTGGGGTTTTTGTTTGAAAATTCTCCATGTTTAACCTCAGGGCCTTTCCATGCTTCTCTAAGTCGGGCAGTACTACAGCCACAGCACCCACAGCAGCTCTGCAGCACCCTAAGGCAGGTCACAGAAAGGTGGCAAGCCATCCTTCCTAGCACGCCGGACCATTTGTCCATCCAGGGCAGAGTCAGTGTCTCTTCTTCTAAGTAATACTGATTGGTTCAAAACATTTTGCATTCAGGACCCATTTTACAGACGGTGAACAGCTCATGGACCGCAAGAACCTCTTAAATAGGTTACAAATAGGATCAGAGGATGACACCGGTGAGTATATAAGCCTTCCTTGCTTAGTGCCTGTTGACATAACACTTCCAGCTCCAAACCTGCTTCAGAGTTACCACCTTACTTTCTCTCAGACTACACCCCCGAGGAAATCATCCCAAACCGTACCTTAATGAGCGTCGGAGGGGGCTTGGCAGCAGGAAGAGCCGCTCCATTGGTAAGACTGGGGGGCAGGAGAGGTGGAGGTGGCAGAGGCGGGGGGGGCTGTTCAGGTAGGAAAAGTGTTTCACTGGAGTCCGCACTGATCTGCAACTGGGACGTACCCTGCAGGAACAGAGAGAGGCATAATGCACACACATCAACGAAGGAAGTATTTTAACAGGGTGCTGGGAAGTGCCCACTTAAAGGGCAACAGCACAGGTTTCGAGTCAGTAATGAGGATCCTTTAACCCACTCCTTCAGTTGTTCCTGAGAGGCAGCACAACTTCTTAGGGCAGAAAAGGAATCAAAATCCTATACCTGCATCCCCCAGCTTTGCCTGCCAGCGCTGGCTGCACAAACCCAGGCTGCATCACCAAATCATGGCTGTCCCCCTTCCCCTCACGGCACCACTACAGGGACCTCTAACCAGAGGGCATCGTCAGTGCCACACAGGGCTAACACCCTCACATTTCAGGACCCTCTGCCACACATCAGTAGTGGCTGTGAAGCTCCAGGGCACTGCAGGAGGCCCCCCCCGTTCTCACCTGAGCTAGTGATGTGCCAGTGGTGCTAGGGAGAGGCTCACAAATCCGGGAATCCATCGGCGATGGGACAGACCCCTGGGACTCATGGCTGGCTGGCTGTTCGGGGGAGAGGGCATCACTGCTGTCCTCATCAAAGGAGGAGTTGTCTGCAACCTTTGGGTAGTTCACCTGTCCAACTGAAAAGACAAACACCAGCTGTGGGTTTCAAAAGAGAATTAAGGAATTATTTCACTTGCCCCTAGATGTTTCATAAATATATTGAAGGCATGGAGAGACTCGTGTCTGAGCAGTGCTTAAAGCAACAGCTAAAAATGAGAGAATGAAGCCCAGCGTGGATCCATTTGAAGTGTTTACATTCGTCTCTGCTATCAGTAGAACAAAACGATGCTATCAGTAGAACAAAATGATGCTATCAGTAGAATAAAACGATGCTGGGGTGAACCAGCAAGACAAGATCAGGAAGTACAACATCAGCGACTTAACCCTGCCCAAACCCAGAACCGTGGGATCAGCAAACGATCAGCCTACTTGCTGATCATTCGGCACCACGGAAAAAGGTCAGGCAGTTTAAGGCCGAGTCATGGTTTCTTTGGTGTTCATCCTAGGTGGTGGAAGATAGAACCACTCTTCAAGACAGAATCCCAAATTGTTCTCCAGTCTTAGAAGCAGCAAGGGCTATGGATTAAGAGGTGGCCCTGACTGCTGTTAGCATTTCTGTCTGCCTGCGTGTCCCACAAGCAGCAACTTATCTGAAAATAAACCTGGTAAGCAGGAATCTTTCGCACCTAACACAAGAACAACTGAAATCCAGGGAGATGTGATATTCTCAAAGTCAGAAGCAAGCCACATCTCTTAACACTCCAGTTTACAAACTCACTCGTTCTCTTCTACAATTATTTCTTGTGCAGCAGTGAAGCCAGGCTCTCCCACAGCACTGTCCTTTTTGTTTTTCATGCTAAGTATGCGGCCTTGCTCACAGTTGTGTCCCATTTGTCTTTAAAGTAGCTGTGTGTGTTTGAGGGGACGAATAACCACAGACACAGGCAGACTGCTCAGCCCAGGGAGATGGGAAAGAGCACTGCTGAGGCAGTGGGCAGGCTACTCCTCAGCATTCCTTTCAGCCCTTGGAATGGCGCTGGCATGATTTACATCTGTTCTGGTTTATTTTTAAAGGGGTTGAATTCTCTGAAGTTTGTAAGTTCACAGACAGCTTTTGTTTCATCACACCTGTTTATATTCTGTCTCCTCTCCCTGATCTGAGTCCGTCAGTGGGTTCTCCCTGACCAAGGTTGCTGATGTGTTATACCCAGAGAGATTTTTAAGGAGAGAATCCAGGGAATGCAAGCTACAGCAGTCTTTCAAGCCTTCAGGGTATGCAAAGACTTTCATATTATTCCAGGATGTCCACACTCATAATTTAATGTCCACACACATAATTTAATGACTCTGTACTACTATCTGTGCCAGAGGGAGTTTTGTTTTTCAGAATCCCGGGGGCTGAAAGGCTGCGATTCTGCAACAGGAAAACAAGGCCAACGATGGGCTCACACTCCCTTAAGCAGGCAGGTGAAATGACAGGAAATCAAAGCCACGTGTGGGCAACGCCTTCCACAAAGATCCTCCTCTGGCCTCACCTATAATGGCTTCCTTCAGGCTGGATTCCACAGGCAAGATGTTCTTCTCCACCAGCTCCATGGGGCCTGGCCTCTGCGCTATCTTCTCATTGAGGTCATCTGCCAGCCTGGCTCTCTTTAGCTTCAGCTGCTTAGCCTGCAAGGAGGGTTCGGCCGAGGTCTCTGTTCAGGGGAAAGTAAATAAAATGGCATCAGTCCAGCAACAGTCAACCTATGCACTTTAGCAGTATTTGACTTCTGTTCAGAAAGGTAACTGTAGACACTGATAGATAGCTGCACAGGAAAATAATTGCAGATAACGCTAGATAACTACACAGTGTAAACATGTTACAGATATATTACAGATATTACATATACTGAAGTTATAAAGATGCTACAGTAGCTCCCGTGACTCTAGAATAGGACAAATTCACTGCTCCCAAACTAACGTCACCTGATTCTCATTCACCTTTTCCCTTTCAGGTGTGTCCAAAGATGTGGCACTCAGCAGCAGGGTAGTACTCCCTCTCTGAAACTGAGGTGCATATTAATTAGATCAGATCTGCCTTACTCCCACTCTGGATATTTTACAGTGTCTTCCCTTAGAAGAGCAATCCCTACCAATTCCATTTTGTTTCAGCTGCACAAAACTGCACAATTTGAGTTTAGCTAACAGATTTTTCTGAGAATCTCCGTGCAAAGTTTGTTGGATCCCTCCCAAGTAATCATCTTACGGGCATGATCTTCTGCCCACTCCCAACTACCGGAAAGGTTTGGGGGTCGAGAGTCAATACAGAAAGCTACTAAACAAGTAGTTAAGACAACGTTTGTGGTTGATGTCCTTCTGTTTCATGTGTGCCATACCTTCCAGAATGTGCATCCTAACCAGCTCCGATCTCTCTGGCCTGGACCGGATTTTCCGTTTCAGATAGTCCTCTGTCTGCAGCAAAACAGAAAAGCAAAACCAGTTTTAGTTGATCAGGCACAGGAGTGAGGTGACCTTGGGACAGCACAACCAAGAGAAACAACCATCCTTAGTTGCTTCTGAGATCTCAGTAAACATTGACCAGCAAAGGGACATTATTTTCTGTCCCAAAGCACCCACAGAGTGAGTTTATTCTGAAGATGACCTCCCACTGGACATCCCCTCAGTGTAAGAGTGTTCTGCTGCCCTGTGGAACAGAAACTGGAAAGGACTTCCTCAGGACCCGAAGCCCTCTTTTTGCTTTTTATGCAAAACCGCTAACTTGTGTCAGGGTGAAACGCAAGACATTTCTTTTTGCATTAAAGGGCAGACATGTTGGTTCCAATGTTCACAGCAAAGACTTTCATATACTGCTGGCATTTGATGCCGACTTGTGGTTTTGGCATACTCTTCTTTGTTTCAGGGTAAGCTGTTTGTTAAGCTAAACCCCATGCACTCCCTTGGCAGGCAAAATCTAAATGCTGTGACAAGACCCATTTCATTTCTAGAGCTGCTTTTAGCTCTGTCTTTGGAGAATGTGCTACAGAGCAATGCACGGAGATGACCCTGCCCGGGCTGAGCCTGTTACCCTGCACACATCCAGCAACGGGAATCTAGGAGCAGAGGCAAACAGACTGCTGAGTACTGCCCAGTTGAATGGGCCTTACAGGAAATTCATATGGAAGCCAGTCAGAAAACTGCACCATACTTGCTCAGTTGCCCACACCAAAATATTAGCTTGGTAAGAAGGTTTTATTAAATGAGGAAGAAGAAATAAAGCCTTCGGGACACTGGTTGTAATGCAAAACTCGTTGTTCCAAGCTTTCCATCAAGTTTAAAGCGGCAACGCTGTCTGACAGGTTCTCATCACAGCTGTTATTTCTTTAGTCTTGTTGCTTTCACTTTTAAAACAGAACTTAGCCCAGAATCATACGAGTTTTTATTTCCTCTGTAGGCCAATCAGAAAAAAAAAGAAAGAAAAAAAAAAACACTGTCCCCAGAGACCTTCTGAGGAACAGAAATCAAGAAACCCCCAGTTAGCAAAGGTGCAACACGAAGTGTGAGGCCTGGCTCAGGCCTGGCTTCCTCTTTCGACAGAGCCAGAAGTGGGTGTGACTTCAGGGTTGGGATTTTCTCAATTAAGTTTACATAACATAACATAGCATAATATAACATAAATAACAATGTAAAGTAAGTGGGTGGTGGGGAAGAAGAATATTATGGACCTACAGGAAAAATCCAATGGCTTTCAGGCACAACTAGTTGACTGAAGGGTAACCACCACCACACAGAGGCTGAAGAACAGCCCACCCTATACATCCATGTCTGCGCAGCATTGTGTTACATCCAGAGCATGAAGGACTTCCTTCTGCATCGCATCAACAGCTACAGGATGCCCAAAATACGAGACATACTCCTCCTGACTTCCCTAAAACCTCGAAGAGCATATTGCATCTTACCCTGGCCCGCTCCAAACTCCTTCTCTGTTCATGAAATGCAGCTGGACTTTTCAGAGCTGTTGAGAAAAAAAAAAAAAAGAGAATGAGTAAGAATGAAGAAGTTTTCTCACCACATGTCCTTTCAGGCCAACTAAATTAACAAATACACCACAGCAACTGCCTCCTGCATCTGTCAACACGCTGGACCAGATCTCCAGCTGGTATAAAGCAATGTGAACTGACATGCTCTGCTTGACAGCAAAGGAGCTACAGGAGAGCTGGATTTTATGTGGGCTACTGAAGAGAATAATTTGGGCTCCACTTCTAGGAGAGCTAACCAAGTGGGGGCCATGAACACAAGGCAAAAATCTCCCCCCAGCAAATGCCTTTCCCAAGTTTCAGCATGGTGTAAAACACCCCAGACCCTTAAATAAGAGAACGGCACCAAAACACTGAAGAGGTACGTGAAATGGTTGGAAGGATGGGGGAGGATCCTAATGAACTGCAAATCCTCTTTACTACCTTGTAATGTCATAGGAAGCTGCAAGTCTTTCATTAATCTGCACCTGTGCTTTGTGTCCAGGCAAGGGCTGGTCACAATTTCTGCAGGTCCCCAGCAGGACGTATATATTCTGTGTAACAGAAACTACCAGGACAACGGGAACACTTGGACAGGAAAGTACATCTGCCTGCTGACAGATAACCAAGACTTGAGGAATTACCAGCAGACCTCCTCGCCCCCTCAGGCCTAGTAAAAGAGCAGAGCCAAAATGGATCAGGTTTTAAGAAACCGATCCTCTGCTGTCCAGGACCGTACTAACCCTGGAGGAATCTCTCGCTCTGCCTGGCTCCCCTGCAGCACACAAAGCTCACGTCCCACAGTAAAACTGGAGAAAGGGGGTGACATTACTCCTAGCGCAGCACTGAGAAGCGTCACTTGCTCCTCATGCTTTCCCAAATCCACGAGCCGCTTGCTTGCTACAACAATCGCATTGTGGCTTGTATTCAGAACTGCCTGAAGGGCGCAGAACTCATTTCCTTTCATATTTAGGAAGTATTTATATTTAAAACTGCTCGATGGAGTTTCTAAATTACCATCAAGATAAGCACCAACGTTAAAAAATCCTTCAGCTTTAAAGGCAAGTTGCAAGGCTTTTGAAGCCAGAAATCTCAACTTGTGCAGTCAGTGACTCCGAGGTGTTGCATGCATATCCTCCAAAATACGGTCTCCTTGTACTCTTTTTCACTTGAGACCAATGATTAAAATATTTCTCAAATGTAACTTAATAATGAAATATCAAAATGCTATTCAAAAATAAAAAAAAAAACTTGCTTAGATGCAATGTAGGAAGCTACTTCCAATGCATGTGTAAGCTTTGAACTTTCCTACGGAATAAAATGCAGAGCCAACAAAGACAAAGTGTTAAGACAGAAACACCTCCTGTGAAATATAGGCAGAGTCCCTCTACATTTACAAAAACAGGGTAAAAAGTTCAAGTTAGTCAATATGTAAGGAATTATGAACACACCAGTGCCCCATAATGAGATTCAGGCTACAGCAGTGAATGAAGAGTAATTTGTAGAGTAAGTAAGCAACAACTGAGCACTAACCATAGTGAGTATACAGCTGCTGGGGCAAAACAGTTCCTGTTCAGATTAAAGATGGTTTCATACAATCAAATTTCACACAAGCCAGGAGAAATCACCAGGGAAAGTTATGCAAGCTGGCAAATGGGAGTGCTCTGATTGCACTTTGGGATAAGTAATGTACGGGCAGAGAGATGGTTTTGCAATAACTGAAAAAAATAATATAAAGAAAAAAATGCACTGGCCAGCTGAGACATGAACAGCCGTGCAGTTCGGCCACCACACTGTCATGACCACAAGCAGCAAATCCCGCTGGGAAATGCTCTTCCTAAGCCCCACGGACTGCTTGTGAATATATGCCTGAGCTTGAACACATTTCTCTCGTGGTACATGCATCACGGAAAAGTGAAGTAAAAGCTTCCTTAAGCTCAGGCAATCCTGGGCAAAGATACCGGGCGATAGATAAATCACCATCAAAATCTATGCTGGAGACAAGCGCAGCAAGCCTCTTCTCGAGTCCTCCAAATCCCTCTCCCCCTTGAATGTGCCAGCACGGCAGTAATTCTTCGCTCTCCCCTTCCTACCTCTGCCGTCAGCGTGAGGCAGGACATGAACTTTAAGTGACATTTCCCTGGCCACGGCAACTGGTCAGGAAAGTCAACTGCAGGCGCTCAGCTGATTTCACAGGTAGTCCAGGAAAATCTTCAATAGGATGAATAAAACCAAGACGAAAAGGATCCCCGAGTCAAAGAAAAAAAAAAGAACCCCCCTCCCCCAAATCCCATACACATTAAATAGTAAGCAATGCAAAACTGCTACGGGAAGACCCTTGCAAAAACAATGTCAGTCTCTCACGACCAGCTCTCTGCAAACAAGCACGGGGCTGGAGCTCGCTGTGCTGGCAACATGACAGAGGACTTCATATCTGACCTCTGGAAATGTCAAGAGGGCACAAATCCTTCCCTGCTTCCCTCAGCAATCTAGGATGGGGCTGCCATGTCAGAGGAGGGTGTCTGTTGTAAAACCCCGCTCTGTCTGAAGTTAACTAAGCCTTGCACATTCTGCTGGCCATGTAACAATGACTATTACACTGGAGCAAATGGAAAAAAAAATAATAAAAAATAATAAAAAAATAATAAAAAATAATAAAAAATTCTCTCTGCAGAAGACTGAGGCTAGGAGGCAGAGGGTGCCCAGCACTGGCTGGGGCAGGGCTCCTGCCACCAAAGCAGGTCGTGCATGCACAGCCCATGGTACCTAAAGCAGCAAATAGGACCCTACAACGTGAAGGAACTCCTAGCACCTGATCCTTTCTGACTGCATGGCTTGGAGAAAATGCATTAGGCTGTTCTTTACGGCGGGTTGTCTATCCTGTTCTTGAAGACCGCTAATGAAAAAATGCAGCATTATATTGCAGAGAAATTATCCCAGAGCTTGCTACCTGAAAACCTTCCTGGATGTCTAAACTGTATTTCTCTTCCGACAATTTGTACTCATTATTCCTTGCCTTGCCTGCAATAATTACAGAGAACAACCTGTTTTCTTCCTCTTTGCGTTTATCCCTATATATTTGAAAATTTAGGTTCTCTCTTCTGCTGGATAAAATGAACAAAGCTGGTTATTTCACCCTTCCTTTACAGATAACATTTCCCAGACCTTTGCTTGTTTACTCTCTTCTGGACTTTTTCCAGTTGATCTGCATTTTTCTTGAAGTACAGTGCCCAAAATTGGGTATACACTCCAGCCTAGGCTTTATCAGTGTTTCAGAGAGCTAAAGATTATTCAATAAGACTTCTCAGTTCCACGTGTCAGGCTGTTTGCCTTTTCTTGGGTGCATAAAACATGTAACACTGTTTACTTGTGCTTGGCTCACAAACCGTGAAAGGTCTCCAATCCTCTTCTGCGGAGCTGCTCTCCAGCCGGGATTCTCCATCCTCGGTTCATGTCACTGGCTGGATGTACCGAAAGGCAGGAATTCTGCCTTTTTCTCCCCATCCCCAACATTTTATTTCTCAGCTTCTCCAGAATATTGTGAGCCCCCCATCCTGCCTTCCTCCCAGCTTCCTAACCTGCCAGCTTAAAAAATACACACGCAATTCCCTTGTTTAAACAGAATTACTGAAAGCAGTGCATAGTATCAGACACAGACCTTAGGGTCTGTCACCAAAAGGTGACTGCCTCCTCCCTGTGGCACGTGCCCCTCCCCAAACGGGGTGCTATTTAACTCAGTGTGAATCCTGACCCTGCTAACTGCATGGCCAACCTCACTAGCTTTGCTTGCAAAACTTGGGGGAGCCCCTGCTGACCAGACAGTGCTGCCAAAGAAAGAAGAACTCGACAGACTACAATAGCAGGGTTAGCTGTTGATAGAAAATTGATATTTCTCTGGTACTGAGATATTGAAGAATGCAGAAGGGATTTCCACCAGGCCCCCTTTCAGTTCGGTGTACCTTTGCCTGCCCTTGTGCTTTTGTCTGTACATGATGGATGTGTGATATTTTCATCCCCAATAAATGGAGTTTCTACTTTCTGCCCTCACTCCTGCACTTGGGCCTGGGACAAAGCCCGCTAGCCCTCAGTTATGCTGACATAACAGTTTGCGGCCTCGGATCATGGTTGTTTTGAAAGAGTTATTTTAACCTGGATCGGTATGCTCATTTACAGCCCGGCTCCACAAATAATTGTGTCAGCAAAACTGAGCAAAAGCTGCACAGGCAGCCAAAGCCAGAAAGGAGAGGCTGGGGCTGAAGCCCGTGCTGCAGCGGGAGCCCCCATGATGCTGAAGCACGGCCCCAGAGCCTGCAGCCTGCCCCATGCACCTTGGGGAACAGCCTGAAGGAGGAAACGGCTCTCAGCACCACGTCCCACGCAGCAGGCATTACACGTGGCTTACTGCGGGGATCAAAGGGATACCACCATCACCAGAAGTATTTGGGACAGAGGTGTACAGGGCTTTGTCCCACTCAGCCACGTGGCACCAACTGCTAGGAGAAGAAGCATCAGCTTTAGGTGACCGCCAGCAGGACACGAGTTTCCTACCGCCACTGGGCTGGCTTGCAAGGACCTCCTGAGGTTCCTACCACACACATTCCAGTTTTTCGTTCTCTCTGCTACTTGTGGACAACGATGCTTCCTCGCAGGATTCCTGAAGCCTTACGATCTCTGTGGTCACACCCTCAGCTACCAAGAGAAAGCTCTCTGGAGATGAGTGATGCAACTGCGTCGTGCCTCCACCCTGCTGCAGAAATGGTTGCAGCTAGGGCACTGCAACTGCTGGCCTTCCGTCTGACCCCCAAAGGGAGGCAGCAGCCACACCGGAGCGTCTACGATGACAAATTCCTTTCCATACAAAGCACAGAGATGGAAATCACTCATCTTTGCTTCAAGCTGATGTATTAATTCCTGTGAAACTGCGTCCAAAACTGCAGTGCGTAACTTCAGTGTTCCCTCGGCCCACGCCGTGTTTTGAAGATGACGATGTGTGAGTGAA